CAACCTAAGTTCGACACATCAAAGGTCAAAATAACGGTGTTTGACTGTATAGTATCTTAGAAAGGATTTCAAAAGATGACCAAGATGTGTTATTTATCGTATAATTACATACACTGTAAGCCAGTTAACTGTTTACCTCATCCGAAAGAATTCACTCCCTAGAAAAGGAATGTCATTGCCCTCTTTAAACTTAAAAAGACAAATAGAATCATACATGGGAAAATAAATACTCTTAATGACACTGACAGCTACAATCATTACTAGTGTTGGGAATTGGTTAAAATCTAATAATTGATGATTGGTCCATTACAACCGATCAATCATCGAAATAATTGGTTAGCGTCATTTATCAAATGTTCCTGTTATCCTTGTTAATGCTCACACAAAAATATAGAAAAAAACATGTAGTAATTTGGGTTTTTTTGCAAATTGCACAAAATTCATTTGCAAATTTCGCATATTTAAAGGATGATTAGTATGTTAGGAACACAGATTTCCTGGATTCTTTAAGATAAATTCAATCATGACTTGGAACGAGCTTGTAGTGCTTATGAAATGTAAATTTAATGACACAGACAAAACCAACCTTATGAAAAATATTGTTGATGCAAACAAGTGATCCAAGATTGGTTGCGTTCGATTATGAGAAAACATGTTCGATTGCTTGGTTGTTTAGCCACTGCGACCAATCTCCGATTATTTCAATTAATCGGACCACCACTAATCCTTACATAACCTTGAAGACGTGTAGGCTGGTTGTTGGTTTGTTGTTTAACGCCACACTCAGCAATATTCCAGCTAATTGGAGGCGGTCTGTAAATAATCGTGTCTGGACCAGACAATCCGGTGATCAACTACATGATCAACCTAAGCAATTGGGATGCGATGACATGTGTCAACTAAGTCAGCAAGCCTGACCACCCGATCCCGTTAGTCACCTCTTACGACAAGCATGGGGTACTGAAGATCTTCACGTGTTAAAGATGTGTAGGACATCGCTTGTGCATAAGTCCAAACCCTTATGAAGATTGCATTATCTCCGACAGACCATAATGCTAGCGCTTATATCTTTGTCGATGGTGCTGACATCGTGGAATAAACACTAGTCTTATTACTTTAAGGACTATTGAAGCATCATCATCTCTTCTAGCGTTATGGAGCCATCACTAGTCTTATCTCTAACACTGAGCTAGCACGTATCTCTGAAGGTCTCCAAGAACCACAACAATGTCCACTGCAAAAGCTCAGTACACCTGACGCGTACACCTGTCTTAAGCAGGCAGAAGTCAGAAAACACATCTATTCATCGTTGTGGAACAAGTTCGACATGACACGCTTCGGGGAAGATGCAAATGGAAAGCCGTGATAGCTATGCGTATGAGTCACGTTTCTTCTTCCTCGACAGCGCAGAGGTGTACATCACAAGGGATCGTTTTGGAGGTGCGGACGTTATGATGTGGGATGGGATATCAGTTGCATCAAGGACGCCAATGATTGTGATTGAGGGGGACTGTAAGGTAGCGAGACGAGATTTTGCAAATGGTCACTCTACCGGTTTTTGTAATAGGACGGCTCTGGATGGATGGTTCACTCCGCCAGCACAAGAGCGCACTTTTCTCGAGTTGTACAGCAGTATCGTAATTAGAACAATGTTATTGTGTTACACAGTCGCGCAAGATCCCCTGCTTTCGCTCCCACTGAATTCGTATGGGATGAAATTAAGCGACGTTCACGACGTCATCCCAATCCTCCAACAACGTTGCAGGTACTCCGACAAATCCATGGATATGGAATTATATTCTCCAGAACTTTCATCGACGTGTACCGACCTCAGAGAGGCGAAGGTGCCAAGCCTGCATCAATGCACAAGGTGGACACTCTCGCTTCTGACCCCCTCTTGTGTTGTGGCTCAATTGCATGCATCATGTGCACAGTTCCTGTCCACTGTTGATCGTTCCCATACCTTGAAACATTTGTCTTTTCATGTAATAACATTACATTCGCGACGGGAAAAGTTTTACACAGATTCTGGATGCCTACTAGTCAGAAAAGTAAAGGTCGGTGGTTTGATCCGAAGCCGGATCATACAAACAAAACATTAAAGGTGGTACTTGATGTCACCATGTCTAGCGCGAGGTATTAAAAGGCAAATATAACTGGTTAGGTCGTAGTGAGTACTCTGACCGTGTAGGTTTCAGTCTTAAATGGCGGTATGGTATCTCAGTGTAGTGTAAAACAATGGCCCGGAAAAGGCAGCCACAAACACGGCACTTTAACACGGCACTTTAACAGTGCTATCATATATTGGACGCAACGTGAAGCCTCATTTTTACTTCGCGTTTTTTCCTATTTAGGGCAAGGTCGTTTTATCTATCCTCCTTTCTGGTTTGTTGTTTCTCACAGAAGATTGATATTTAATATCACGTTTTATTGAAAACATTCGTAAAATAAATATGAATTAGTTTAAAGTTGCCTGGTGGTATACTCTTTTGTTTACTGCACGATTCGATTTATTTGGTTTATTTGTTGTTTAACGCCGCACTGAGCAATATTCCAGCTATATAGACAGCATGAGCATCGATCTATGTAATTGGGATACGATGACATGTGTCAGCCAAGTCAGCGAGCCTGACCACCCGATCACGTTAATAGCCATTTACGACAAGCATGGGTTACTGAAGACCAATTCTAAGCCTGATCTTCACGGGTCGAACTGTCGGGTATTGCCAGCCCTTCAACGATATATGTTAGTTAAAATCTTACAAAGTAGAAGTGCCGAAGCACAAAATCATTATAAAACGTCAAATACTCAAATTGCGTAAACTCCTACACAAAAATTAAATATACTCATGCCAATAATGGTTGTCACCCCCTTCAATTTTTTTTTATTGGAGAAGGGGTGGGGTGGGGAGGGGGGTGACAACCATTATTGACATTAGTATATATAGTTTTGCGTACAGAGAGCGTACGTACTGCTTACGACAATGCCGTACCGCCCTTAGGTATGACGTCACCGTCACATTGTAATCGCACAGTCACATCACTGTATGGTATCAATAGACTATCGACTTGCATCAGAAATTGAGTGAGTGAGTATGGTTTTAGGCCGCTTTTAGCAATATGCCAGCAATATCACGACACCAGATATGAGCTTCACACATTGTACCCATGTGGGGAATTGAACCCTGGTCTTCAGCATGACCAGAGGATGCTTTAACCATTCGGCTACCCCACCGCCCCGTTAGAGATGAGAATTCACATTTGTCCATTTGCTGTGCTTTTATAGTATTTACAGTAACATATAGAAATTATTATAATTTTTTATAGCTAAACGGTTTGTACATAATGACTATATGCATTTAAACGACTTACATGCCATTAGTTAGATGCAAAACTGTGAAGACAATGAATGGCAGCCGATAATAATGTTTCGTTCGTAAAGTGTAAGTTTGAAAGTAGCAATATATATCCAGTTAAACGGAAAGCATACTGACCTTCCTTTTTTATTTGGAATATTAGAATAAGAAGCTTAGATATGAATTATACCTGACTCAGAAAGGAAAATAATCTCAATTCAGACAAGCTGACATGTTTAACACAACTATGAAGTCTGAGTATCTTACTGCATGGAAACCCGCTAAGATCCGGATTAGAATTGGTCTTCAGCATCCCATGATCGTAGTACATTATTCTTACCGGCTAACGGGATCGGGTCACCAGGCTCGCTGACGTGGTTCACACATGTATCGCACATGTGGATGTCTTCGCATGAACAACACAAGTCCGTCACAGGGTCCACAACTGTTTATTCAGTGCTACATCTTCACGCGTAGGCCAGAAGTTCTATGCAGCTTCTCTCCCAGGCCTATTGCCTGTCCCGGTATATACCCATAGTTGGTCATTCTGGTCCTTTGACTTTGGCCCCATTTCGCATCTGGTCAGTGATGAGTCATCCTTTTTTTCTTTCCCCATTTGATCTTACTCCTAATTAGGCCCATAATAGCATAACTGGACATGGGAATTACTGGCCAAATTGCACTTACTTGGTTTGCGTCATTATCGTGACTGGATATCTGGAATGACTTGGTCAAAGTGTCCTTTGTCCAGTGTTCTGCTGGTCAGGGGTTATTGTTCGGTCCCCTGGCCAGTACTATATTTACCTGGCCAGCATGTGTCCCATTAGTGAGGGGCAATGTTATCTCACTGACCAGTGCGATTGTTTAATAAGTTCATTTATTTAATTAGTTGGGCCAGATGGGATCCTGATATTCTACCCTGGATACATGTCATCGTATCCTATTTGCGTAGATCGACGCTCGGGATGTTGATCACTGGACTGTCTGGTCCAGACTCGTTTTTTTATATATCTGAGTTCAGGGTCAAAGAACAAACCAACCAACTACCTGAAAGTGACTATAGCAATGCATTCTTTGGCACAGTAGCCACAGCGACAGGTTCTGTGATTGTCCAAATGAATTGCGACTATTAATCCTGGTTTTGTTTGCATATGATAGAATACTAATAACAGCAGTTCTAAAATCAATGCGTGTTTGTATTGCCAACAACACTGACAACGTCTCTATTTTGTCTACAGCTGGAAAGGGTTACATGGTTGCATTAAGATCGACACTAAATATTGATGCTATTCGGAGAACTCTCATTTGTTTCCTTTATAGAGTATTTGAACCGTCAAACTTATATATCTCCGGAATCGTTTAATGGAATCTGCTTTTAGCTGCTATTTCTTGCGTTAATGGAAAAGTGTTTGTCGCATGTATTTACACGTCTAAGATATGATGGGTGATAAGAAATGCATTACACGCAGACTCAAAGAACACGTTCCCTTGATCTGTTAACTCAAAAGTATTGACTGATTAAGGTACGGCCAGCACACAATGGTACGTGTTGATACGTACATGTGGGCGTTGCTATAACAACGTGTTTCACAAAAATAATACCCGTACATGTGTATTTGTCAATCAACGATCAAACCTGTTTCACCTTCAGTCACGTAGAGGGCGCCATTAGCAACGAAGTGATCCGTATTGACCAGGAAGATTGTTCATGTGATGTCTTTAAATTTGGAGAAAATATTCGACTGGGTTTGTCACTTGATGAAGTTGGCCCGTATTGCAAGGTGTTGATACGTCAGTAACTATCATCCGATTGTTTTCAGCATTAAACAGAGTTTTTCTGGAAGAAACTTTAACTTCAACACCCATAATTAGCCATCATCTAGTTACCGCAGAAGGTACTTTTTAGCAATGAGAACGTTGGACCTAACACGAACGTGCCACATTTTAGTTCTTTCGTTTTGTTCAGAAATATGTTTTGCAAATACTTGGTGGGGAATGACGAATACTGGCGCTGACATGCAAAAAATGTGCGCACCCTCAACCAAGTGGGACGGTGTTGAAAGGAGTTGTGTTACTTTCCCAAGCTGTGGCTACAGAATACCAATGCTATACTTTGTGTTTATACACAAGGCCATGTGACAGCTTCCGTTGGCGGCAGACAACGCGACTCTGCCAACTTCGAAACAGCGTGGAGAAAACAAGTGATCCTTTATTATTTGTTCATAAGGAGTATAAAGGAATAGCTGAGCCCTTATGCATGGTAAGAAAGACAGCTAGATGCATTGTCAACGTAACTGTCAGATAATATGGTTGCACCCTTTTTTTAAATTTATATTTTTTGAGAATTTAACTTTCAAGTGAGTCACGATCCTTTGGTTGTTTGTTGTTTAACGCCGCACGAAGCAATATTCCAGTTACATCGTGGCGGTCTGTGAATAATCTAGTTTGGACCAGACAATCCTGTGATCAACATCATGAGCATCGATATACCATATTATTTGTATAATAAGATAATGAGCATCCTATTCCTTCAAGGCAGTTCTTAGTTTGGCTCAACGGGACGGTGGTGTAGCCTAGTCGTTAAAGCGTAGGCTCGTCGCGCCAAAGACCCGGGTTCGATTCCCAACATGGGTACAATGTGTGAAGCCCATTTCTGGTGTCCCCCGCCGTGATGTTGCTGGAATACTGCTAAAAGCGGCGTAAAACTAAACTCACTGACTAGTTAAGCCAAAAACCTTTTAGTCACCCCTCCTGTTAATCTAAATGTCTAACGTTTGTTTTATTGGGTGGTTGGTATGTATCAGCAGTACTCTAGTACTGACTGTCTGCAAAAGGTCGAATCCGTGACATGTAAACCAATAGTTGGACGCATGATCTCTGATGTAATTGGTACAAGAAGACAATCAGACAGATAACAGATAATCGGTTTCGTCAAGCACGGGGTCACAGACATCCACAGTCCCTACAGATATCGCCCAGGAAGGTCATGACACTATTCGGTTGCCGTTAAGAAGAAGTTTCTCTGAATCATTATATTGCTTTCAGAGTGCGAAGCACGCATGTGCTCATCGGCCTTGTCGGAACTACGAAGTGTGCATACCTGTACTGGCTGCCGTTCATCACATCTGTCTGCCAATAGGTAAAATACAACATACATCTGCGGGAACTTGTCATACATATAGAAATATTAACAACTAATCTTCACATATAAAAGCCGTTTTGTTTCTCATGACTGTGAACACAATACATAGTTTCAAACTGATTCAAATAGAAGATCACGAATCCGTAGACATCTTAATTCATGTGTAGTATCACAAGACGTTCCGGGTATATTTCTACAAAAAATATGGCATGTTATAATTTTACCATTATTGAATTTAATTAACTTGTATTTTTAGAATGAGAGGAAACCCAATGAAATAATGTGAAGCGGTATATTTTGAAAATGTAGAGGTTTATTTTTTCGTCCTTGCATACCTATGTTTGATGGGTTTCATCATAACGTTTGAGACCTGCATTGGGGCGGTGGGGTAGCCTAGTGTTGAAAGCGTTAGTTCGTCACGCCGAAGACCCAGGTTCGATTCCCCACATGGGTACAATGTGTGAAACCCATTCCTGGTGTCCCCCGCCGTGATATAACTGACATGCATGTCAGCGCGGCGTTTACCAAATCTCGCTAACTTACCCTTTTCACGTTTTCATATAGCGGATTTGCCAGGAGCCCAAGACACCACGCCGGCAACACACACAGCCGTCGATGGAATGACGACAGTGATGTTTCCTCCCTCGTCAACATTGACCAGCGTTAATCAAATGAGTACCAATATGACCACTACGACTGTGGCAACATCGTCAGCACTGGCCAGTGAAACCACTGAATCATCAGCGCTGGCCAGTGAAACCACTGAATTACCATCTTCACTGGCCAGTGAAAGCACTGAATCACCATTTTCACTGGCTAGTGAAACCACTGAATCACCATCGCCACTGGCTAGTGAAACCACTGAATTACCATCACCGCTGGCCACTGAAACCACTGAATTACCGTCACCGGTGGCTAGTGCAGAATCGTCAGCACCGACCAGTATAACAGCATCAGCGGTGACCAGTGCCATCACCGACAGATCGTCTGCCTCGACTAGTGAATCAACCAGACCTCCAAACACAACCACTTCTCAACAGCTATATACTTGTAAGTGACATCATATATCGAATGTTTTGTATTCATTTTTGTAACACCATTTTTAATTTTTGTCCTTACATTAAATCTTGCAGACCAAACCAACAGCAAAAACTGTTCCCAATAAATGCCCTTTTAAAAAAAACATGTCAGCGTGGCACCGATCAATTTTAACAGTAGGCTACTATAAAGCAAGAGTGTATTGGAAGCATATAAATCACAGGTATAGAACATTTCCAGCAACGTCAAAACTTCACGATCTTGTATGCTTTGCTATATCACCCGTGACTACATACGGTCAATTTGAAGTCGCCACTCTATACTAACGAACCCAGACTTGTTAGGACCAATGAGCGCTCAGATTACATTGCATGAACTGTAAGGTTCGCCGTGCAGGATATGCCATAGCCTCTACTCACATTGCTCTAATAGGGCCCTTTAGTAGCCCAGCAGGCACATCAACGTTGTTTCAGCGTTGAGAATAGGTTGATCCTCAACGTTGAAAATAGATTGAAAATAGGTTGTATATGAAAGTTTTTTTGACGTAGATATCCGACGTGGAATCAACGTTGAAGTTTGACTGATTATCAACGTTGAAAAAAGGTTGATCCTCAACGTTGAAAATAGATTGAAAATAGGTTGTATATGAAAGTTTTTTTGACGTAGATATCCGACGTGGAATCAACGTTGAAGTTTGACCGATTATCAACGTTGAGAATAGGTTGATCCTCAACGTTGAAAATAGATTGAAAATAGGTTGTATATGAAAGTTTTTTTGACGTAGATATCCGACGTGGAATCAACGTTGAAGTCTGACATATCATTAACATTGAAAATGGGTTGTTCCGTGGTTGTGTCTGGGAGGCATTACGCTTTCCTGTAAATAGACTCGCACTTCATCTTTAAACTACAATAAAGTAGCACCAAACTCCTGCATCCAGCTAAAATACCCAAAAAGCTACCTGCAATAAACAGTGTTCAAACAGAAAATTGCAGTAAAAATATTTACCTGATAAAATACTTGGTTAAAATTCCACATTCAATATAATGTTCATTTAAGTTTTATGTCAGTTGGACGTATAATTCCAGTAAGAAGAAAAGAGTATTCCAAATTAAGAAAAACTATTTAGTGTTGTATTGTTACCTTGAAAAGGTAAAATTGTCCCGAGAAGACATTTAGTCTGAATTTCAGCTCGTAGACAGACCCCTGAATAAACACAATGCAATTACTTTCACCATGAAAGGGATCCAAGATGACCAGGAACTATACCTGAAGACAGCACATAAAACAAGTCACTTTTCATGAAATCTTTATGAACACACACACACAGAAAACGTGGTTTAATGCATAATGTAAAACATCACACATGACATAGTCTGTAGGTGATCTCTGTTGTGCTAATAACACAATATCATCTGCATATAGCATCAAAGTGACATTTACGCCACCAATTTCAATACCACAGTTCAGATTTTTCAACACAATTCCAACTCCAAAATCACAATTATCAGCTCCTCTTCTTTCTGCCACTCCCTGCCTGGCGGTCAGGTGGATACTTCAGAAATGTTCCTAACTCTTTCTTGAAATTTGCTTCGGATGCATTCCCATCTCATTCCCTTGAGATAGGACACATTCTGAAATTTTATATTTAAATACATGAATAAGTTATATGGAAGATATATTGTCTTAAATGATTCAAGTATTTGTTTAATCAATCACTTGAAAGGTTCATTTCACTGCTGTAACTTGGCATGTGAACATATGAACAGCATCAATACAAAATATGACGAAAAGTGTAAACAATTTATATTTTCAACCGAAGGAATGGAAGTTTTCTTAAACATTTTCAAAGAAAATCCTCAATTGCAAGTTGATTATTTAATTAGACTATGAATTACCGGTAGGATGAATTAGACGATGCTTTACTGTCATATATTATTTGCTTTGGTCATGATGAAAATGCTGCACTTGGTAATTAACTTACCAGAGATGATTGAATACAACCTTGTATTCTTAAAAGACAACTTGCCGTTTTGCCCATCAACATTCATTCTTGACATCAAATTGTTTGACATTGTCCTGCAAAACAATGGAAGATTGTTGTTATTCTGTCAGATTTAGGTTTCTTTAGAGATTCTCGGAAATGATTATTTCAAATTAATAGGAGTTGAACTGATGTAGCAATTTTGCTACCAGGAGTTATAAATTGTAACAAAAGCCATTTTACTTTAAATGATAAGAAAAAAAAATGGGTGGTGGTTCACAGGTCAAAGAACAAGTCTATTGTGGGAGGTCTCCCAACACCATTTGTTCCCAAACACAAGGAAGTATGGATCATGGAGTTCTGAAAACAATAATGAGCTCTCATAAGTATACAATATATTCTCTATTATCTACTCTCTCTCTTTGTCATTTGTACACTCATAAAACTCAGATAAATAACTTTTTTATAATTCATAAATGTTTACAGTTAATCTCTTATAGGAACGCTTAGAAAATCTCTCATATAATGAATTATGTGTGCGTATTATCTGCGACGTCATAACTATGCTTCTCTGGTTCATGAACAATAAAATAATGAGATTAAACTCTACATTGCCAGAAATAATCTATCATACCATGAATAATAAGACATTGAATAACATCTCTTACAACTCCAATCTACACTCAAAAAGACTTAAATGTACTTGTAAACAAACATCGCTGGCACACGCAAATTCTTGGAAACAGTGCATCTCTGACTCTCAATTCCAAGAAATGGAAGTCCTACTCTATTTGACCAAAGGGGTGACAGGTGGCCAAAACATATTGAAATGTAGGTCATACACTGAAATTAACTCTGATTTAAAACACTACAAATATACACCTTCTCTCTAATATACTCGATAGATGATCTTAACAAGGGAACATGTACATAAAATGCTGATATCTAACAACATCTGTACCTCTTCCAAATCTCAGTATGTTTCACTGCACACATATTAGATTGCAAATAATGAAAAACCTACCCTTTGACAATAATAAAAAACATCATATTCAAATTCTACAGCTGACCAAATACCTGAAGAGTTTGTTTCCCAGCAATAAACATCTCTATATATCTATAAATGTATGACTTCTGTCTTCTCGCGTGCTATCTTGCATCCAGCTGTTTACGGCGAAAAACAATATGGCGCCAAGCAAGGGAGTGCTCATTAAACTAAACATCTCCGGGAGAAATCATTGTCAATTTTTCTCTCTTAAATGATCAACCTTAATATATAAATGAAAATAACGACCAACTATTATCACCAAAAACGACCAAACATTATCACAAATATTCAAAACAGGTGGTAATGAAAGAGCATTATCATCTTTCTCTTAAACTTTGTGGTGGATATACTGGAAACAAGTGAAATGTTAAAAACGTGTTACCTTAGCCTTGCTCCTTTTATGTGATCCACAAAATTGCTGCCACCCAGTCTTCGAAGATGAGATTTCTGCAAATTCCATTAAAATAATCTTATTTCATAATTAAATGTTCCTTACATTAAAATTACTTCTTTTGTATGTAAGATTTTTACCTTTAAGAGACATGAATTATCATATCCCTTCCAAACAAGTGTAAGAATGAAAGTCTGTGCGTGCAGTTTTGTTAATTGTCCCATCAAAGAATCATTAGTGAAGTTACACTTTTTGTAAATAAATAAAAGTTCAAATAAATTATATACAATTTCATCCTTAACAAAGACTTTCACAAGACATTTTAAAGTTAAAATTTTCGTTGCATTTCCTTACGCCATTCTCCACCACCCCTTCCCCCCAATAATATACATATGTTGACAGGGTTCAGGGCGTGCTCAATGCATCATTTACTGATAGATCTATTCAAACGAACAAATGTTCATAATAATGGGATGCAATATAAAATGTTGAATAATCCTATCCGATTTTGTATAGCTGCCCTTAGGGACCGTTCATAATGTATGGCTTTGGGGTGATGTTGATTTTATGTACAATGTGAATTACACCCCCACCCCCCCTAAAAGTGTATGAGTATGTACAGAATAAGAGACGGCCCACCCTGCATGTCATGTACATTATCTATGACGCCCTCTCCCTTCCCATAATTTCTAAACATAGTGCGTGTGTACAAAATGCTGACCCCTTATCTCCCCTGAACAAAATGGGTGACACCCCACCCCACCCCACCCTCCAACCCTTACCATCAACACCCCCACCCGCAGCCATATATTTAATTATGAACGGTTCCTTATATTGATGTACTTCATTGATTATTTGAAAATGTATATTTGCAAAATTCAAATCAGGTGATGGGTACGAAAGGGAATCTTATTCGATTATATAATATTAATAAAATGCCAAATATATGCATGCAAATATATTGAAAAATAACAAAACAAGTTCATGGAAAACACGGGCTTCCACTAAATTTTGAGAAACATGTACTGTGACATACCGGTAACCTTGTGAGATAAAACATGAGCCCTGATTCGGAGTTTCTTGCTACTGCTAAATTTAAACGGCATTCCTACGTTTTCATTATACATGAAGGACATACTTACCAAATAAACACCAGCATGCCGTGAAGATGGTGAAAATAGAACGATTTGAACTTCGCCAAAGTGAACTGACAACGATCAGCTGCCTTTGCGTGCGCGATAATTGTGCGCATGTCCGGATATGGCCAAACGAGGCGATCGAAAGGTCAACATCTGGCTTGTGTTTGAAAGCAAATTGTCGGGAATTATACAATTTTTTACAGTTTTGTGGGAAAATATCAAATGTAATGCAATTTGGATAACTGATGACTTTATACCCAAAACTGCGATTTACGTAAAATTTCCGTCCGTTGATCGATGCACAATCAAATGATATATAAGATTATATCTGTCACTGGCTCGATCTTGATCTTTTATGAAAATAATGTTCCGAAATGATAGTTGCTAAGTTGGATACCTATTACCAATATGAATTATGTATCAAATTTGCCAAGGAAACAATTAGTTGACATTTTGTTGGTTCCTTACGTTGAAACAACGTTGACAACTAAACGAATCTCGACTAACTTTCTTTGGTTGCATGATAAACGTTGAATCAACGTTTATGAAAGGTTGATCAACCAAACAACCAAAATTCAACGTTGATTCAACGTTGATTCAACGTTGTGTGCCCGCTGGGAGGTCACGGCACTTCGCGAGACCTTCGTACTCCCGGTGACAAACAACATACACTTGGTCCGGTTTAGTAGTCATATTTGGCGGTCGCGTAATTTGGAACCAGAACTGGTTCATGATATACGCTTGTTACCGGAAATCTGGTACCGGAAGTAAGCTGGGCCCAGTCTCGCATATCGCAAGTTGGTGCGCGCAAAGGGAGCCGGTAACCAGCCTAGACCGCGAGGAAAGCCTCGCGAGACTTACAGGCCCATTTTGCTTACATGAGCTTACATGAGTTGAATGATTTCACTACATATTGACACTCTTCACACGCCACTGATATGCGGCAACCGCTCGTGTGTATTCACGGGCGATAGAGAAAGAAATAGTGCTGGATAAATATTTTCAAGCAAATACCATGTTTGTAAATTTAGAAGACATGTTAAAGGGACTATATCACACCACACTTCTCTAAAAATATATAATGCATTCCTCTCACTAACACTAACACTAATACTATCAGCCCACATGGATTCTACCATATAGTTTATTCCCCGACGTTGCATTAAATCGACTCTTGCAATCGCTACCGGACGAACATTATTTCAAGCGAACCCATAGAGCTGCGTCCCTTGGAGCGCTCTTCGCGAATATCCTACGCACAACTTGTGATTGAAAGCAGTTCAGCAAACACCGACAACAGCGACAGTTTTCCATGTATGGAGCAATTGTTTACATTCCATGTATGGCAAGATTTCTCTGTTTGGAATCTGTTCGCCTTTCAATTATCGATTTCAGGCACGTCGTAAGGGATAAGTCTTTTATTGCATCAATAGGAAGCTAAAGTGAGGGCATATGCCCCAATATGTATAACATAACAAAAGCAAGATTTATGGATGTCAACTTCTTTATTGTGAAGAGTTGACATCCATAAATCTTGCATTTCTTATGCATTCCACTTCTAAATGCCCTTCAAAGATTTGATATATAACATAGGCCAAAATATTGTCGAAAATGTGTGACATTGTGCCTTTACAACCTGTTCCGATATTAAAGGTGGTCTCTGTCTCTGTCCTACTCTAAAGTCTATGAACAAATGTTACCAATCAGAATCAAGCGAAAAAAGTAGGGTTATCGCGAACTAAATTGTATAAAAATAAAATCAATTATATTAGATATTTTAAATTATATTCTTAATACCTACTGATTAGGTGAGCGCTATAGGACTTGTACTAACGTTACTGTGACTGTCACTTAACAGGAATATCTTAAAATTAGATAACTTGAGGTTTTCAGAGACTGTCTCCATATCGTAAGTACCATATACGTTTGTAGTACACGTGGTTAACGGCCTCTTCATCATACAATATTCTTTTCAAATTAATTGACTTTTAAGACAAAATTTCACTCAGTGTTCATATATTGCCAAATGATTTGCAGCTATACTATTCACACTTTAAATAGATACAATTTCAAATTATAAATCTATGTTTAAGTAAATTCGGGAATTTGTGTGATCCTTAGCAAAGTGTGAGTAGTATATTTCCGTTACATGGTCACAAAGTGCTCATTCAAATGTACGAGTACTTACCGGATCGTGTTGCTATGTTTAATCTGATGTCACAGAGACTAGCATACACATACCAGTGATGTGACTTATTTGATTGAGCGAAATACCAATACAGAGTTCTGTCATGCAGCTCTCTTCACCGACCCTATAATATACATTTGATCGACATCAGCCAGGGTGGAAGGAAATTGGAGTTACTTCCCTTAGTGTGTCGCCGACTCGACTGGCTTTTCCGTGATAATGTCTTCCAATATCAAAGTCCAAAGGTTATTAATTAATTTGTTTTCCAATATATCATATACAATGAGAACAGTCGCCTTGGACTGGTATGATAGGAGACCTGCCATATGAAAATACAATCTCTAAACACATAGCCGAGGCCCCATTGATACAGCTCCAGGTTATATAAACAGCACACGTTCGTGTCTGAGGCCCATTTCGTTGATCTACGGAAAACATAGTATGACATAGGCACTCATATAATATCCTCTATGTGTGTATCACCTCCATACTTGCAGACACCTATCTTGGATGCTACAACGACAGCTGGACTCGCGCACTCAACGGGTCCTCCCTCGAGTCTTCAACTATGAACCACAACATGTGTTTCCAGCACTGCTGGCCGTATAAATATGCTGGCTTAGAGGTTTGTTTTTTATCGTAATATCTTTGATATTAATTTCTTGATCCCATTCCCGAGTCAATACGGTAATATATCTCCCTGAACATCTTACAAACATAAAAGAAAGTAAACGTAAAGATGCAGTTCCAAATGAATAATCGAAGCGGACAAGCTCTTTGAATATTTATTTCAGCCTGTCGATTCTGTTGTGTCTTTCAATGAATTGATAATTCCTTACAAGTGTGGATCCATTTCTCTAACATATACCATGTGAAGTTCTTGAAAGGCATTTAGAGGTTGGACGAACATGAATGCAAGACACGTTTTTGAATGATAACTTCTTTTATTCTGTATACTGTATATTTATTCAGAGCTAATGCATGCTCCTTCATCATGTATTCATAAAACATCTGACATTTGCCAAAGAAAGACAGTTTTATAACGACGTCCTATCATTTGGCTCAAAATTCAGGCGGTCATGGTAAACAGTGTTTACTTTACGTGACCAAATGTGAGGTGTTCGGATCTTAGCGGAGGGAGGTATGGACTAGAAGTAACATCCTGACTTTAATGCAAGCAAGAACTGCTCAAGAATGTTCAATGATATATTTTCATAAGTACTACTCAGAATAGTTGATCTTTGACACAAATTGTCTGTGCAAATGAAGTCAATTACCTTTTCTTTCTCTCAGTCTTTATTTAATAATAATAATAATAATATGGACATTTGTAGAGCGCAGTATAGTAGTAACTCCACACCTCAAGGGCATGCTCTTTGCGCAACAGTAAATATGTACACTATATACAGGAAGAAGTTTTATAAGATTTAGTTGTGCTTGAACAAGAATGTTTTGAGTCTTGATTTAAAGATGGAGATGGAAGGAGATGACTTGACATGGAGAGGTAGTGAGTTCCAGAGGGGAAGCTGAGTGAACGCTATATTTCTAAACTATCATAACAACCTCCGATGTCTGATGGGTAGGTCATCTGCCCACAGAGGTGAAGGTCTCTATACGCATTGTAATTGAGACGCTTGTCACACTAGATCTCTCTCAATAACGGGGTGCAAATGGCTCACAAAAATATTGAAACATTAATCCAGTTGTATTTGAGTGAAATCATTCATTTTGCCATGGTAACATATTAGGCAGTTTAAAACCAACGGGAATTCAACAAGAATTGAAAACTTTTGAAATATAACAAGCTAACAAGATAGGTACACTTTTAGAGAAACCTAACACAGAAATGTTTGTTATAACATGGGATAACAACCTAAGCCGATAAAAACACACATCTAGAAAGCAGTCATGGCCCTTATTACCAAGCCTGGGAGTACACGTTTCCTTATCATTGTAAATGTGTTCTTGCAAGGTAGACTTACTAATCCCCAGCAAGTACAGTGCAAGATAAAACATACTGAACTTGCAAACATTGACCAAACTGTGTGAAAGCAAACTTTAGGAACGCAGGATACACATGAAACAAAATGCCATGAAGTGACAAATACTTTCAAATCCTCTGAAAGTTTAATCATAAACCATATGTGTCGTCTAGTTAAGGAGGAAACATGGTTTAATAGTTTCTAACCACTAGATATAAACCACTATATAAGTAACGAACATTTCAGGCAACATTTCAGGAAACACTGTCTTGTCATCAGACAGACTTAAACTGGGCAGATTTCAAGATGTTGAAACTGAAAACAATCATATAAAGATTTAATGAGCATGTTTGGGAGCTTTTTTTTGCAAACTAAAAATTGACATTATCTTTATAAATCTTAACAGTTTAATTGCAGAAAGTTAACTATTCTCAAATCTACTTATTATCATTCAATCTTTTTGGGGTAAAAATTTCAAATAATGATACTGTAACTATATAACATGAGACAAGCAACAAAAATCTGGAAAAAATAGCACTGTAGCTTAATTTTAATCCAATCGAGCGACAGAAATATCCGTTACTGGGATGAAATGTTCCTTGTGGTTGTTATTGATGTTATGGTAAGGTTTCTATTGCCCAGTTGCAAGTCTGTCTCATCAAATACAGAGTGACATTACTTTGTAAACTCGGAACACGTGACTTATAACTAAACAGTAAGTGGTGGTGTCAATTTGTTATTTAGTAATGAAATGTTCGTTACATCGTTACTTCCTATTTCAGATGACTTTCAATTTTAAGTCTTTGGTGATAGTATCCATCCCCTTTAACTTCCCAGATGGGATAGGAGTCACGTGGTATTTGAAAAATAGTATCAGAACTTCACATTATAAATTAGTTCGAATATCCTGGTAACGAACATTTCAGTAACGGAGATTTCATATTCTGGCAAATCAAGCAGAAGTTACCATTAACCCCACACAAGCTTTGAATATTTTTTTCTTTTCCCATCTGGCATACTTTGTGTTCTAAATGTCACTTAAACTATGTAAAAAAAGAGCACAATTCCCTAATTTGGCGGTGGTAACGGACATTTCACTCGTATTTATACGCATGGAATATTTCCTATGTATTGAGATATACTATGCAGAGAGTTATTCTAAACCCCAAATAATGTCAAGTACCATTAATGTAAACAGAAATTGTATTCATTCAAAGTGAATGGGTAAGATTATGTTTTGTTCTACACATGTACATGTTAAGCTGAAAATTAGTCACGGATATTTCCTTAAAACTGGCGACATGGCATTAGAACACATTCATTTGTCTAAAAAGAATGCATTGGTCTAACAATTTGCAGAAAATGAAACTTTTGACCAATATCAAAATCCTAATCTACTTAGATCCAGGTATTTGTATACCAAACTGCATTAACTGCAAAGTAAGGTTTTGTTACCGGCGACAGTAACGAACATTTCAAATTGACCTATTACCGTAGCTGTAACAAATATATTTTTGGTGTTATTGGACTGTTTAAGCATGATGGATGTTGGCCAGGTTGGAACCATTATCCAACCATACTGATAATAACATTTACTAATGAAGTTTAGGAGAAGCATGGACAGCATTTGCACCCCGTTATTGAGAATGAGTGTAGACGGTCGGCACGAAAGAAGTTGTGGTGCTGAATTTTGAAGTAGCTCCAAATAGTGTAGCGGCAAAGCTGAGGGAAGCAAGCGTTGGTATATCACCTGGTGTGTTTAAGGAGAAATGGGCTACATTAATCCAAAAGGAGTGATGACGATGACGACGAAAACGATAAAGACGACTGTTGCTGCTACTACTACTACTACTACTACTACTACTACTACTACTACTGCTGCTGTTGCTGCTGCTGCTGGGGCGGTGGTTAAAGTGTTCGTTCGTCATGCCGAAGACCCGGGTTCGATTCCCCATATGGGTACAATGGGAATATTGCTAAAAGCGGCGTAAAACCAAACTCACTCACTCATTACTACTGTTTCTACGATGACTACGACGACGATGATGATGATGATGATGGTGGTGATGGTGGTGGTGATGACAGAAATTCAAAGATCTTTTCTTTCTATTTCAGTTCTCAGATGAGTGTTTTTGCGATGACGTCCAAGCACCCGGCCATACACTTCAAAATGATTCCAACTGCAACAACGCCTGCTCGGGCAATTCAGACGAGACGTGTGGGGGTTACTGGTTCATAGAAATCTATGAATTAGTTCAAACATGATTCCCTGGCGTGAATGATGACGTAAATGCCCTGTCTCCACAAACCATGAAGATCCGAGTTAGAATTGATATTCAGTAACCCATGCTTGTCGTAAGAGGCGACAAACGGGATCGGGTGGTCGGGCTCGCTGACTTGGTTCAGACATGTCTTCGTATCCCAGATGCGCAAATCGATGCTCATGGTGCTGATTACTGGATTGTCTGGTCCAGACTGGATTATTTACAGACCGCCGCCATATAGCTGGAATATTGCTGAAGTGCGGCGTAAAACTAAATTCACTCACTCACTCCAAGCTACATTATGCTGATTATAAGAGGCTACTTATGGATCGGGTGGTACGATTCGTTACGATTCGACAGCATGAGCACCGACCTACGCAATTGGATAGGATGACATGTGTCAACCAAGTCAACGAGCCTGACCACCCGATCCCGTTAGTCGCCTCTTACGACAAGCATGGATGACTGAAGATCAATTCTAACCCGGATCTTCACGGGTCCATTGAGCATAAAAAGAGAATATGTCAGCACAAGGCTACCCCAATGATTCGAGTAAAAATCGTTTGTCCTGACACAGGCGTTATCCCAGCATTCATCAAGTAATGCATAGCACAGTATCTTATCCACTTTTATACTGAAACTTTTATTTGAAAGGCACATTTAATGTACAATCTGGCATCGGGGCAAATGTGGCAAATTCAATAAAATCGAACTGCATTTTGAAATGGATATGTGAGCAAAAGCAATCAACATGTGGAATGATTGAACACAACGCAGGTTGCTCTGTAGTATGAGTGAGGTAGTTCAGTTTATAGTCGCTCTGAACAATATTTCAGATTACGGAGCCCCTGAGAACATCCGGGTTACAATCAGTCTTTAGCAAAACACGCGTGTCCCAAGAGGCGACAAATAGAATTGATATGTCTGCATCGCTGACTTGTTGATATAATCATTATTGAATCCCAATTGCGTAGATCGGTGTTAATGATGCAAATTACTGAATTGTGTGATCCACACTCGATATTTGAGACTGTCGGCATACAGTGGAGCACTGGAGTATTTGATAAAACAACGAACAAACACACCACGGAATTCTAGCATAAAGTGGGACCCAAGTCCGTTGTGGCCACGTTTCTCACGTTCATCGCCTTTGCACAGAGGAAATAAAAACAGTCTAATGAGTAACTACAGATTTGTGAAATAAATAGAAAATATAGATTTCCTATATCAGGTTTCCAATTATACTGATTACGACTAACGACGTCTTGTGAAATATTCACGCAATGGATTCAGCTGAAATGTAGTGTGACGAATCCGTCTTCATCCTGAACGATGTCACTGAGACAGTATCATTTAGAAGAGTTGTAATTGGTGTGGTTACTCAAATACTCAGTGAAACGTGAAAAACTAACACCATATTATAGGTTTTTGTGATTAATTATTCTAGAAAATATCGTCGGCTATTGATTAATCTTGTCGATCAATAATATTTTGACTGGAGAAAATAATAAGTGATCGGATGATGTAAGTATTTTGCGTGCGTGCGTGCGTGCGTGCGTGCGTGCATGAATGAGTGAGTGTGTCAGTGTATAAACGAATACTAGTAGTATATATGATGTCGTTATACATGTCGTGACGCCAGAGCACCAGTTTTATACTTTATGCTAGTTACCACTGGATTGGTTGGTTGTTTAATTTCTGCTTGGTTGTATGTTCAGGCGGCAACAACACCGCCTCCATGGTGTAGTGGTTAGAGCGTCCGCCCAGAGAGCGGAAGGTCGAAGGTTCGGTCCCCGGCCGCGTCATACCAAAAGACGTTAAAATATGGTACTTGCCTGCCTACCGCTCGGCATTAATGGGTACAACAAGGACTGGTCGGCTCGAAGTCAGTATAATGTGTCTGAGTGGGGTATTCATGCTTCACTGCGGCATGGTATATCAGTGAGCTAGCACTATAAAACCAGCTTAAGTCTGGGCTAGTACAAGCAGCCACACATACATACACACGCATGCACGTCGTCATATGAGCGAAATAGTCTTAAGTACGACGTTAAACCCTATTTCACATCACCTCACCTCAGGTCAGGGGCGGTGGGGTAGTCTAGTGGTTAACGCGTTCTCTTGTCACGCCGAAGACCCGGGTTCGATTCCCCACATGGGTACAATGTGTGAAGCCCATTTCCGGTGTCCCCTGCCGTGATATTGCTGGAATATTGCTAAAAGCGGCGTAAAAAGGAACTCACTCACTCACTCTTCAACCGTGAGCTGAAACGTCGTAAAATACTTGAATGCAGTTCAAAGCGGTATTGAGCACACTCACGTATTTGTACTATAACCACTAGAGTACCCCACCGCCACTCACGTAGGAAGACCTACTGATACTGTTCCACTTGGTCCTCTATGTTGACCACTTGGAAGGACGGACACGAGTGTGGTGCAGGCAAACCATATACAAAATAGTAATCAGGGTGAATGAGGATTCGAACAATGAACCGTTTCTGAACGTGTCCAAGGGACGCAACTGTCCTGTGAATTGCCGCGTCTTATATTGATTACTGTATAGTGTGTAGGAATATTTATTGACAATTTTAGGGCTGTAACGATGCATCGAACTATCGATGGATTGCAATTGTTGAGTCTCCAATAGCAATTAATCGATAGTAGAAACGAAAAAAGCTATCGATGCATCGATAGTATGTGTGACTATCGATAGTTAGGTAATAATTATTGACTTCTGATAATAAATGCTCAGCGCCAAATACAGGAAGTACCAGCTTCGTTCATTTTGAGTTAGAGTTATCCGCCCCTGATACCTCTTAAACAAACATGGCTGTTTACTAGATCTGGGTTTCTAGGTTTCTTGTCAGTTTAAAAAGAGACTGAAACGTCTTAATTTGTTTTTATTTCATATGAACTATACATTCATTTGGGAAATGACTTGAAATGAGACAATTCAAGGGGGAAAATAGTATTGCAATAGTTTGTCGCAATAGACTATCGCTATCGCAATAGTTTGTCGCAATAGACTATCGCTATCGCAATAGTTGTTTCCCCCTCAGTAGTTAGACCTAATTGACATATTCTTAGTTTCACACACGAGGAGCTGTACAATGGGTTCATCTAATTGGTGTCAGGGTATCAAATATTAAGTAGATTATTATAGTCAAAAAAGTTGCAGCTTCAGCATATGTTTCTCAATCAATACGACACGTTTTAAGGACTATTGGCTTACGGAGTAATTATCAATAATGAGAAAGTTTTTGTGGATATTTTAATACAAAGGCCCTTTTTAATATTAGAAGAGCCAGCAAGATTTAACTAGGTGTTGTCACATGACTGATGAGGATCTACTTGAAATACGCAACAGTCCCTTCAAGCGTTCAGTTTTGGAGGACTGGAGAAAACTAACAGCAACTGCCGTACCATGTGATGTGTAATGCGACGATCTTATATACCATAACAAGGGTTCGAACTCATTGAACTAAACATATCCCCTGGTGAACTTTGCGAGGGACAATGCTGAAAGACATCATGTCATCTTGGTTCCTATTTGCAATGACTATGGTCCTTGCTGTTGATACGGCGTCGCATGGCCATACGACAGGGTTGCAGAATGAAACTTATGTGACCACCCCACAGGGAAGTCTGCCTACCACTCAAGAACCTGTGACCTCCCCACAGGGAAATCGGTCTACCACTCAAGAACCTGTGACCTCCCCACAGGGAAATCGGTCTACCACTCAAGAACCTGGAACCTCCCCACAGGGAAATCGGTCTAACACTCAAGAACCTGTGACCACCCCACAGGAAAGTTGGTCTACCACTCAAGAACCTGTGACCTCCCCACGGGGAAATTGGCCTACCACTCAAGAACCTGTGACCCCCCCACAGGAAAGTTGGTCTACCACACGAGAAACTGTGACCACCCCACAGGAAAGTCGGTCTGCCACTCGAGAAACTATGACCACCCCACTGGAAAGTCGGTCTGCCACTCAAGAACCTGTGGACCAGGGGGGCGAGATCCTCACCGCGGTACTGGACACGGAAGGGCAGTGCAACGCCATGTGTGTCTACGTGAAGCCTTGCTCCACATATTGCTGGCAAACTCAGACTGGGGTCTGTCAGCTGAAGGCTACTGGTAGGGGGAGCGGCTGTAGACCGGGACAGGAATGGGTATATGGGACCTTGGACACCGTCCGTATTGTAAGTATTATGTAACCTTCATCAATGTTAAACTTTGTTCCGACAAAGGCGACGTTCTACCCTCTTGGTACTGTCTCGTCAACAACTGAATCGTACATCACGATTACGCATGCTATCATCTTTTCGTATGTGTTTGTTGTTCAACTCCGCACTCAGCAATATTCCAGCTATATGGCGGAGGTCTGTAAATAATCGAGTCTGGATCAGACAATCCTGTGATCAACATCATGAGCATCGATCTAGGCACATGGGATACGGTGAAGTGTTAATTGCGTCAAGAGGCTACCGACCCACCGTACACGTTACAGTGACGTATGGCTTACAGTTACCCATTGCCAACTCATCATATCAATGTTTTAAATTTACAAAAGTACATACACACACAGATATATACATATATATATATAGATATATATATATATATATATATATATGGTGTATATATATATATATATGTATTCTGGTATATATATATATATATATTTGGAACAAAACAGAAACTTCACACTTGGAGAAATTAATTATTTTGAAAATGGTCAGTAGAAGGTAGTTACTATGGGCGACTACCATAATGGCCAGATTTAACCTGACGCAACCGCTCATTTTAAGTGTGGTGACCAACGCGGAGTGCATGAAGCACGCTCTTTAGTGAAAACGCTGCCCCGAGGCCACGTGACCATAATTTCGTGACCTTAACAACCAACACGAGTGCAGAACTTTCTGGGGATTTGAACATGTTAACAATCCTTGGGAGATAAAGAATTTTCATGCCACGCCTTACAAATCTTGAACGTGAGCGTGCAATTGGCATGTCCTAGGCTGGTGTGACTGTAGCACGTGCCATGAGATGCGGAAGGTGGACAATTCACAACCCGAGAACACGTGTGCATCAAACGGTTACAACATCTGACCGCCCCAAGTCAGGACGGCCACGTGTGACGGCACGTGACGAAGATAATCAAATTCGGCTTCGTCATTTGCGTAATCGTTTACCGACCGCAACGTCAACCAGTAATGCACTGTTTCTGGGTCCTGTGGCCATGTCCGTGCCAAACGTTCCCATGTTAGGCCGATTCTGACACAGATAGACCGTAATGAAAGTCTACGTTGTACCTGCAGACGTGTTGACGTCATGGTGTGGCCATCGAGATCACCTGACTTCATCACACACTGATTGGATGCTCTTTGAAGAAATCTTCGTGCTTTGAGACGTCAATCCCAGAACGTACGTTGAAGTGCTGGGCAGCCATGTTGGTACAACAATGAGACTTGCTGTTGTGAACGAGAGAGCGGTCATACGCGTCAACAAACGCCAATACAGATGGCCACTCCCTGTGAAAGGTGACCCCATCATGCTACTGTTGACTGTGGAGGGTGCCACAAGCGCACCTCAATGTCTAATCCTGTTTTGGTGTACGCACATTACCTCCATTAACAAGATTTATCCACCAGCAACACACTTTGTTCTATATGGGAATGTTTGTGACATAAAGTAGCACATATAAATGTACCTTTCTTCTTCTTTTTTTTAGTACACGTGTATTCATTTAAATGGCCGGTATGTTCTACTTAAGTTACTTGTTCTTAATACAAAGGTAATTAGTACATTTCTTGAGTGTTTGGCATATTTACCTAACCAGTGGTTCATGAAAAGGGTACACATGTCCTGCTTTACCGGTAGCACCCACCATTCACATCATTTACTGAAGAAAGGAAGTATTTTAGTGCCTGTACTCCTGTTGATAAACCTGATCATCAATATCTTTACACCGTTGGGTTTATTGATCAAAGAATAAACCTTCATTTCCAGCGCATGGTCCTAGCCACACTTCCCCAAACACATATCTGAATATACACCAAAATGCAAGGAAGCCTTTCCAGTTTCGGCTATCTTGAATTAAACATTATTATTATGTCTCAAGACAACAATATTCTTCTGACTTCACAGTTGGAACATTGAGACAGCCTAGTGGTTGAAGCATTCGCTTGTCAAGCCGAGGACCCAGGTTCGATTCCGCACATTGATACAATGGCTGAAACCCATTTCTGGTGCCCTTCAACGTGATATTGATAGAATATAGCTAAAAGCGACGTAAAACCACACTCCAGTCACTTATTCACTAGCCGTAACCAAGACTTTGTAATTCTCTAATTATGATCTAAGGGTGGATAGTACTGGATAAGGTGCTAAACCTTTACGCCATAATACTATATTACAATACCTATCATGTATATTGTCTATACTTAGTGAGTGAGCGCTTGAGTAGGATTTTACGCCGCTTTAGCAATTTTCCAGCAATATCTCGGCGGGGGACAGTGGCACGAGTGTTTCACAGTCACTATCACGATATCGACATGTAACGTTAATGACAGCAGTCTATCTGGTCGACCAATCCTTTTCATCAGAACGACGGTAGTCGAAGTGCCTCTCAAACTGGAGACCTAACATTGGTACAATGTGAGAATCCCCCGCCGTGATGGACTAATGCTAAAAGCGGCGTACAACTAAAACTCATGCGATATTAATGAATTTGACTTTTCATGCATATTGGCATAATCGACAGGAGGGCGCTTTTGGCCAATAATCTAACAAACTCTATGGTCATCTGACGTTCAACGACTAATGCAAATTTCAACCAGATGTCCCCGAAACACTGTTAAATAAATATATGAGTGAGTGAGTGAGTGAGTGAGTGAGTGAGTGATTGAGTGATTGAGTGATTGAGTGATGTAAGTATGTATGTATGTATGTAAGGCTCGATTATTCAAAGACCACCATTGCTTGGCAGTACTGTTGTGTGACGTCAAACAAGTAACAAACACTGATTGCATGAGTGGCCGGACATGCTCACTCTTTTCACGAACACCAGGTGTTATCACTGATCATACAATTATCACTACCATGTTGCCATTTACGAGGAATATTGTTTCTGCCATAATCGACAAAGATTATTCTTGGGCGCTGGCATTTTATATGTATTTGTGTCGTTGTACCCCTCAAAACGAAAAGTGTACGAATACATGTATTATAATGTCACGCTGTTCTTATCCAGGGAGCGGACCATCCGTGTGGCGGCCGCCCATGCCAGACAATGGAGATGTGTATACGTGTGACTTCAGTGTCATTATGTCTGCCCCTAGGTGAGTACATATTGATGTAATACCTAATGCGGCGTTTCTGACAGTATCTATACTACCAACATATTGATCACTTTCCATCTCCTCTTGACAATCCTAGTTCCTTTACAGGTTCAAGTAACGTTGACACCACCACGACTGAAGAGCCTAAAAGTCGCACTCCGAGCTCCATTTCAACTGACAAGCCTACAACCCCCAGATCAGTTGATGAGACTAAATCATATAGAACTGACGAACCCGAAACTGCCTCTGATGTCGACACTACCACTAAAAGGACTACCACTCCTACATCTGATGATGAGACCACTACTAGACGTTCTGGGACGACCACGACGAACTTGTATGAGACCACCACCGCGCTATCTTGGACTGCCACTACAACACTGCCTCACACCACCATGAAAGAAACAGAAATAAAAGGCTAGAACTAAAGCATACATAACTAGCACCAGACGATCTAAGACCGCCATTATAAATAAAAGCACATGCACTGGAGGACCAAAGGATGTCACAACGAAATCGTATGAGACCACACGAGTGTCTAGGACTACCGTTACGAAATAGTGAGAGGCCACCACAAATGTATATAGAACAAGCACTAGAGGGTCTAACACAGCCGCTACGAAATAGCGTGATGCCATCAATAAAGACTATACAACTAGCACTAGAGGATCCAAGACCGCTCTATGAACAGCATGAGACCACCACCATTAAAGCACATAGTACAAGCACTGGATGGACCAAAGGCTGCCACAACGATATTGTATGAGACCGCTACAGGGTCTAAGACGACCATTCAGAAACACTGTGAGGCTACCACAAATGTATATAGAACAAGCACTAGAGGATCTGAGACTGACAGTATGAGATATTATGAGACAACTAGAGCATTTAGAACTAGCACTAGAGGATCTAAGACCGAAGACTTTCACTACGAAATATACTGACTACTAAACAAAAACTTTACCGTAGTTTTGAATCAGTCTAGTTGAAATATCACAAACGATAGATCCACGAAGTAAATTGTATAACCGGGTCACAATTTCAACGAAATTAGCATTTAAAATGTCAATCATACAACCGATATTTGCATGATATTTGCCCGAATTGCGATGGGGTAGTAAAAAAAAGTTTTCAACGAAATGAACAAAGGGCAATGCCGCGGAGAAAAAGCCAGTCGTCCCTGATGACGTCACGTGAGCTACAACGCCATTTTCCTTGGAGGGCCTGGATCAGTCTAAGTAAACATAGGCTCAGTATTATTCGTTACACTGCTATACTAAGTCTAACAAAACCTTGTTATGGATAACAACTTATTTGTTTCTCACGACGTTTCTGGGCTAGTTCTTGCCTCTTGTTCACCCACCTTTCGTGAGAAACAGTTGTTATCCAAAACATTTGACTTGTATCATTACACCAACTTCTAAATGCCTTTGAAGAATTTCATTACAACACTTGAACTATATAACTCACTATATATAACTCATGCATTATTGACTTGACGCGTCACAGAGCTGTTCCATAGTGATTCCATTAGGACCCTGATCCAAACCCGTATCGCAAAGTGCATGCATTGTGATCTCGTGATACACTACCTTCGACCCAAAACATCACAAATACTGTTGCGGCACGGTGCAAACGTACTCGTAGTTTAGATTGCGTATTTTAGGAAGCAAATCCTGTTGCACATTCCATGTACATAGGGCACGGTTGTGTGTGAGTTTGGTTCCCGATTCAGGGCCTATATTTTCGAAACGTTTGGAGCCCTACTAACTTCTTGAGCCCATTCTTAACATATTGGCTACGATCAAAGTTAACAATTCTTAGGGCTTGGCTACGATCAAAGTTAACAATTCTTAGGGCTACGAACGTTTCGAAACTCTAGGCCCAGGACAATAATGAAAACACTATGGAACAGCTAACAGCTCTGAGTAGCCACAAATAAAAATCGTTCATTACTGCAGTTAGTTATTGAATGTTCTGCTAATAGTTGTTAGGTGATCAGTCAGCAACACCACTGGTGATTATTTTATTCAAATACAACCAAATGAAGCCATATGTTAGATCGGGAAGCTGTGAAGAATCCGATCTGCGAAAGTGTAAATTCATACGTTTGCAACAAGCACATTTAATGGTTCATAACAATTATAAAATGTTTTTTTCCCTCATCTGAATCAATAAACACTCCTATATTTAAAAACAGAGTCCATTAATGTTAAATGAAAATGACATTACAGTCCAGCTAAGAACATCCCAATTTTTTAAAAAAATGAAACAGTAACAGCATTGCGTAACAGCAGATCAATACAAGAATATGAGTGAGTGAGGTTTTACGCCGCTTTTAGCAATATTCCAGCTATAAAGCGGCGGGGGACACCACAAATGGGCTTTACACAATGTACACATGTGGGGAATCGAACCCGGGTCTTGGGCGTGACGAGCAAACGTTTTAACCACTAGGCTACCTCACCGCCCCTACCAGAATATGATATATGGAGGGCAACTTTAGTCAAATGAAAATTAACTTCTATGTTTTTGCTTTTATGGAGGTAGAAAGGGACCAACCTATGTGCACACCATTCTGCGGATCTACGCGCACAGAACACGCCAGCAAAATATGCATACCCATTTTAGAAGGTTTTGCGCGCACCTTACATCGGATGTGCAGCAAAGAAAAGAGCTCACATCTTTTTAGCGCATTTACAGCAAATGCGCACATCATTTGGTGGATTTGCATCAAAGTGTGCACACCATTTTGGCGGATTTGCAGCAAAGTGACTTAGTTAAGGGCAGGGTTGCAATAAAAGTTCTGTCCATCCTCTTATAAGGCGGGTCAGGAAATAGTGGGCGTGGCCTATATGTTCCAGTTGTCAAATCAACATATATGTACCGTTATATACGAGTCACGTATCACAGATGACGTCATCGACCTGCAAACACAATCAACAGATGGCGATAACTGGTTGCTCCCATGTTTGTTGATGGACACCCTGAAAGGGGCAATTGAAGATGTTGAATACGCTTAGATGTTATCCTCAACACACATTTCTTGATGTCCATCACTCCTTTCAAAGGAAACGTGCACACAACCGAAGAGGTCCAATTATGGGGGGAAATTGGTGTAATTAGGTTTTCTCAGCCTACACCACTGATGCCAACACATCATACACTAAGTATTGGGCTCGGCACCAAGCTACAGTCTGAAGTTACCCCAAACAAACTGAAAACATTTGGAATCAGATCTTTCTGCTTTTGTAGCAGCAATTTTTTGGAATGCACTCGCCATAGAACAGAGTGATTGAACCATGTGAACTTTTTAGAGGAAGACTTAGAACTCATCTCTTCAGCAATATTGACTGTTAGCGTTTTGAGCATGTACTGCATGGAGTTTATCGCAATGTAACCAAGCATTGTTACTAAGTGGGATCAACAAAATATCAATATGAGGCATGTAATCTATACCATATCATCTATTTTCAAATGCACATATAACATAACAAGGTTCCTTATCCTCATTAGTTTGAATACAGATAGAAACCATTCCCAAAACGTTTTCCGCAAACAATTGTTAGTCTCCACTCTTCGGATATCTTGCAGTCAGTTCTCAACAAGCATGAAAACAGCTTAATTCAAGTATTTGGAAAAGCTAAATAAAAAGTGAGCTGATTTTGTTATCTATCTTTGGAATAATACCTACTATGTTTAATTGTTTGGTTGACAGATATGAACAATATCAACTGGATGCACCATGTATCCAAATGGGAAGAGAAAGATACCTACTATGTATAATTGTTTGGTTGACATATATGAACAATATCAACTGGATGCACCATGTATCCAAATGGGAAGAGAAAGATACCTACTATGGTTAATTGTTTGGTTGAAAGATATGAACAATATCAACTGGATGCACCATGTATCCAAATGGGAAGAGAAAGATACCTACTATGTTTAATTGTTTGGTTGACAGATATGAACAATATCAACTGGATGCACCATGTATCCAAATGGGAAGAGAAAGATACCTACTATGTTTAATTGTTTGGTTGACAGATATGAACAATATCAACTGGATGCACCATGTATCCAAATGGGAAGAGAAAGATACCTACTATGTTTAATTGTTTGGTTGACAGATATGAACAATATCAACTGGATGCACCATGTATCCAAATGGGAAGAGAAAGATACCTACTATGTTTAATTGTTTGGTTGACAGATATGAACAATATCAACTGGATGCACCATGTATCCAAATGGGAAGAGAAAGATGTACATGCTCTGGTACTCATTAATTAGTGTTACCTTATGTTGGGTTATGACAGGCATTTGAAAGACTTGTTCCATGCCATTACCATAGCTGGATAATCCCAAGAGCTGTTATGATAAGTCATATCGGAGGTTTGTACATGACACTCAAAATCATTGGTACCAACGATCCCCAATGCCACTGTTATTGCTGTTGTCGCTGCCCTTATACCAAGGGGTTGGTGTTCTAACTGAGGACCGGTACTGGCGGAGGGACGTAGAAGATGCAGTCTTCTCTGTATCATTTAGAGGGTTGAGTCTCCCCTGTCCAATTGGTGGCAGGGACGCCTGTCCTGGCCGTCTGGTCTTGTTAAAATATCTGCTTTGACTTGACTTAGCAATAGGAGGCAAACGCACCATTGTATCACTCTTAGCCTCTGCTGGCACAGGTCTTGGTATGCCTTGCTTTGGTTTACGGGCAGGCATCACGCTGTGTCGTTTCTCCTCTCCGCTGGAAGACAGGTTTTCTACTAGTCTCCGCAAGGACTGATTCTCTGACATCAGAACGTCATATTTGTCATACATTTGTGCCAAACTAGCCTGTATCTGTGTCTTACGTGATTTGACTTTGTTGAAGGTGGCCTCAGCCTTGTTGCATTCTGCTTTCCACATATCAATGTCACGCTCTGCCTTGTCCTTGAGAGCCTGCTCCCGCCTCAGCTCTGACTCAAGGTTCTCAAGCTTCACCTGGTACTCTCTGTTTTGCTCGGACATATACTTCAGGTATCTGAAACCGGGGATTACAGTACACTTTACAGTTATTGAGTTGGAAACAAACCCTGAAGATCTGGGTTAGAAGTGATCTTCAGTAACCCACGCTTGTCGTAACAGGCTCCCTGACTTGGTTCACACGTGTCATCTATCTCAATTGCGTAGATCGATGTTCATGATGTTGTTCACTGGATTCACTGGTCCAGACTCGATTATTTACAGACCGCCGCCATATAGCTGGAATATTGCTGAGTGCAGGGTAAAACTAAACTCACTCACTCGCTGCTTTAACAGTACTCCAGTTACATCAAACTATATTCACAATACCCCTGAAGTTCACATTGCCCGATGTAGTGAGAGCGAGTAACCTCCCTTGAACCGTCGTTTTAGCGGTTTCGCCGATGCAGGTCTCAGGCATTTACAATGTGACTAAGGGACCGTTCATAATTTTTCTCTCTCTCTCTCTCTCTCTCTCTCTCTCTCTCTGTCTCTCTCTCTCGTCGTTGTGATGATGATTTCTATGGAGAAGCATGTACAATGTGTGTGTGACCCCCTAAACTTTTTATGTACAAAGTAAGTGAACCCCCTAAACTTTGTACATGTAAGTGAACCCCTGCATGTCATGTACAAAATCAATTACCCCCTCCCGTCCCATAATTTTTAAGCAGAATTTTATAATAATATTTATGTACAAAATTGCTGACCCCCCCTATGGTAGATGTGTACAAAATTGATGACCCCCATACCTCCCATGAACAAAATGGGTGACCCACCCTTAAAATCATTATCACCACCACTACCCCACCCCACCCCCAGCTATAAATTATGAACGCTCCCTAACCTAGATACACTTATGGTCATGCATCGGATTCGAAACCAATTATTAGTGGTTTTCTTGCATGTCTAAGCTGGTACCTTACAACAAATTGCGCAGCCTTAGACTACGGGTCCATTTGTCTCCCCAATTTTATGAGATTTAGTAGATGCCTATACAAGGAGATTCTATTATTTACATCACCCTTAGCATAGCACTAGTCATGTCATGAACACATATGATTACAGGAATGATATTTGTGACTTCAACTTTGTTTAGGCCATGTCATTTCTTAGTGGTAACCCTGTGACTATGATATTCTTTACTGCTTCAGAGAAAAATACTTATTCGAAACGTTATATATGGATAGTAGGTATATGACTAATTTGTACCAAAATAGTCGATACATAAGTTCTTCAAATATGATTTGTTGTTATTGACTCACTGATATGTTGGAACAGCCCCTCCTCTGCCCTAATATTTGTGGGCATAAGGCGGAAAATGGCACTTAACCTCTTCAGGATGTGTACCCAGTACAACACACTTACTGTTTCTGGTTGTTGAGTGCAGTGACAGTAATGTCCAAGTACTTCTTAGCATTCTGGTGTGCGGCTGTTATCATCTTCAGCTTGCTCTGAACACTGGGTTCGAACTGGTTCAGGAAATGATCTGGTAACACATACGAAATTACACCACATATTACCTCAACAACAGATATGGCTGTGGCTATATAAATGCAGAAATCTTAAATGGGACCCATGTTTCCGTCCTTACAAAAACATGCAAACAAATTTCTTATTCAAGTTCGAGTAGCTGTCTCCAAGAAATATCATCAGACATTTTCGTATTTGATCTGGGTTCCTCATTGAAAGGTGACTTTTGAGGAATACTAACTTGGAGGTAAGTTGTTAAAGAATAGAACTGCATATATGGGTGGTAGAAAATATTAAATTCAGGGTTGTAGAATGATGAAATATAAAACACCTGATAAGAATGAGTAGATATATAAATATCCTATAACAATAAAAATGAAGGGGGAAAACATGCTGCATTAAGAGTATGGAATATAAGCTTAGGACCTACGGGGGAAGTGACAAATCAGAAAACCATGAGCATAACACATTAGATTTCTTAACATGACTTGATGTGACATCCAGCACAAATCTAGCACATTACAACCAAGGTATTGTATAGTATCCAGGTCGATTTTATATGAAGCATGCCTATGATGTAATTTTTTTTTACTACATTTGGGCACTGGAATTCCATCAAACAGCATTCATGAATCAATTTACAATGTTCCTACCATCTAGTCTAATGTCTTGCAGTCCAATGCCAGTATCCTGTGTGTTCACATGGTGACAGGCTGGTCTCTGAGCACCATCATGTTCGTCACTGTTAGATGGAGAGGGGCGAGGCTGTGACACCAGGTCGCTGACGTTCACATTCTTATCTGTGTCAAATAAATAAATGCTTGTCAACTTTTTTGGCATAAATACGTTTGCATAATATCCTTAAGGATCTGATTGCAATCTGAAGTTCCAATAAATGGCAGGTGAAATTATGAAGAATGAATAGATGTATGACATCAGTAATAAATGAGAAGAGCCACACTACATGTGATAAGATTTAGGGGGAGTCTGTGAACAATACAATTAAATTAGGAATACATATATATGTGTTTTTGTACAGCTGCACATGCTGCCTCATTAAGCATTCAGTGGTCATTATAAGCCCTTCAGTTGCCAAAGGTCAATACTTTCAACATATTTCATTTAGTATACTTCACTTCAGTTCTGATTGCCATTTATGAACACTGATTGGTGACCCTGTACAGTTGTCTGCATTGACATGGTAAATATATTTACATTCATTTATATTTATAAACCTGAGGTTCAATATAACAAAAACAAGTGTTTGCCACTGATATGGCAATGTCCCCAGCCACTAAAGAATGGAATATCTATGCCAGAAATGACTGGTGTCTGCATAATCACCCAATATAGGCTGTCAACATAACTGAAAACATTGGGTGCAATGTTTTATGAGATATGGCTTTAAATAAGTTTGAAAAGCGGTCAAAGTGTCGTGGTGACCTTGACGAATAGGTCAAGGTCACCCAAATTGACTGGTGTCTGGGTAATCCCCCAATATAGGCTGTCGCCAAATTTGAAGACATTGGGTACAACAGTCCATGAGATGTAGCGTTAACAAGAGTTTGGAAAGGGTTCAAAGTGTCGTGGTGACCTTGAAAATAAGGTCAAGGTCACCCAAATCGACTGGTGTCTGCGTAATCCCCCAATTACGGCTGTCACCAAACTTGAAGACATTGGGTACAACAGTTCATCAGATATCGCGTTACCAAGAATCAGGACGGACGGACGGACGGACGGACGCCGCTGAATACATAGTCCCCCTTTCGCGTTGCGGCGGGGGACAAAGAAGCGTACTAGTGCGCTTTATCAATTTGTACCCAACTACCTTAAGACACAATAAGATAATGGTTTTTAATGTAATGTGAACAGATAGGCAGTTATTGTCCCACATTCAATATGTATTTTAGTGAGGAAGAATCACGACTTAAGTCTAATAAGCTATAAAACTAGCTCCTTATACAGACATTTTGTGACATTTAATGAGTCTAGCTGTGACAGACAAACCATTCTGACAGCATGGTTTGAGTATCAAGCAGAATAAGACTACCAAGCTACCAAGCTTCACCTTCAAATTCCAAATTTAGTAGTCTCATGCAACACAAGAATGAGATAGTCTGATCTGTGTTCCCAGTAGTATAAATCCTGACATCTGACTTTTCATTTACCAACTGACAGTTAAAACATTGAAAATCAAAACTGATATTACACAGGAATCATATAAAATGATCAATATGACCTACATTGCAAGATCAAGATACTGGTATGGGCTTAAATTACGCAATTTAAAACTCGTGACTGGTCTGTCAGTTGGCTACAAGAAAACGACCAAGCCACGTGAGAGAGAGTTGACACTTCAGGACGACACTTACGTGTGGGAGTTGCTTCTGATGACCGAGAAGATGTACTTCTACTTGGAGATCTCACTTGTATTGGTGGTACTGTTTTCATATCTGAAATGGGCTAACAAAAAAAATACTGAATAGAGATTTGCTGTTGTATCCCAGATAGCATTCGGACGTTGGCTCAACGTTGGCAATGTTGGCAAAACCATTGCCAACGTTGGGCCAACGTCCGAATGCTATCTGGGATGATGTATCAATTAACTTATCCACGTGTGTTCTGGGTTTTCGTAAGCTTAGAATATCCGTTGCTCGAAAGTCGCATGAGCTTGTCGTCACCAACTTATTGATGACAAATATATCTTAAACATAAGCTAATATCCGATTATTTACGACGTTAGTGCTACGCAAAACGCCTCGATATAACGTGTAAACACCGCCATTCGAAAACAATGTAATCCGACCATACATCAGAACAAATGACTCGTTTTTCAACTGTCGCCTGATGATATATAGGCTAAATATTAAAAGTAAAAACAATCAGTTTACATGATGCGAGAACCTAATAATATCCCTGCAGTCGTATACTCAAATTCGTGATGATTACGTTTCGCCCATGATGATGACGAATAACGTGGGAATGGAGCCATTTGAACATATGAAATGCTACAAGGTTTCGTACTTGTTGAACTAATCTAGGTGAGATTGGGGAGATCGCATCCTGTTCCTCGATTTGCACGCATCTAAATTATAACGAAATCCAGAGCTTGAAAATAAATCCAACATCAATAAACCGACAAAAATTCACAGACGCAGCGAAAACAAGGTCACGTGACGTATTCAAGCACGCTCCTTGCGACGTAAGGGTTGCAATTTAGATTATCAGAAAGTAAGTGTATTTCATTGTAATCTTAATTCGATGTGCGGCTAGGAACAAATCCCAAATTACATTTGATACTTGTAGAAAAGAGATTGCATAGTAAAAGTTAGTCAAACCTTTCAGTTCATTTCATTATCTGGAGTCCATTTTGTCAATGCACGGAGTTTCTGAAAAGACGAAAGGGCAGATAACTCTTAGTTTTTGCATTGATGATAATTTGTTATTATCTGTAACATTCCTTGGATCGTATCCTTATGGTTATTTTGCTTTCCTACATTCACCTTTTTAATATTATATGAACTGAGAAGAAGAATCGTCATATTTTTATTTTTTTATCTTTTGCATCAAATGCAAAACAAAGCGGGAACGTGGTAATTATCCAACGCAAATGTCAAAGATTCACCAAAATGGCCGAAATCCTAAAATGTAACTGATTCAGTCTTTCAAATCCAGTTTTATGTTAAACAATATCATGAAGCGAAGAAGATAATTTAGTATAAAGCATATTGGAATTTGTTTGAAAAAGAGAAAGACGTTTGATTCAATGAACGCCCATTGAAACTTCAGTCAGCTCAGTTGGGTGTCACAGCCGTTAGTCAAAATAATAAGCCTAGTGGTTTAGGCGTTCGCTCGTCACTTCGAAGACCCCGGTTCGATTCCCCACATGGGCTCAATGTGTGAGGCCCATTTCTTGCGTTCCCCGCCGTGATATTGGTGGAATATTGCTAAAAGCGGCGTAAAACCTAACTCACTCACTCACTTTAAATTGAAAAGGAGCCCCAGTGAGATGGGAGATTCAAAACCTGAGGAAATGTAGACACGCTTCATTTTGGTCTTGACTGACTGAGTTTTGGTTTTACGCCGCTTTTAGCAATATTCCAGCAACATCACGGCGGGGGGACACCAGAAATGGGCTTCACACATTGTACCCACGTGGGGATTCGAACCCGGGTCTTCGGCGTGACGAGCCAACGCTTTAACCACTTAGGCTACCCCACCGCCCCATTTTGGGCTTGAGCATTGAGGGGAAGGCTAGACAGTAGGGAAAATAATACGGTTTAGGGACTGTGAAACGAACTAGTTAAGTACATCTAGTATACTATATGATTATTTAAGTAAAATGCAATGGACAAATTCTTCCTCCTGTGATACGAACTCAAAGTTTTCTCACTGTCCAATCACTGACTTCCTCTCAGGACCTTCTCATTGTCCAGCCACGGAATCTGCACTCTGGGGTGATTATTTTATGTGAGTTTCAGTCACTTGTACCTAAACGTAAACTTCAATTATTTATAAAGGTAAACAAATGTTTCTCCACTGTGAGAAACTTACCGTTCTCGGTTTGTCTGCTAATAGGCCAAAGGCTCTGTGAACCTCCTCCGGTACCAACATGCCAAGTAAGTCGTGCTGATTGCTACATCTCTGTGTCGTTATTCTGACACACTCAACAACAATCCCAGTAGTAAATAATCTGGACCCGACTGCGGCAGACAATCAAGTGACTGATATTGCATCGAACGATCAACACCGTTGAAGGAAGATTACACACCACCTTCTCTATCAGCGAGCCCACCGCCAGATCCTTTCGGTCGCCAATAACGACCAGCATAGGTCGCTGGTGAGCAGCTTAAATCCGGAATCAACACGGAATGATGGACGTCGTGGAAGAATGTTGTTCCTGTCATTACATTCTCTAAATGCCAGCTTGATGAAACCTGCTGTAGGGCTTGGACGGGTCCAAATTTTCTAACCGTGTACTCAACCCCCATTACCCTACCCTAACCGGATACCCGTCATGTTAATTCTTGACATCAAATTTGTAAGAAATGGCAATATATTCTTCAGCTCGGAGGCTAAAATTTCCAGTTTTTCAATATCTTAACCATGTATTATATTCAAAAGAAGTGACTGTAATTATGTCGAAATCTTCAAAGACAATACAACCTTTTAATCATGAAAGAATAACATATTACATTGTTACTATTAGTCACATGTTCATAACCGTGTATTAAGACGGGTACCGGGGCCAACTCATTACCCACCCGTCCCGGATATCCGGGTTACCCGTCCATGCCCTAACCTGCTGGTCAAGACAGTGTAAGATTATTTTTTGATTATATTTTGATCTGAATATTTGTCTGGATACAGTAACTGTGAATCCTTCAGTTTAAGCTGACTTTGGCCCATGAGGGTGAAACCTGTGGATACAATAGGTGTTTAATCTGACAGCTGGTCCAGGCAGAGTAACCTCTAGATCCTTTAGTTCGATCTGACAACTTGTCAAAATCATGTCACCTGTGAATCCATTACTGATAGCTCTGAACATTGACCAGCATAATGACTACAAAGGATGGGGAGGGTATCTTGTTTAATCCTCTGGACAGTAATATTGCAGCTATATCACAACACCTGATAAACAATTATGTCTGTACCAGAAAAACCTGAGTATCCATTAGTGTTGGGAATTGGTTAAAATCTCATAATTGATGATTGGCTCATTACAACCGCTCATCATCGAAAATAATTGGTTAGCGTAATTTATTAAATTTGTTTTTGCACATAAAGATAAGGAAAAAAACATGTAGTTCTGTTGGGGCTTTTGGCAAAATTTCACATCTTTAAAGGATGACTAGTATGTTAGGAACATAAATTTCTTGGAGCCTTTAAGATAAATTCAATCATGACTTGAAACGAGCTTGTAGTGCTTACAAAATGTAACAGACAAAACCAACCAAGTGAAAAATATTATTAATGAAAACAAGTGTTCCAAAATTGGTTGTGTTCGATTATGAGAAATTATGATCGATTGCTTGGTCGTTTAGTCACTACGACCAATCTTCGATTATTTCAATTAATCGGACCACCACTAATATCCATGCAATGTAGGTTTATGATAAATCTGATCCTTGACTGGCAGCTCCTGAAACCAAAGGGATGCAATTCTGCACAACAAATTGCAGTTGCATGTGAACAAACACAAAGACATTTTTGGTATGAAACCATAACAGTTTATTAATCATAGCAGCTGACTGAGCAGGTGCATAATGTCTGCATATTCATGATACACTACCTACTTGTATATACACTGTACATGACCAATGTAAGAAGGCAATCAACAATGCGCCAAACCCCATGTGCTAAACAGAAACTGAGAAAATTCAAAACAAACTGATATGAATAACAAACTGATGCTGATACAAATATTTTCTCAAAATACATGTTGTGACAAGGTTAACCTTATAACAAACACAAAATAGAAGAAACACCATGCATCACTCACAAAAATAAGTTGTTATTGGAAATTGTAACTATAAATTGTATATTCATATACTTATCCATGTCACGATTTGCACTTCTCTCTCCTGCTTCCACGAATGGAACGAATGAGAACTTTTCCTGTAGGCCTCCCTTGTCCATACGATAATGTTCCCCAGGCTGCTCTCTTTATAGGACAGGTCCCTAGTCCCTGGCTAAGCGGGCAGCCCGTTCCCCTATCTACCCATGTGACTACCTCAGAGTGATCATTCTTCTTCTTGTCACACCGCTGTGTGGACGTATTGTGCGAGTTCTCAGTTTTCCTTACAAGTTATCCTGAGAAATATATCATGGGTAGCTGACCCTAAGTAGCATAATTTTGCGCACAGTGTAAACAATAGTTTTAAAATTTATTTATTATCACTTTCAAAAAAAGAAACAGAACTTAGAGTGAGTGAGGATGGTCTTACAGTCGTTCAAACGATATTCAGCCCATATGAGTGAGTGTTTGAGTTGTAGTTTTATGCTACTTTTAGCAATATTCAAGCAATATCAAGGTGGATACCAGAAATGGGCCCCACACATTGTACCCACATGGGGAATCGAATCCAGGTCTTCAGCGCCACAAGCGAATGCTTTAACCACAAGGCTACCCCACTGCCCCTCAGACATATGACACTGTGATACCTGGGAACAGGTTTGCCATACCTTGAGCTTTTTGGAAATTTAACACTGGTTTATAAAACTGTTTATTGCTCAAGTGTTAGACAAACCTAGAAACAAACTGGGATTTGAACCCACGATCACATGGTTGTGGCACACCTAAGGACACAAGTGTGTGCACAGATTTGCAATACCTTAGATGAATTAAATGAAGGTCTACCATAATCAAATGACAGTATATTAAGTCTGTTTCTACAAGGCATCAAACATTTGTATAACTTGAAACAGGGATGAACAAAAGATTGTTAAAGATGGTCACAAACCTAATATATTTTTACAGTGTGTAGATTACCTCACAACAGGGTCTTGTACAAGCTAAACATATGTACATATATACAATGTGGGCGTGGTGATTATTCGGCACTAAGCAATATTCCAGCTCAATGACAGTGGCCTGTATAAGGCTAAGCCAAACAATCCTGTGATGGGTGTTGTGAGCAATGTTCCACCCAGTAGGGGTACGAAGACAGGCAATGAATCAAGTCACTGAGCCACCAAATCCATTTGGGCTTACAACCTGCCTATTTTAACCCCTAATCCTGGTACCCTAATCCTGGTAGAAACACGATGAAATAAGTAATAAAAATAAGTAGCCATAAACAGAAACATCAGGATGAGTTCTTCATGATGGATGATTTCATCTTAACATTTATTTACAGCAAAGATGAAGCTACAACAATAAATATAGATGAGAGCACTTCTTCTGAAACAGCAGCTTCAAAAAGGGCAGACGACATCTGCTGTCTGTCCTGAACAAGCTACCTAAATCATTTTACAATTCACAGAGATGTTATGGTCATGCAATCATATGTTCCTTCGTAATCAATATTAAAACAAATAATATATCATGCAAGGGTTTTGTCAGTCATGAGACCAGATTGGGCCTTCTGGGTACCAATAGTGACGTTAGAAGTAGACTGAGAGCCAAAGGGTAATGACCTTAACTCATATTATATATACTACTCAGAAGTTAAGGATCATTTTTCAAAATGGTCCCAGTGCTACAAGAAATATGGATACTTTCACTTTCAAAGCATACAAATTATTTTTATATGACAGACGACTTTTAACAATTGGTGATCCTGATTAATCTCACCTGGTTTTGTCTCCCTGAATGGTGTATGTTTTGAACACTGATAAATGCATTTTCAGCAATATGTTTATTGATAGGTGACTGACTGATGGATACAATGCAATAAAAATGTCATAAATGCTCAATATTTCTTATGCTGTGGCATACTGAGGCAAAAAAAAATAAATGAAAAGACTATTTCTCAAAGGCCAACCTACAACTGATTTCACTATACTGTGTATACACTAATCAATGCCTTTAAAACTCCCAAAACATCCCATGGCTATTTGTCAGTAACATAGTAACAAAGAGCACATCTAGAACTCGACCAGCTGTGAATGCTTAAAGAGTTGGGTAATTTACAACTTCATTTCCTGACTCAAATATGACAAAATTAAAATATGTACATCATCTCAATCAGTTGTCCTTCTCCCTTTTGATTTTCACATTTGTCAAAAATAGATCAGGATCTATCTGCGGAGTGTGGAGCTCAGGAGGATGAGATTCTGGCAAGGAATTCCCAGCAAGGTTGTCGTCCATGTTGTCATCCATGTCCTCCAGACCAGGCAGACTTAGGCCGGTGTCGCCAAGGTCAAACAGTGGCAGGCTGGACAGGTCTTCCTGAGGTTCATACTGGATCAATTCATTACCTGAAATTCAGACATTTTGACTTTGTTTGTTGTTTAACAAAGTACAATTCCAGCTATGTCTAAGATTGCTTGCAAATAAGTAAGTATTGAACAAACAATCCTGTAATTGACACTATCTTTGTTTGTTGCTGGGCTTGCTAAAAAGACTGATAATCGGAAATATCATCAACAGGAAAACTTACAATTGATAAGAAAATTGTTTCATTTATATTATCATACATAAACTAATTGTTTGATGGGCATTCTAGATGTTGGTGACTCAAAAATGAAACATACAACTTTATGGATGACAACTTCTTATTTATTGCATAGAGTGACGTTTCGATGTAGATTCTTACATCGTTATCAAGCTAAAAGTGAATACAACCAGATGTAGAGGGGTATATATACACAATATGTTTTGACAACAGCAGATTGTAAATGTGGCAACTCCTATATTGGTGAAACATACCGTCCCGTTGATATCCGCATTCAAGAACATAAAACCTCAACAGCAAAATCAGACAGCAAATCAGCCCTCTCCGATCACCAACAGAAATTCCCTGCTCATCAAATCAAGTTTGACAAATTTGAAATCCTATCAACCAAGAATCAGGACCTCACAAAAAGAAAACTCTTTGAAGCCATCGAAATCCGCCGCCACAAACCTTTGATCAACAGAGACCAAGGATACTACATACCATCGGCCTATGAAGAACTAATCAAACTATAGACTCTACAAAGCATCCAATCAGCTTGTTATTACAACTTAATCCCTCTTGTTTATTGGCTTCGTTCCCAGTCTCATTTGTTGTTCTTAGTCTCCCACTGGCCTCTCATAATTATGTACCAGTTGTTATTCAATTACATGTTGTTGTTAATGTTAATCTGCTGTTGTCAAAACATACTGTGTATATATACCCCTCTACATCTGGTTGTATTCACTTTTAGCTCGATAACGATGTAAGAATCTACATCGAAACGTCACTCTATGCAATAAATAAGAAGTTCTCATCCATTAAGTTGTATGTTTCATTTTTTTCATACATAAACTGTGGTGATGAAATAGATCTTTAATTTACTCTGACAATACACAAAGTTAGGTCTGTATTCACTGACTGCTTACTATGTTCAGAATCATCAATGGCATTTTGTTAGTAATCCAAGTATAAATATTTCACCACCAGCAAGTTCATCATTGCTAAATTATTTTGAGAAATAAATTTTTGTTACCATACATTTGAAATAACCCTAAAACTCTGAAGCCATATGACTGTCACTCACCCAAGATTGTACCAGTGTTTCCAGACTTGTTACCATCTTGAATTGTCTGCAGTGTCTGAAAAAATATCATCAAATGTATCAAGAGGAATAACAACTTGGTTTTGTTTGATGTTTTATGCCGCACTCGGGAATATTCCAGCAACAATACAGCCATCTGTCAATAATAGCAATATTCCAGCAATATCATGGCGAGGGACACCAGAAATAGGCTTCACACATTGTACCCATACGGGGAATCGAACTCAGGTCTTCAGCATGACAGGCTGGAGCTTTAACCACTCAGGCTACCGCTTTAACCACTAGGCTACCCCACCGCCCAAATCTAGACCAGACAATTCATGCAACTTGACCACAATGACATACATGAACCAAGTCAGTGATCATGACTACCCAATCCTGTTAGTCACATCTTCTGACAAGCAATCATGGATCTTAAATAAACAAATAACAGGAGCAGGTAGTCTGGGTCTCTGACTCGGTTGATGTAGGTCATCATGCTCCTGATCTCAATCACTGGATTGACAAGTTGGCAAGATTAAAATATTAAAATCTAAATATTTTATCATGGTAATGTGCATATTACCTTTGCTCATCCAATACAAAGATTGGAAACGTGATCGATAAGTATCCTTGTTGAATGCTATCATGAAACTGGTGACGTGTCGATCTCGTCCGGCGAACGGAAGCACACCCCCCAATCCTGTCATGTGACAATGAGAACACGTCACTTTATCTGAATCCTGAAGTCCGAGCAGAGTCCAAAGTGGGGAGGAGATGATCCATCGTAGGGAGGGCGTAAGACGCCATGAGGTAAGGTAAGTATTTAAATATCTAAAATATTTAGATTTTAATAAATTTTTAACTAACCTTACCTCATGGAAATGTGCATGTTGATCCGACAGAAAGGCAGGAGGGTCGGACACCGGCAAGGACCAGCCAAAACTATCAGACCAAAACAGCACAGCTGGGGACGTGGAAACTGTCTTGTTGTAGAACTGGAACCGACGAAACAAGAACAGTAAACCACCAGTAGAGCCTCTGATAAGGAAACACAACACGAGAGAACGTGGGTTAACCTTAAAACCATCACTAAGGTGATTAAACAAAAGGAAGAATCACCTAGTGAGAAGAAGGCCGCGTCAGTTACTGAGCTACTACAAGCGGGCCAAAGGACTGAAGCCCCTGTACATCCTGGACTGCCAGATCCCGGATAATGGCTGGCGAAGACTGTGTTAGACCTCCAAAAAACAACCTTCCATAATAGTGGGGACCGAGCAGTTTCTGTGCAGGGCCATGGTGGACGCTAAGGCCCGGATCTCATGTGGGTTGTTGGCGGTAGGGTGAGGCAAACCAGCAGAGTCGTAAGCTGCGAGGATAGTGGAGCTAAGCCACAAAGCGATGGTATTTCTGTTGACCTCACCCTTTGACGCAGAAGAAAACGGAATAAAAGGGCCTTTCCTGGCGCGTCTCCTGACTGCCGACTGCTTGATGTTCTCTTTAAGGGCCCTGACGGGACACAACGCAAGTTCATCGGACTCATCACTGCCCACTATAGAAGACAAAGGAGGGATGACAAACAAATGATCCGGCTGACCAGGCAGCTGGTTCTTGGCAATGACGTCCCAGAGATGACTCAAATGGACGGAACCGTGACGAGCCTGTTCAAACCTAATCCTGGTGACGTCTTGGCCCGTGAAGCTCACTAACTCTGGCCGCAGTAGCAAGCGCCAAAAGAAAGACTGCCTTCCTGGACGTGTCCTCGAAGGAGGCCTCAGACAAAGGCTCATAAGGACGCCCACGTAGGTGTTGTAAAACCACGTTGAGATCCCAAGCTGGAGGGCGGAACTTCGACTTCTGATCCTCCAACTTAAACGCTTTCAGCATGGCCAGGAGTTCAGGGATCTTGGAGACCTTCCTATCAGACTTGACGGCCAGCACTGAATTAAGGGCTGCCAAATAAGTGGAAATCGTACCACCCTTCAGATGACGAGTGTTGCGTAGGTAGAGGAGGAATTCCACAGTAACTTGAGGAGAAGCTTTAACCGGATTCTTGGAGCGATCAGCACAAAACGCAGACCATTTGTCATGGGACAGGCTGCAGGTGGACACTCTATGAGCACAGGCGATGATCGTAGCCACACCAGCCAAATAACCCTTGGATTTCAGTGCTTTCAGAAGATGGCCCAAGTGCATAGATGAAACCTGTCCGGATCTGGGCGCAACAGACGGCTGTGAGGATGCGGTAGAAGGTGCGGCCACTGTGGTAGCGGTTGAGGATCTCCTTCGGCAAGCCGACATAGTTCGGAGAACCTGGTTCTCGCCGGCCACCAAGGCGTGAGCAAAAGCAAAGTCAAAAGCAAAGTCATCCGCTTGGGGTCTCCTTGAGCCTGGCTACGACTTTGGGAAGAAGGACTGGAGGAGGAAACGCGTAGGCGTCTAGACCCTCCGAAGAGAGGGACAGAGCGTCCACTGCCCAAGCGGCAGGATCCGGAAGACGAGACACGTAGACTGGAAGTTGATGGTTGTGCTTTGTTGCAAAGAGGTCCACTAACAGTCTGTGATGGAAGTGACAAACCAGATCGAATGCTTCTGGATGAAGCATCCAGTCCGTTGGGGACGGATTGTCTGGTCGGGACAGAGCGTCTGCCAAGACGTTCCTGCAACCCGGAATGTGACGAGCTCTGATCTGGATGTTGTTGTCGTCCAGGAGACGAAACAAATGAAACGTCTGATCCAAGAGAAGGCCTGAGCTGGTTGTTCCCTGGTTGCGGATCAACAAGACCACTGTCGAGTTGTCTGAAGCCACAAAGAGCTTGGAACCCCGTAGCAAATGAATCCAGTGCTGAATGACTAAGATGACAGCCTGGAGCTCTAGGTTGTTGCTGTGCCAACCTGCCTGTGTGGTTGACCACAGCCCTGCCCTTGTCTGAGAGTCAAGGTGAGCGCCCCAACCCTGCAGAGAGGCGTCCACAAACAGTTCGCGATCGTGTGTGAATTCGGTCAAAGAGCTGCCGCCGCAAATTTTTGACTCAATCGTCCACCATTGAAGAAAGGGATGAAGATGAAGGGGCAGCGGAAACCGCGGAGTGAGATCGTCTAAGCGGATGAAAGGCGAGAGGAACCGTTGAAGCGGTCTTAGCATCAATCTCCCTCCGGCGGTAAGATCCTGAGCTGACATCAACAGACCGAATAGGGACTGCCATTCCCTGAGTGTAAGTGGGTGTGACAGACCCCGAAGAGCAAGACTGAGGATCCTTTGCCATCTGTCCGGTGGAACCCGCAGAAGGTCTTGGTCTGTCAGGAACAACCCCCCTATGAATGTCAGCTGTTGAGATGGCTCTAGGTGGGACTTTTCGAGGTTGACAATCCAACCGAGTTGGTGGCAAAGCTTGAGTGTAAAATCCCTCTGTCTGCGTAGCAGCAGGCACTCCTTGTGGCTCATGAGAGAGTTGTCGATGTATGGGTCGATCTCTATCCCTCGAAGATGAAGATACCGGGAAATCAGTGCTGTAATTTGAGTGAAAAGCCACGGGGCCATAGAGATGCCAAACGGCAGGACCTTCCACTGGTAATGGTGACCGTGGAATATGAACCTCAGGAACTTTCGGTGAGGTTCGTAGATGGGAACATGTAGGTAGGCGTCTTGAAGATCCAGACTGGCCAACCAATCCTTGGGGGACAATTTGGTTCGTAGCTGGACCAGAGATATCATCCGAAAATGTGGCAGCTCTGGAAGGTACAGTTTGTTGAACACCGTGATATTGTGTATCATTCTCATCTTCTGAGAATTCTTTTTGGGTACTAAGAAGATGGGAGAGTAAAACCTTGGGGAGTTGCTGGGCTCTAGTACTTGTTCTATGGCTTTCTTGTCCAGCAACATCTGGATGTTGGTCAACAGGTGCTGGTGTTGAACGATGGAATATTCGTGAGACTGGGGCGAAGTGGTCAAAGCAGGCAACTTGGTTATTGGCAACTTGTAGCCTGTCTTGAGAAGATTGGTGACAAAGAGGTCTTCTAGGATTGTTTAGTTGGGCCAGAAGACCCCGAGTCTCCCGTCTACAGGTATATCGCGGATATGGACAAATGGGGGCGGAAGGTCCCAGTCGTGACCGCCCAAAACATCAGCTTGCTGGTCTTGTCCAAGTCCTTTTGGTTACCGGCGGGATGACGTTGGAAGCCGTTGGGACGTCCCCTGCCACGACCACTAAAGGCTCCACGAACCAACGTCCTCCTGGATTGGTAAAGGTTGGTGGTACTGGTAGCTGGCACTGACAAAGTTGTGAAGTGACGAAAAGATCAGAGCGCAATCTCAGTTTGGGTTAAGGAGGCATGCTCTGAGAAAACATCCATGATCTTATTCGCGAATAAGGTGGGCACCGCAAACGGGGCACGCATCAGTCTTTTCTTGAATTCCTCCTGCCAGGTACAGGGAGCAAGTAACCCAGTCCTCCTAGTCACAGTGATGGTAGCTTAGGCCAAACAAACTAGATCCACCACGTCGGACAGTACTCTTGCCTGCCACCTGAACATAGTGGTAAGATGATCTAAGCGGGAAGGGTTATCCTCCGAGAGATCTCGAGACATGGCCTCCGTGGCCGAAGCAAGCACGGAAAGGGGCTTCAACGTTCGACTGAGTTCCGTATCAATCGCCAACAACTTGGCATCTGGGACCTTGTATTGAGTTTGAGAAGCGTCCGAAAGGCGTTTGGCCGCTTCATCCTGGGTAGCGCCAAAATCCACAAAGTCAAAAGAATGCACCTTGTAATCCTGACGGCTGTGTTTAGCAGGCTTGATGGAGGGATTGAGAGATAACTTTTGGAAATCCTCGTCAAGTGAAGCAATGGCATCAGCAACCATGGGGTGCGGTGGCAGAAGGAGCTCTGGTTCATCCCAAATGGAGGTAGCACGAGGGATATCCAACCCTGGAGACGGGCAACTGATAAGTCTGTCAGCTATCCAGGCGTAAACACTCTCCAGGCCCAAGTGCGTCAGACCCTGGTTGTCTTCTTCCTCATAATCTGGAACAAACTGAGCCTTCGACAAAGGGACGTGGAATCCTGCAACCTAAATATAGGGGATCGGGAACGGGAACGCCGATGAAGAGGTGAAAGTTCGTGGAGAGCGCTGAGGCGAGGAGCACCGTACGTCCCATACAGGAAAGCCCCAAGGCGAACGTCCCGCGCAGGTGAACGCCTTGGAGAAAGTTGAGGGGAGCGTTGACGATCTGTAGGCAAGCGCTGATCATCTCCGGAAGGTGAACCACGGTCAGAGGAGCGCTGGTGTTCTTTAGAGCGATCATCCGGACGCTGAAGGTCCTCCCTCTCAAGGAGACCAACCAGGAGATCCATGAGCCGGGAATACTGAAGAATAGACGGAACGCCTGGATTCACTGCATTGTCGATCTGGGCCTGTGTGAGGATGCTCGCTCTGGAGCGTTCCGGAGATGAGGACTGGTGGGGAGGCGAAATCGTAGATCGCCGATCCGCTGAAGGCGTAGAGGCGTTCCCAAGCTGAGCCGTAGGCGTCGAGGGAACCTGAGCAGTCTCACAGGCGTCGTTAGAAGACATGAGGCGCTTGCATTGAGTAAAACGTTTGTTCCGAGCAGCTAGGAATGCTTTAGAGTCGGTGGAAGGTAGGTCCCCGCGAAACGAGCACTGAGAGGTCCAAGTACATGCTGAGTCGACCAGACAGTCCAGGCAAGCAGGATGGGGGTCTTTAGCTGACTTCTGAGACTTGCACCGATTGCAGTAAACACATGGCATGAACTAACCACTGCAAACTGCAACAACAGAAAAACAATTACTGTTGAACACGTTAAGTAAATATAACACACGCTTACCCATATAAGAAAAGAAACGCAGACAGCGTAACGCGACAATGAAGCGAAAAACGGCAGGAAAAACGGAATACGAAACTAAACGACAACAGTGAGCACACACTAGTAGCTCTGCATGTATGTGCCATGCCTAGCGACAGCCTCCATTACTGCCAAGCAAGTGAAAACCTCAACGAGGGGAAACACAAAAAATATGACACAAAGAAAGAGAACAAGATACATACAATGGACAAGCAAGGATAAAAACAACCCAGGCTGACCAAGGAATTAGCTAATTCTGCCGTAGCGAAGCTGGAAGAACAACGCGAGGCAAAACAAAGCAAAACAACACACCGCAAAGACCGTACAGCGACAAAAACAGCCAACGGTGGGTAGAATTTTTTGTTATATCATGGTAGAAGGATACAATAGGAAAACCTTACCGTAGCAAAACACAAAGAATACAGTAAGCAATGAAAACAGAAATATCCTATACACTTCGATACACGTCCAACTCGCAGTGCGATAAAGGATAAAGAGACGTGTTCTCGTTGTCACATGACGGGATTGGGGGGCGTGCTACTGCTCGCCGGACGAGATCGACACGTCACCAGTGTCATGATAGCATTCAACAAGGATACTTATCAATACATTCCAATCTTGCAAAGGTAATATGCACATTACCATGAGGTAAGGTAAGTTAAAAATTTTACTGACCACAGTCACATACTGAAATACTACCGAGCGTGGCATTTAACAACAAACAAAGAAACAAGTGTGGAAGACTTTGGACATGTAGGACTTCTTTCCTAGAATCACCATCTGAGGAAGCAAAAATTAAATAGCTAACTATACGTAAAGATATATCTCAAAGAGAAGATCGAGAAGTTGTTTAATGATCTGGAGTAGAGGCAACTGTATTCAACATAAACAGCGTATGGTACTTACTGTATCTGCAGCCTTAGACAGGGGCGACTCTGGATTGAACAACTGAAATAATTGAATCCTTGTTTGTTGACTCAAACACAACTCTTTCATTTCAAATACTTTTCCATACACGTACTTTGCACATGATTCTGTTGCATTTTGGGGGTTATCTAAACAAAGTTTTTGTGTTTATGTCTCCATTAACCACAGTAAAATTAGCCATTGACAGGCTGCTGTTTAATGGTTAACAGATAACGAAATGGAAAGAACTATGTATTTATTGTACTGTTTGGTGTCACTGATCTGTACTTCACCAGTTTTTTCAGTCATGATTAATTATGAGACCTGGAAAGCTGTTATTGCAGACATATTTGTTTCTCAGTGTATCATTTTTTGGTATATGATATTAGTTTCATATGCACTATTATCAACTGAGTTTACTCGACCACACAGAATTTTACTAGACTCTATCTTTGGACAAGTGGTTTACAGAATTTAATGCTGTGTGACGACTTACTGATTTACATACTTCACTGTCAGTTTTGATACCAAATATTCCACAGTAAATAATGCAGTTAACAAATACTATCCATACAAAACAATATGCAGATTTTTAGGAAAAACATGAACATGGATTAACATGTGTGTCCTCTGAACTAAAAAGACAAAATTATTTAGATTTGTTTAAGACAGTGATAGAAAACTTGATATGCAGTGATCAATTATCAACTGTAACTGTTCTGCAATAATAACTTCAAAATGAACAAACAAGATATTGACGCAAGTCTTTTTCATGACTGCCAGTAGTGATTATGAGTAGCATGCATGTAATGGGAGAAAGTAATGTGCCAACCCAAACTTACCCCCAACAACACACTGGAGTCAAGACTGTACTGTCCTCCTGACAACAAATCCTTCAACTCATTGATGTCAGTCTGCAGGATGTCCAGCTGTTCGTTCATATCAGTCCTGCAACACAGTAGTAGCCACATCAGATCAACACACAAATGTGTTTACATTAGTGTTGGGAATTGGTTAAAATCTTATAATTGATGATTGGTTCATTATAACACCGATCAATCATCGAAAAAAATTGGTTATTGTCATTTTTCAGATTTTCCTATAAGGTTGTTATTGCAGATAAGTATAACATGATGCAACTTGCTACTTTAAAGTGATGACTAACATATCATGAACATAAACTTCCTGGAGACTTCAAGAAATATTCAGTTATGACTTTTCAGTTAGTGAAGAGAGTATTCTAACAATTAAACACGTTTTCAGGCCCTGACAACTTCGAAGACATGTTCCATCGTCAAGTATTTCTAAGACTAAACCAGTAGTTCCAAAATCATTTGTGTTCGATTATGAGAAAATGTGATCGATTGCTTGGTCACATAGTCACTGCGACCAATCTTCGATTATTTCAATTAATCGGAACACCAATAGTTTACATTACAAGGAATGTCTCATCAGTGAGTTTTAGTTTTAAGCTGCTTTTAGCAATATTCCAGCAATATCACAGCGGGGACTCCAGAAATGGGCTTCACACAAAGTACCCATGTGGGGAATCAAGCCTGGGTCTTCGGCCAAAGCTTTAACCACTAGGATAACCCATCGCACAAATTTGTCATCAAGCATTAATTCAGGTTTTTCAACAATGATATTTTTCTGAGATTCCCCCTAATAAAATGAACTCAAAGGCTTGACAAATTGGGTTCAAATGTTTGTTTATTAATAACTGGATTTTCTGGCAAATTTCTTATTTCAATTGTGGTGTTTCAACATTTCATAACAATACATTCAATGCAACTATGTAAAGTAAGCATGAAGTCTCTTGGTTAGTCTTGTGTTGTACAAGTCACCTCTACAAAGTCACCATATAAGTTATAATAACCTCTACAAAGTCACCATGTAAGTTATAATGACCTCTACAAAGTCACCATATAAGTTATAATAACCTCTACAAAGTCACCATGTAAGTTATAATAACCTCTACAAAGTCACCATGTAAGTTATAATAACCTCTACAAAGTCACCATATAAGTTATAATAACCTCTACAAAGTCACCATGTAAGTTATAATGACCTCTACAAAGTCACCATATAAGTTATAATAACCTCTACAAAGTCACCATATAAGTTATAATAACCTCTACAAAGTCACCATGTAAGTTATAATAACCTCTACAAAGTCACCATGTAAGTTATAATGACCTCTACAAAGTCACCATGTAAGTTATAATAACCTCTACAAAGTCACCATATAAGTTATAATAACCTCTACAAAGTCACCATGTAACTACAAAGTCACCATATAAGTTATAATAACCTCTACAAAGTCACCATGTAAGTTATAATAACCTCTACAAAGTCACCATATAAGTTATAATAACCTCTACAAAGTCACCATATAAGTTATAATAACCTCTACAAAGTCACCATATAAGTTATAATAACCTCTACAAAGTCACCATGTAAGTTATAATGACCTCTACAAAGTCACCATATAAGTTATAATAACCTCTACAAAGTCACCATGTAAGTTATAATGACCTCTACAAAGTCACCATATAAGTTATAATAACCTCTACAAAGTCACCATGTAAGTTATAATAACCTCTACAAAGTCACCATATAAGTTATAATAACCTCTACAAAGTCACCATATAAGTTATAATAACCTCTACAAAGTCACCATATAAGTTATAATAACCTCTACAAAATCACCATATAAGTTATAATAACCTCTACAAAGTCACCATATAAGTTATAATAACCTCTACAAAGTCACCATGTAAGTTATAACAACATGAATATTGCAGCTTGTTCATTCCTTTCCTTTCATGTACTGCAGACTTTGAGAAAAACGTCAGCCTCTGAGCAGGTCTAGATAAATGTGTGAACTATCTGAGGAAATACTCTGGCCTATCAAGTGACTGTTCGAACTTCATTGTGTCAAAGAATGAAACATTTCCATTTGCTTATTTTGGTAACATTTTCATGATTGGTTGGTTGGTTGTTTAACGCTGCACTCAGCAATATTCCAGCTATATGGTGGCGGTCTGTAAATAAATGAGTCTGGACCAGACAATCAAGTGATCAACAGCATGAGCATCAATCTACGCAATTGGGATACAATGACATGTGTCAACCAAGTCAGTGAGCCTGACCACCCGATCCCATTAGTCGCCTCTTCCAACAAGCATGGGCTACTGAAGGCCAATTCTAACCTGGATCTTCACGGGTCACATTTTCATGAAAATAAACAATTCTGAACAAACATTTTATCTTACCAAAAGGTTATATTCATCATGGAGCGGATGGTTTCAAACAATTGACAAGAAACAAACATTTCCACTGTGCCGGTAATTGCTAAAACCGAATACTCTTGTTTCAGTCTCATTGTACCTGTCTAATGCGTCAGTGGGGATGACGGACGTTGCTGTGATGGGTGCTGATGTCACCTGCAAGCCCATGATGCCGGCTGTTGTGGTTGGAACATTCACTGGTGGAGTAGGCGTAGTTGTAAAGGTGGGAGGGGTTGTCATAAGGCTGGTAATGTTTGGCATGAGGCTGATAGGGGTCACTTCATTGAGAAGTGCATCCTTCATAAAACAAAATATTCTGATGAGTTTTTATCGTTTAGAACTCAATAGTTCATCACCTTTGCTGCACTACCTAATGTTGTATCAACTTTATACACTTAAAGAAGAATAAATGTTAACACTTTCCTCTGAGATATTATGGATACAATAGTTGTCAATAATTTGGGTAGTTACATACAGGTGAAATAATATGAATAGTTACCTACAGGTGAGATATGGACAGTTGCTTATAGATGATACAATAAGTGCTTACATGTGAAATAATATGAATAGTTACCTACAGGTGTGATATTATGGACAGTTACTTATAGAAGATACAATAAGTGCTTACATGTGAAATAATATGAATAGTTACCTACAGGTGTGATAATATGGACAGTTACTTATAGAAGATACAATAAGTGCTTACATGTGAAATAATATGAATAGTTACCTACAGGTGTGATAATATGGACAGTTACTTATAGAAGATACAATAAGTGCTTACATGTGAAATAATATGAATAGTTACCTACAGGTGTGATAATATGGACAGTTACTTATAGAAGATACAATAAGTGCTTACATGTGAAATAATATGAATAGTTACCTACAGGTGTGATAATATGGACAGTTACTTATAGCAGATACAATAAGTGCTTACATGTGAAATAATATGAATAGTTACCTACAGGTGTGATAATATGGACAGTTACTTATAGGAGATACAATAAGTGCTTACATGTGAAATAATATGAACAGTGAGTGAGTGCTGTTTTACACCGCTTTTAGCAATATTCCAGCAATATCACGGCGGGAGACTTAATATGAATAGTTACTTACAGGTGAGATTTCATCATCATCCACGACATCAGGATTGAGATTGGGCAGTGAATCTGTTACTTCATGGATGATTGGTCCTGAAGCTTGGGGTTGGGTGAAATCAATTTCACTGGTTGACGGCTGCAATGTAAACAGCAAATATGGAAACACATTCCGGCTCATTAACCCCTGGTGACATCAATGAAGGCCACCACACGTGAAAAATACTTTACCCATAAAGTGTTAAGCTGCAATACTTCGAAGATTATTGAGAATTTTCACTAAAACACTCAGATGAAAAGCTCTCCTTTCTCAAAGCAAAATCACGTGCAGAAATACAGAAATTGACAAATTTATTTCAAGATGGGCAAGCATATACAGTTTGAATAGCTTGGCACAAACATGTTAATTTATGAGAAGAAATATATAGTTATTGAAGCATTCAAACATGAACGTGTTTAATTTCATTTTTGATAACTATTAACATGCAAGACCAGAAGACACACCATTTCTCCACTAGGTTTACAAGGGTGCATAGTTCTTGAATTAAATATCGGTTTTGAAGGTGATCATACCACCAGCATAGAGAGAAGCAACAGATTAGTCGCTCCAGAGAAGAGGAAAATATGCATAATAAGCCTGATGAGAAGAAGAAATAATCTCTCAGAGCACAATGTACTATTCCAACTGCTCCACTGTACAATCCCAGCTGTTTCATTGTGAATTCTGATTCACTCTTCTGTTTTATAAGCAGGCCTGTTACACATACCGACTGAACAGTGTAGGGTTTGGCTGTCTCTTCAATGGACAACTGTCGACTCAGCTTGGGCTGCTTGGCACTGATCTGACTGGAGTTGTTCAACATAAGTGGCATCACTCTCTTCCTGGAATTGGTGGGGATTCCCCGGTTCCCTCGCACCAGGGTCACCAGAAACTGTATCAGCTGGCAAAGAAAAAAAATCACCATTTTGAAATAATTGTTAGAATTTAAAAAACAAAAGTAAAAACAAATGGTGTGTGTGTGTGTGTGTGTGTGTGTGTGTGTGTGTGTGAGAGAGATTGATTATGATTTTTATGGAGAAGCATGTACAATGTGAATGACCCCTCTAAACTTTATGTACAAAGTAAGTGACCCCCCCTGCATGTCATGTACAAAATCAATGACCCCCTTCCCCTTCACATAATTTTTAAGCATAAGTTTTTAATAATATTTATGTACAAAATTGCTGACACACACACCCCCACCCCTATAGTAGATGTGTACAAAATTGATGACCCCCATACCTCCCATGAACAAAATGGGTGACCCACCCTTAAAATCATCATCACCACTACCACCCCACCCCCAGCTATAAATTATGAACGGTCCCTAACCTAAAAACACTTATGGTCGTGAATCGGATTTGAAACCAATTATTAGTGGTTTTCTTGCATGTCTAAGCGTGGTACCTTACAACAAATTGCGCAGTCTTAGACTACGGGTCCATTTGTCTCCCCAATTTTATGAGATTTAGTAGATGCCTATACAAGGAGATTCTATTATTTACATCACCCTTAGCATAGCACTAGTCATGTCATGAACACATATGATTACAGGAATGATATTTGTGACTTCAACTTTGTTTAGGCCATGTCATTTCTTTGAGGTAACCCTGTGACTAGGATATTCTTTACTGATTCAGAGAAAAGTACTTATTCGAAACGTTATAAATTGTTACTCACACTTCATTTCAATATGTATAATCTGTCATGTGATATAACGAGTTTAATAATAGCAAAAAAAACATAAATAAAATATGTTAACACATCAAAATGAACAAAACATAATTAATGGAAGCCACGATGAGATACAGAAACACCCTCCTCCATTTCCCCTCCCAAAGACCAAAGAGTCTGGTTTTACACAGCCATATATAATGATAGTGGCCAGCAAGAAAGGACATACAAAGTGTACAGTGTTGGGAGTAGAACCAGTGCTATCTGTATGACGAGCCAACCACAAGGCTACATCAACACTCCTTCACGTCCACCAAGTAGGTTTAACATGGTTACCTTGTTGACAATCTGCTGCTGTTTGAGGTGCTTCTGTCTCAGATTGGCCACCTCCCTCCATAACGCCTCATTCTCTCTATAACGAGAAATGGAACACACATGTGAGTGAGTGAGTGAGTGAGTGGGTATGGTTTTACGCAGCTTTAAGCAATATTCCAGCAATATCACGGCGAGGGACACCAGAAATGGGCTTCACACATTGCACCCATGTGGGGAATTGAACCCTGGTCTTCAGCTTGATGAGCAAACACTTTAACCACTAGGCTACCCCACCACCCTACCACCTCAGAACATACATGCAAAGCCTGCTTACCTGCAAAACTCTAACATCTACTCTGACATCTCTACCAGGAAATGTTGATTCAAGTGTTTTCTATTACTATTTGTCTTAATGATACCAAACAACTGAAAATGTTTCTTAAGCAATCAGATTAGAACATTTAGAACTAGACCCATTTGTTAAGGTTCTTAGACCACTTTAACGTCAGGTTATTTGTGAGTGAATGAAAGTTAAACACTTTTACATGCAATATTGTAAAATTTAAATGATACCAAGCCGCAGTTTTACTTGGATACCTCACTTTTATACCAGGCAGGGTAACAACAAATACCATCTATATAACATCTTTTGATCGGACATAGTCAGGAATTGAATCACAGACCTTACATTCTCTGGATACTCTATCCACGAGACTAAAGATAATACTATTGTTAGAGTGAGTGAGTGAGTTTGGTTTTACGCCGCTTTTAGCAATATTCTAGCAATATCACGGCAGGGGACACCAGAAATGAGCTTCACACATTGTACCCATGTGGGGAATCGAACCCGGGTCTTCGGCGTGAGGAGCGAACGCTTTAACCATCAGGCTACCCCACCGCCCCTACTATTGTTAGAATGTAGTAACAAAGCAGTAAAATATTTAATCTCTGTCTACCTCTTGAGAGTGTCCATCTTGGCTGTAATATTGTCTTGCTTGCCACGGAGATTGCGGACATCAGTCAGCACCTTGGATACATCCTCCTGTTTCAACTTGATCGACTCCACCTTCATTCCAGGCGACACCTACATCAAACAACACAAACAAATGATTAGTGGGACATAACATATGACCTTTCATCATATGAAACACAGGCACTATTTCAGATGTTACCCATGATCATGAAAAAAAAGGACTTGAAGTTATAGTCCGCATGACTTCATTTGAGACCAATGAATTGCTCACTAACACAAAATCTAATAAATGCAACACAACCAACCTTTGCACAGTCACATGAAATCAACAGACCAACTCTGATGATTTGTCTCATAATTTGGGACACCCGAATTAGAAAGTTGGTAACAAACGATCATTATTTTGTTCTTACTTATTGCTATTTTTTACAAGGGAGGACCACTTGCTGGTAGAACTGTCAGATGTGTGAGTTGTATGTGTGAAATTGAAATTTCACTGCACATGCTTGTTGATTATCTGGCTGTTCTACCAGCAAGAGGTTCCCCCCTCGTAAGAAACAGCGAAAAGTGACAACAAAATAATGATCGTTTGTTTAACAACTTTTTTATTCGGGTGTATCTGTATCTGTATTCGGGTGTGATGATGAGGTCAAGGTCACCCAAATCAACTGGTGTCTGCGTAATCCCCTAATGTAGGCTGTCACCAAATTTGAAGACATTGGATACAACAGTGCATGAGATATCACGTTTAACAAGAGGTTAAAAAGTGGTCAAAGTGTTGTGGTGACCTTGAAAACAAAGTCAATGTTACCCAAATCGACTGGTGTCAGGGTAATCCCCCAATGTAGGCTGTCACCAAATTTGAAGACATTGGGTACAACAGTGCATGAGATATCACATTAACAAGAGGTTAAAAAGTGGTCAATGTGTCGTGGTGACCTTGAAAATAAGGTCAAGGTTACCCAAATCGACTGATGTCTGGGTAATGCCCCAATGTAGGCTGTCACCAAATTTGAAGACATTGGGTACAACAGTTCATGAGATACAAAGTTAACAAAGTTAACGTACGGACGGACAGACGCCGCTGAATACACAGTCCCACATTCCGCATTGCGGCGGGGGACAATAAACATTTTGCAGAATACCTCTAACCTGTCCAACTGATGAAAATAACTTGCATCAAATATAATTGAAAATATCGTGAGTAGTATTTCGGCTGAAAACTGCATTGAGCTCACATGATTCCTATATCAAATGAAACCCTGCCTCCCAACTGGGGAACCCACCTTTCTCTTGATGTTTTCCATTAGTTCCTCTTGACCTTGCTGAAAGTACACATGGTGGAACTCAAGGTCATCTTTCTCAACCTTCAGGGCACCCTGGTCGACGCTCATAACCTTTCGGAAACCATCTGAATATAACATAAATTCCAGATCATGTCGGCGGCAGTTATATAATCATGTTATTGGTCTGGACCCGTGAAGATTCAGTAAACCATGCTTGTCGTAAAAGACATTTAACGGGATCGGGTGGTCAGACTCGCTGACTCCGTTGACACATGTCATCATATCTCAATTTCGTAGAACGATGCTCATGCTGTTGATGATTAATTGATCACTAGATTGTCTGATCCAAACTTGATTATTTACAGACTGTTGCCATATAGCTGGAATATTGCTGAGTGCGGCCTTAAACAACAAACTTTTCAAGTCAAGAAACTAGTCAATGACCAAATTCTTGATCAAAACTACATTTGAAACCGAAACATTAGAAACTAGTCCATGTAGTTTAAAGCCTAAGTCAACAAATGGTAAGAGAAAATTTCAACATTGGTCAAATCCAACGCAGACTAGTGATTTACACAAAAAAGGTAGATTTGAAGAACTAGTCCCTAGTCTCAGACTTATGGACTAGTGTCCTTGTCTTTCCTGCAGCACCAGAAACTTAGAAAGTCACGGACTCTAATAGCCAGACATGGATTTGTTTGTCCTAACTGGTGCCAACTGTGGTGGGGCTAGTTTCTCAATCACCATGCATGTGCACCCAACACTCATGTGAGGCAAAATTTTGAATTACTTTGTTTTTCAAAATTAAAAAAACCCAAGATAATGACCGACTAAAATAAAGCAAATCTCATAAATATTGATCTTCATTTCCATTAAATTTCAGTTTCCAGAAAATGTCTAGGTAATTCACAATGTTCAGAAACCAAACTGTTTCGAAAGAAAGAAAATCAAATTTTGTCCACAGTCAATGAAATATATTCAGATATATACACTAGAAACACTAAAATTTATTGATTGTTCATTTTTCATACAAAATTGTTTTCTTAAGCATTGTTAAGAAGAGCAGTAGACACTTTCCTGATAAATCTGTATTATTCTGTGGAAGTCCTGGACAAGGAATCTAGTACAAGTTGCAGGTTACCATGGTTACTTGGGAGTGGTGACATATGGCTGTCAGGGTTGACCATGTTGACAGAATCAAATGAGGCATGTGGTGTAGTAGTAAAGAGTAGCTACATGCAAATCACAGTAAGGGAGCATCCACATGATTTGCATGAAGGTGGACCGTAATTCTGTCTAAGCAAAGTCTTTTTTTCACTATTTTAACAAATATAAACACATAAAAATTTGGTTTTGGTATTATTATTTTTTAAACTAACTATTTATTTGTTTCACCACTGCCAAAAAATTATTCATTTTACGCATATTTCGGAAGAAAACATTCATTGTTAAGGTGAAACCTGCTCCTACTGTTGCCTTTTGTTCTGCAGATAACGTGTTGTCTCATAAAAACCTTTAGAAAGGAAATCATTTCAAATATGTCAGACCTACTGATGTTTTACATTTGAATAGTAGTGAATGTGCCTGAATGACCAGAGAGTAATATCGGTTTGAACCAAAGATGGGAACAGCACAAGAATGAGCGAGTTTACTTTTACGCTGCACATAGCAATATTGAAGCTATATGGCAGCGATCTGTAAATAATCGAATCTGGACCAGAAAATCAAGTGATCAACAGCATGAGCATCAATCTACGCAATTGGGATACCATGACATGTGTCAACCAAGTCAGCGAGCCTGACCGCCCGATCCAGTTAGTCGCCCCTTGCAACAAGCATGAGTTACTGAAGATCAATTCTATACCAGATCTTCACAAGTTAAACTAACTTGTAGTAACGGTGAAACTAACTTAGTAATACTCAAAATATACCATTCAAAGAAAGTAGGGGATATTGGATTTACAAGATTGATAAAATGCAAATGATGAAGCCAAGGAGGAAACACATGATGAAGAGAAATTAAAGGAAAATGTGAGAATTTATTCCATTCCTTTGGAAATGTTTCATCTGTATGGATATATATTACTTTTTCTCATATGCACTGGCAGTGGCTAGTGGTATGCTTGCAAAATGGAATATCCCCTACTTTTTTTTAATGGTATAGTAATACTGAAGAACAGTGATTACATACTCCTTGAATCAAAAGATGGGGGTTATACATGTATTTAATTTTGGATCCAAGCAGTATGAAAGCAAAAATCATTTCAAAACATTTACTGAACTCATGGTTTGAAGCAAGTATTTATTTCCTGTTACCATATCACAGTAAACAAACAAGGAAACAGATGAGAATACTTTACTGAATCTGACAGACAACAGGATATGCTGGTCTGACGAGACAGTCAAGTCAGTCTGCATGGTGGCCTTAACTCACACCAAACAGGGATGATCACGACAAAGTTAACAAACAACATGACCCAAGAAGAATTTCTTGATGTCCGACCTTCATTACTGGAAGGGCTTGAACTATAAGTTAAATACCGCCTTTCCCAGTAATTTCTCACGAAACATTTAGAGTTTCAAACTTCTTACGATCTGGCTAAAGCAGTGTTTCAAAATTAAGGGTGTCCAGGATCCTCAAGGCTTGCTCGCCTTTGTCTTGGAATGTATTATTTATGTAGGGACTGTTAAGGATTTTTAATATTTGGCATTAGACACTGCTCTAACCATGCTAACAAAAATCCATTGATATTCATGATTAATTTTGAACACTGATGGATCTGTTACATTGTGTTGAGCGAATGAGCATGGTTTTACACTTCTTTGGGCAATATTCCAGCAACATCACAGTGGGGACACCAGAAACAAACTGGTAGCCTGGTGGGGAATCAGCATGAGCAAACACTTAACTACAAAGCTATCCCCTAGCCTTCCTTCACACTGTGACACTGGACAATATGAAAGATTGAAACACACAAAACTAGTTATTAATATTATTTGGATGTCAGTGGTATAAAGGTTATATCAACCAATTACCAAATAGAGAAGCATTTCAAACCACATTTCAATGTATTGATTGTGCCTTAACATAATGAATACAAAGTGGGAATCTTTATGAATACATACAGAGAATGAAAATACTGTAATCTTATTAAATCCATTAATATATCACTGGATCAGTGATTCATTCCAGCCATACTAATTGAGTTATCAAAATGCTGGAAACTACATTCAGCCATATTGTATATTGAAAGACTATTTGATCATTATTATCAATACTATTCCATTAATTCTACGGGACACTGATGTATTTTCTTTCAAGTGTGTCCCAGGACACTCATATAAATATCTAGTTCTACCATTTCAAATTTGGGGGAACCAACAAGAAAAAAATTATGTGTTTATCCATCTTTAAATAATTCAAACAAGCTAGCTCCCCCTTCCATTTATCATGTTTATTATACTCTGTAGTGTCTGAATCCCTAGGATTATCTTGAAAGACATATATATTTGACATGTTTCTATACCCAATTTACTTCTGTCAAAGAACATATCATCATTGGCTACACCCCATTCATTTCATTGACAGTTTTGATAAACAAGTTATTTCTAATTGTACCCATTGGGCTACAGGAATTTCTCTATTTACTTATCTATACTACTTTGATCCAGAAAATCACTGCCCATTCTGATAAAACTAGATGTCACAGAAAATACTATGTCAGCCTGTTTATTCTGGAGGTACTATCAACAGGATACGTAAAGTGGATAATTGATTCGACAGATTCAAGTGATTTTTCAATTATATCCTTCTGTATAAACATTTCATTAGTACATAACATCATGATATCACCATGACAACATTCTATACAAAGTTTTGTTTGTCGGGTGTTTGGCAGGGCTGCACCGAATCCACAATAAGGCAAATATTTGGGGCAACAAATGCGAATATTGGATAACGAATACAATAAATTAGCAGTTGAAGTATTAATTAGTATATTCAGTGGACAATAACAAAGTACATTCTTTGATATATTGTGACTAGTGACCACATTACTGTCAAATTACTATAAGAGTATTGACCACTATCCTGATCTGACTTGGACATATTCCACTTTGCACATTTCCCTTTGATAAGTAACACCAAATTCAAATGAGTACATTCCTTTAAATATGCATGAACGTTCGATTCAAGTGACCATGAATAACAAATTGAATTCACGAAGGAATATGGTTTGATTCACCAAATGTTCAGTGAATCGTAGCAGCTGCAGTGTTTGTCTGCAGTTCTGGACTTCAGTCAGCAATATTTTAGGTATATTATGACCATGATGATAGTCAAAGTAATTAAGCTTTGGCAAACAAACCAGTGGTTGAGAGTAGGAACAACATCCCATGTTGTCGGGGTATGAAGATTGATAAGTAATCAACCTGACCATCTACTCCAGTTAGGACAGCTCATAATATGTTTTTGGGGCGTGGGGTAGTCTAGTGGTTAAAACGTTGTCTCATCACTCCCGGGTTCAATTCCCCACATGGGTACAATGTGGGAAGCCCATTTCTGGTATTCCCTGTTGTGTTATTGCTCTAATATTGCTAAAACCAAAAGCAGCATAAAACACAATTCACTCACTCACTCATAATAGATTTTGGAATTACCAAATTTCCATAAACAAATTCACAATATTACCTATGGCAACTTGTCAAGAGCATCATTGTGAGGGCATATTAATATATTCAAAAGTGCATGAAGTCACTCTAATGGCTGCAAACTGGGGAACTTACACATGTTGAGCTGTCTGATGAAGCTGGCAATATTGTTGTGTTTGAAGTATAGCGGCAGGACCTCCCGAGCAAACCGGGACTGGTCGTACACATGGAAACTGGTGCCACCCTGAAAAAACATGTATATGAATTCATGACCCAAGTAACACAGTGAAATTTGTGCATGCATGTGATTGTGCGGGCATGCCTGCATGCACATTGGTGTGAACCAGTCTTCTGTGTTTGTGTTGTTTAACTCCACATTTAGCAATATTCCAACTGTAAGACTGCAGGCTGAAAGTAATCCAGTCTTGACAAGACAATTAAATAAAAATTTGTTTACACTGACTGAACATTTTTCACTCTAAGCAACATGGTAATTGATAAATCTGAGTTTTCTTGAAAGAACTGGTTTTGCATGAGTTGACAAGTGGTGACAAACTTGTAATGCATTTAATTTTCAGATTAAAGTTTAATTTCATGAGTGCACCATGTACGATTTTAGTGCACAAATGGAGCATCAGCTGAGCCAAAAATGAACACTACAAGTACAACCAGCAAATTTCCCTAAAACAATTAACACAGTCTGAAACTCTTTTATCAAGTTTATATTTTACTAATAGTATATTATGGTATTAGAATTGTATGACAGAACATAGCAGAATATGGAAAACAAATGACATCCCGCTTTCCACTTATGGTTAAGATCAAAGTCAAAAGGTTAACAAGATGAAGTTGTAACATGTTTGTTAAAAGTGATCTACCATTGACAGTAATTGGTGATCTAGAAGCAAACTTGTTAAATGGCATGTTCTTAGGTGATATGAGACTGATGGTACGATCCTTTTGATCAGGTTGATTTGTTGCACAATAATACTGATTTTTGTTACAGATTTTTTAAACATTGATCAAATGTAACATATCCTATCGTCTTACTTTTCAGACTGTCATATGGTTTTGATCTGACATTATGATTCCCGTTAATACTTAATAATAGCGCGAGAATGCGAGAAAATCCATGAGAAGCAGCCCGAATGTCAACATGTCGATCCCAGCTATCAGTCTTACATCAATATGCTACGAATCAAGTTTCCATGAGTAAGCACCAGCAAAAAAACACAAAAGATTAATTTTAACTCAGGGATCATTAATAGATGATTAATGCAATATCATAATCAAATGCATGAAACTCATAAATCTTTACTCCAAAGATGCCATTATTGTTTCATCTGCTTAGTTTACATCCAACCTAGCAAGATCACGTTACTAGCTATGAAATGCCAGTTACAGGCAATGTAATCATGAGCCTCTAGATATTGCTCATAAGGCTGTTGCCTTGTACAGGCAATGCCAATATAATAGCGTACTGCTAGGACTTTTTTTGCTATATGCTACTCTACACGATGATTTTGGGGGGTTGTTTTCAGCAACAGTTAAAACTGTTTTGGAGCGATGTAGAAGGGGAAATTGTTTATTATCTCTTCAGTGTGACGGGTTTGACTGCATAGTGCGAGTGTTTTGATACAATGGGCATGATCTGCTATTACAACATTGCTGAAAATATACAGCCAGTGGAAGGATCGAAACCATATGATGAGATGTACGACAAGACCTTGAGATTGTTTTGACTGCAATGGCGGGTTACCGATAGAATACATATGACATGCATGAGAATGCAACAGTTTATCAAATAAATCATGTTATGTAAACAATATGTACATACTGTATTTATTCCCTGTTCAGAAAATATTTTACTGTTATCCAATCGAAAACCCAATACGCCATTATACAAATAAATAAAAACACTTAATATTTACACATGTATTATTTGCATTACAGTATGGTGATTAAATAATTCTTTATGTTTAAACGATTAAGTGTGATACATTCTAAAGCACTTGATAAGTACAAAATTACAGATTATGAACATTATCAAGACCAAAGCAGTTATAATATAAACTTTCTCAGTGCAAAAGAACGTTTCTACACAATTACGAATTCCAAAACAACGCACAAACTAAAACTGGAAATGTCTAACCTCTCCATGTTCGTTGTCAACAATGCCAAAGAATAGTAAGGGGAGGCCTATTTGACTAATTTCTCTCGGGGGAACGCCATGCTGCATAGCAAGTAACACTCAATATCATCTAGATTTACAACATGTCTCCATCTCACACCAGTACCTTTCGAATCTCTATACATAAAATACTTTTTATCCAAAACTTGCAACTAATGCAAAAACGTTAAAGTACATCAAGGAACGATTCAAATCTGATATGTCATCGTAAACATTTATACGACATACAGGGAACACGCATCGGTTCTCTCCCCTCACCGCAAGTCATTGCGATTATACGTACCTCTCCCCAACAAATCAAATCATTCCATCCTGGGTCTTCAACTAATATCCATAACTTTTTCAAAAATGCAGGAACGGTTCCAGTATCGTTACTGTCTGTAACAGAATACATTTTCCAAATTTCACCGTGCAAGGTATTTTCCCTGCATGTACTGCCAATCCGTGTGAAGCGCATGCGCGTACTATCAACCCAAAGACAAATGATATATGCGTCACTATATTGAGTACTTCACATGGATAACGAGATTCGATTACTTTTTGAATGCATTCATTCATTCAGAGAACGGAAATTTTGTCTTTATTCATTTATTCACTATATCTAAACAGGGTTAAAGCGAATGTTTTATTTTATGACGTTTGTTTAGTATTAAGGTTATAACACAGTCATTGTTGGACGTGATCAAACAAATCTCGATTAACCAAACAATTAGGATCAATGACAGCGTGCATGAATGAATGTCAATAATCCGATAGAATGCAAGATGAGGGTCACTGGCTTAATTCCGTTACCTCAACTATACAGTCACGATCAGGATGCAGTAATAATGGGTGTATTAGTTTGATCTTTATATTAGGTATATGGATTATATTCGCAATATCACATAATAGTATTATATCAATCTTATTCACTAAATTTTGAAGAAATTCAAACCCTTCGACATACATTACAGACAACCTGAACAAAACATGCAGAATTATATGACCTTAGGACAGGCGGGGCAAGTACTGGTTTTGAAAATTAGGGTCGTGTCGGAAATACCCAGTTACAAATTGTACGTGGATGAGGAATCAAATCCGGACCTTTGCCGTGACGAGCGAACGATTTAACCATTGTGCTCCGTGGTGCAGTGGTTAGAGCGGCCACCCGGAGAGCGGAAGGTCGCGGGTTCGATCCCCGGCCGCGTCATACCAAAAGACGTTAAAATATGGTACTTGATGGTCCCTGCCTGGCGCTCGGCATTAACAGGTACAACACGCACTGGTCGGCTTAAAAGTCAGTAGGCCCTATAATATGTCTGAGTGCTTAACTGCGATATGGTATCCCAGTGAGCTAGCACTATAAAACCAGCTAAAGTCTGGGCTAGTACAAGCAGCCACACATACACACGCATGCACGTCGTCATATGAACCATATATTCTCAAGTGCGACGTTAAACCCCATTTCGCCTCACCTCAAGACACATCGGGTTATCTCCCCTCAACCTTAGATCCGCCGGACAAAGAACAGCGTTGTCTTTCATTAGAAACTTCATTATTAGAAAAGAGGGGATGTTTCTGTGCAGGTTCATCAAGGTACTAATCAATTCACTTGCTCGATAAAGGTGTGGATAAAGAAACCACTCAGTTTTACATGGAGACCCTATTCAGTCTCATTATACTGACACCTCCTCTTTTTGTTATTTTTAATACTGACAGACAGGCATAGAAACAACAAGTACCATCTTTGAACGCCGTTTGGTATGACGTTCGGGGACGGAACCACCACTCTTCCGCTCAGTTGACGATCGAGTCACAAGACAGAGAGGTTTTGAGGCTAAACAGATCAGAGTTTACAAAGTGTCTAATGCACTCTCATATTGTCTCTCTCTCTCTCTTAGATTTTCCGGTCCGTTATTTCCTTAACGTATTAACAGTTTAAGTTTTTCGGTTTTGTTATTTCAAAATATTGCATCGATGTCCAAATATAGGATTGCGAATCCGTGTTTGGGTACTTAAGAATTCCGGGTTGATCGCAGGAGGTCTTTTCATAAACCCGTTATTGAAGGTAGTTGTTGGCTGGTAGCACGTGGGTCACGTGACAATACGGGGAAACCCCAAGTCCCTAACTGATGAAATGGAAGCTCACGCACGCGCATAGCCGACCAAAAGGTATGAATGATTGCAAAGTTTAGCTATGACGTCATTGTACACGTAATCAGAAACATCAAATTTACGAGAATTCCAAATTTTAATTACAACAATGAAACTAACAAGAACTGTTACATACGACGTTGACAAGGCACCGCTCCGCTGAGCCTTCAACCCTTTCAGTCTAGTATAAGATGGCGTGGTCAGATTGAAATGAAGCACGTGTGACCAGAGACCATATAATAGATGGTCTCTAGTGTGACCTGTGTAGCAACTCACGTCACAATAGAGTATAATTTTACAGGCACATTGTCAAAGTTCAAAAATCAAATTGTCAATCACCAACTTGTCGTAGTTATTTTGTGAAGTTATTTCGTAGGGAAAATGAAATGCGCCGAAGTATGCCTACAACCTGAATATTGGCGACCTTGGTTGTAAATGATAGCACAGGGGCTTGTAACGCAAAAACCTGGCATCAGAGACCACATGTGGTCTCTTCTGGCATCAAGATATATACTGTCACTGACTACAGTGTCGGATCCAGGGGTGTCCAGATGCCCCTCAACCCACCCCCAACCCCCACCCTCTCTTTGAAAATGACCAAAGACCACATTGAAGTTAATGTTTTGCAATGGCAGAGCCAAGGTGGGGTTCGGGGGCTTCGAACCCCCTGAACCACCACCCACCTACCCACCCCTTTAATTAATTATGGATCCGCCTATGGACTATATAGTGTTAAGGCCCCGTCAGTGACAGTATGTACCTCGATGCCATTTGTTTGCAGTACAAGCCCGTGTGAATGATTATTGTGATTTGACCTTGGGTTATGTAATAATCCCAGCTTCAAAACTATTTCTGTCCAATTCCAGTGAACAGGTTCGTTTGAACAGGGACCATATTCAAGATGTCAGACAACGTGCTGAAATATTTTGGACTTCAGCCAATTACTGATGAAGGTAAAACGAGGAAATGCACTTATATATTCGACGTAGAACTAATTTACTTCAACCGTAGCGTAATGTTGAGATGTTCTGAATGTTCCCGAAAAAAGTTAGTGAATAACTTTGTACATTGTCGACTTATCGCTTCAATTGTTCAACATGCACTCATTGTGTTCCAATGTCTCCTGTTTATAAAATCGAAGCTACCAATTTTTATCTGTTCATAGACTGTCAACATGTAGATGAAATAGTGCCGAGTGCGATGTTAAACAAAAAACATTTTCTATGTTGTCGTTAAATCAGAATGACAATGAAGATAGGACACAGGCTGTCCACTAGTCTGTCTCTCAGTCCCTGACCCACATTATTTTCCCTACTGCCCAGCCCTCCCTCCAATGCTAAAACCCTAAATGAAGCAAGTCTAGATTCACTCCGGTTCAGGCTCTGAATTTCCCATCTCACTGGGGCTCCTTTTCAATTCAAATGGGTTTATTTGTTACTATCAAAATTATATATATACTATAGGCACATAAAGAAACTGTGCATACAAAAATTTAAAATCTAAATTTATCAAACCAGTGTAGACACATAAGGATTTAAACTCAAAGATTAGTGACATGTATCCAACATGCATGCACGTGCTACGTTCCGTGACGTCACTTGCATTCCGGGAAAGAGAAACAGAGCAAATGAATGCCACACAATACTGTCACTTTGGAAAGCTCAACCCCTGCCCTTGCAATCGTTCAAAAAATTAAACGGCTATTGAAACGCATAGCATGCCAAGGCTCACGTCTGCACAACGTCATGAGGCCATTGGGATGGTCCGTGGGGGAATGTCTCAACGACAAGTGGCTGCACATTTCCACTGCCACCGGAACACCATTTCTGCACTGGTGAGACGCTACCAGAACACAAATGACGTCATCGATCGGCCACGTTTGGACGTCCACGTGTAACAACGCCAAGACAGGACATATGGATAAGGGTGACCCATCTTCGCCACAGGTTTCAGACTGCAGTGATGACTGCCCGAACCATCCCAGGACTTCGCCGTATCCACCCCAAAACAGTTCGACAACGTTTACGTCATCACGGGATCAGACCACGACGTCCCGCCATACGGCCTATCCTGACACAACGTCACCGACAAGCTCGCCGAATGTGGTGCCGAAATCATGTCCGCAGACCCTTGTTTTGGTGGAGAAATGTTGTTTTCACAGATGAGTCCAGGTTTAACATTTCCCATAGTGATGGACGTCAACGTGCCTATAGACGCGCGGGAGAACGTTATGCACAGGCCTGTGTCTTGAGGAATCGCTTTGGTGGTGGTTCCGTGATGATTTGGGGTGGAATAACAGCACGCCAAAGAACTCCTTTGGTGATTGTTCAGGGCAACTTAACTGGTGTGGGCTACAGGGATCAGATTCTTCGACCTGTGGCAATTCCTTTTCTGCAACGTCATGGCCCTGGGTTAACATTCCAACAGGACAATGCCCGCCCTCATACGGCAAGGGTTGCTATGGATTTCTTGCAACACCACAACGTTGACTTACTGCCTTGGCCTGCAAATTCACCGGATCTCTCCCCGATAGAGCATGTCTGGGACGAGATGGATCGACGTCTACGCCGTCTTCCTCATCCGCCAGATAACGTCCTTGACCTTGCAACAGAACTTGAGAGAATCTGGCGTGACATCCCACAAGCCTTCCTTGCACGTTTGATAGGCTCTATGCGTCGTCGATGCACTGCTGTTCTCAATGCCGATGGTGGACATACCCGTTATTGAGCTTTTGACATGGTCGTTTGACCCCTGTCCCGCTTGTGGACTCGTGACGTCATTGTGATTGACTTTTCAGTTGAAATTCTCCCGACTTGTTATGGTCTTATGATCCCTCCTTTAAAGTTTATATGTACCTTTGACATTGTTATCGTACTTTTCAACTGGGATAATATTTTGACAATGCACAGTTTCTTTATGTGGCTAGTATACATGTACATGTATTCAGAGACTAAGCGTTAATCCATCTGTCCACATATATAGCCGCAATAGCTCAGCGTAAGAAAACAAACAAATAAACACTACCCTGTTGTAAATCAGCCTTTGGTCACATACTGTAAAGTCCGTTTAAATCCCGCACCTACAGATTTTGACACGTGAGTCGTGATTTGCAGGAATTCAGGCGGTCATCTATGGGGAAACGGTACCCACCTCAGCAACACAAAAACTGCACAAGTGGCTAGCTCTCCTTCCACCGAATATACGTCAACTCATAGATGATGCAAGGGAACAGAAGCGACCCTTTCTACCACCCGAAGCCACACCTGAGATGATGACCGCTGCAAATGATAGAATCTCATCAATGAATCAGATGGAAGTATTGTATGTGAGTCAATCATCAATACGACCCTGTGAAGATCTGGGTTAGAATTGGTCTTCAACAACCCATGCTTGTGAGGGGAGGCGACGAACGGGATCGGGGTGTTCAGGCTCGCTGACTTGGTTGACACATGTCATCGTATCCCATTTGCGTAGATCGAAGGTCATGATGTTTATCACAAGATGGTCTGGTCCAGACTCGATCGTTTACAGACGCAGCCATATAGCTGGCCATGGCATATTGCTGAGTACCCCCTTAAACAACAAACAAAGTTTAAGATATACAAATGTTTCTGCTGCTATTCTCGTCTGTGGTTGAGGCAACATTACTCTCTGATCACTGCTGAAATCCTTGTCTTAATCATATTAATACTTGTCAGAATACCTTTAGCCACGTTCAGGTAATGTGCAGAATTCCACTTGTGAATGACTGTGCCCTCTAGTGTAGATCGATGGTCATTCTGTTGATCACTGGATTACTTGGCCCAGACTCGATTATTTACAGACTGCCGCGATATAGCTGGAATATTGGTGAGTGCGGCTTTATACAACAAACAAACAAACAAACTTGAATGGCTGGGTAGTTTTCAACCATCCTCATGTATGTAGAGCAGGGTATACTCAACATGTGTAAAGACTCTGTTTCTTCCAACTTGGTGTAAACTCAGTATCCATTACAAACAAATACTGAAACAAGTAGCCTAATTTCTGTTTTTGTTTTATTAGACTGATCGGCTGTAAGTGAATGAGTGAGTTTAGTTTTACGCCGCACTCAGCAATATTCCAGCTATATGGCGGCGGTATGTAAATAATCGAGTCTGGACCAGACAATCCAGTGATCAACATGATGAGCATCGATCTACGCAATTGGGAACCGATCGGCTGTAAGACTGCAGGTGATAATATTAATTACTTTGGCAAAAAGGCCAACTTGAATAATATTGCTGTGTGAGGCGAACAACAACAAAACAACAACAACAAAAGAGCAATCACTCCTGTTGCATTATAAAATGTCAAATGTTGGGGGGAACAATAGACAAACATTCAGGATCCGCTTAGTTTCTCCCCGAGTATCATTCTTAGTTTATCAGCAGAGTATGCTTGTTGTTGGGTTTGGTCAGTTCTAGTCATTGCTGGGCGGCTGGGTTAGCCCTAGTGGTTAAAGCAATATTCCGTCACGCCACGGCGGACCCAGAAATCGAATCCCCACATGGGTACAATGTGTGAAGCCCACCTGGTGTCCCCGCCGTGATGTTGCTGGAATATTGCTAAAAGCGGCGTAAAACCAAACTCAGTCAGTCAGTCAGTTCTAGTCATTGCCAGCTATATGTAGGAAGAAATACCGAACTGACGCGGGTCTCAGACGTTTACCACTGTGTTTGAAAGGATATGGCTGTGGCTAACCTAGAAAACATTATCCGACAGAATCGGAATTGGTACCAACGACCATAATAACCTGGTAAATCAAAGGGACGCAACTCTGCACACTGAACTGCGCCGTCTTAGACGACTGGATCCCTTCCCCGCTATGATATAGCTGAAATGTCGTTTAATTCAGCGTTAAACTCTCACTCATGCCGGGCGGTTGGGTAGCCTAGTGGTTAAAGCGTTCGCTCGTCACGACGAGGACCCGGATTCGATTCCCCACATGGGTACAATGTGTGAAGCCCATTTCTGGTGTCCCCTGTCATAATATTGCTGGAATATTGCGAAAAGCGGCGTAAAACCCAACTCACTCACTGACTCATTCACTCGTGACTTCACTGTATGTTATTTTATCCGCAGAGGTGCATAGATCTGGCAATAGAAGCTGGAGATTTCAAGATGGCCGCCTGTATTGCCTTTACCGTGGACCGGGCCTCCTACTGGTCTGGGACGTCCAAACCTCTGCTGCAAATTGTGGAGTTTATAAAGGAGAAATGTCCGGAGGTGGCCATCGCTCCTCAGATCCAAGTGAGGAAAGCCCGGCTCTTGAAGGACGAGGGGGACCTCCATGGAGCTATCAAGATCCTCAACCAAGTCCTCATTAGACCCCAGGGGAATCCAGGTAGACAGCCATGAATGACAGTACATACTTACTGTTATATTTGAGAAAAAACATGATAACAGATGAAAATAATTTATGTTCGTTAGTGACCCGGAGCGGTTGGGAAGCCTATTGGTGGAAGCGTTCGCTTGGGGTCAATTTCCATATGGGTACCATGTGTGAAGCCCATTTCTGGTGTCCCCCGCCGTGATATTGTTTTAAAAAGCCAAAAAAATAATTTTCTTTTTTTCTAATTTCAATTCTTAACACAAAAAGGAGGCTAATTTCTCTTGTACTGTCAATTATATCTTCAATGCCAGCTGTGTGTATACCTGTAGGGGAATGGAGGTATGCCGATGATGACCAGTATGTCACCACAAAGGCAGAGGTCATCAAGATCAAGGGCAATATTATGCACAATCTAGGTGAGTTGAAACCGTATGTCACACATCTGGCCCACGAAGTCATACATCTGGCCCATGAGGTCACATCCCTGGCCGAGGAGGTCACACAACTGGCCGAGGTCACACAGCTGGCCCATAAGGTCTCACAGCTGGCCCATGAGGTCTCACAGGTGGCCCATGAGGTCACACAGCTGGCCCATGAGGTCACACAGCTGGATCTGGATGAAGACAAGGTAGCAATCTTTCCCTTAATGTGTCAAAACCAAAGATTTGGGACTCATGTTAGCAAAATCATCACCCATTTGATGACTGTCTTTGGACATTTGGATGACAGTTCAAGTGTAATGACTACAGCAGGAAGATATGTAGAATATCATGTACGAATGTGCAGTGTCCGTGAGTGTTTCAACACTCGATCACAATCCTGAGATCCAGTAGTTCATTACTGACCCGTAGTCGGTGTCCGCTTCGCGAGGGTACAGTGGTAGTTGAGGTTCTGCCCTTGCCGAACTAGGCTGAAATTTCGGAGACACAGTTTTCTTGGCCTATTTAGAGTCCAATCAAAACTGCTCGACAAAGTAGATATAAGGGACGGAAATTACCGTTTGCAGCATTTAAAGACCACGTACAGATATTTTCCGAATATTTTCAATGGTTTTTATCAAACTGGTCAAGTAATTTGATGTACTTCGTGATCTTGATTTTCGATTAAATCGTCTTGACTGGGTGCCGCCGTTGTGCTTGAGACAAATGCAAGTAACATGATAGCTGAAATCTCTTTAATCAAAACGAGGGACATAGATGGTATACAACTCTTAATTCACTGAAGGTACCACGAACGAGCCACGAAATTCCAGCCCAGTTCGGCAAGGATGGAAACTGGTATTTTACGGTCAGTTACCTCCCTTGCCTCGGGAAGAGTCCGTGATAGATGTCGTTTGTTTGCAGGTATGATGAAAGAAGCTGTCGAGCCTCTGTTGCAATCAATCCAACTGTTTGCCTCTCTGAGGGAACAGGACGACAAGGGTATAGCATCGTGTCTCGGGCTGCTCACCAGATGTCTGGGAAGATTGTCACTGAACGACTACGATGAAGTCCGACATAGATTTCCCGAGGACTTTGAGTCCCAGCATCCCTGTCACCAGTCCTACTTGACCGGCATTGAAGCTGTCCGCTACATTCTGACTATTGATGAGAGCCTGTACCGCTCCAAGCATCAGGTACACAGTACAGGGCTCACTTGCACAAAGCGCTCTTAAGCGCCACGATGATCGCAACCACAGGGGTTCCGAATCACTGTTTGGACAATCATTTTGAAAAATTAAAATCTACATTTTTACATTTTTGTATAGATTCTTATTTTTTTTAAAATTATTGTCCAAACAGTGATTCGAACCCCCTGTGATCGCAACAGAGACATAGACTTAAGTTGGCCGTAGCGCTTTTTGCAAGTGGACACAGATGTCATAGTGAGTGAGTCCAGGTAGGGACACCAGAAATGGGCCTTTACACGTTGTACCCATGTGGGGAATCGAACCCGGACCTTCGGCGTGACGAGCGAACGATTAAACCACTAGGCTACCCCACCGCCCCTGCAGATATATCATGGCGCGTCAGCTTACTGTAGGAGGAAAGCTCGACCTAATACAGGTCTTATAGACGTTTACCACTACGCACGATCAAGGGTAGGGTAAACCCAAAAAATATTTTAGGCAAAATAATATACGGAACGCAAGAATAGGTTTTTAGCGTGCTCACAAGGCACAACTCTACATGTCGATTTGCGGAGACTAAGACTACAGACAATCATGATGCCAATGGAAGTTAACTCATAATTATCCCCAAAACTGAAGTCATATTTAGTTGTTTGTTCTTAAGGCTACGCTGAGCATTATTCACTGACTGACTGACTGAGTATGGTTTTACGCCGGTTTTAGCAATATTCCAGCAATATCACGGCGGGGGACACCAGAAATGGGCTTCACAAATTGTACCCATGTGGGGAATCGAACCCAGGCCTTCGGCGTGACGAGCGAACGCTTTAACCACTAGGCTACCCCACCGCCCTCTGAGCATTATTCAAGCTATGAGAAGACGATCTGAAAATGAGGCTGGACAGCTTAATCCAGTCATTGACACCATGAGCATTGACCAACGCACAGATCATCCGATTAATCAATTAATCGCATAGTCTTACCAAGAATCCCCACACGAAGTGTATTAGTAACTAATAACTATCATGTTCTCAATAATATCGCTTTACGGAGTGAACAGCTGGAGGCCGTCATCATCCTGTGAGGGTCAACATTAATGTAACATGCTAATCTTGCTAATAGCAGTCCATTATGAGGAGGAATGGACATAACTATACTCTTATTATAACCTGTGTAAAGAACATATAAATACTGATAAAATATGAATTTGAAATATTTAAAAAATATTCGTCACGTGCTTCTTAAATCGCAATATCATGAATAAGAACGCGACCATGCTTACCTCTGAGTTTTGAGACCCGACCCTTAAACCACATAAGCTTGAAGTCTAATGATTTCATCGTGTCAATGCCATGTATGCTGATGAAAACGAAAATAGTATACATTTACACCTGGCAGATTGTGTTGTCTGGCAGTGAATTCAAGACGTTCCTCCTGGTTTGATTTTGTTATTTTCATTGCCAGTGTCATTGCATATACGTTTCTAAAAGATTTGCAGCTGGATGGGGTTTGATCACTGTTGTCACTTTGTGACCATGTGCTTTTGTCATGGTCATTGTCAGTGTTATTGTCATCGTCAGTGTAGTTATAGAGTTCTTCATGTCCTTTCAGCTGGATGCGGATGTTTCACTGTTGAAATATGCCATCCTACGACCTTCTGTCCAAGAGGAATACAAGTTGTTCCAGACAGTTCTGAAGGAGATGAAGTCCTGCTTGAGTGCACACAAGACCGTCTCAGCACTGAGGAGTGTGGAACAGTTCCATGAATTTGTCCGCGCTCTATTCATGATCAGCCTCACTCTGTCACTCACCCCTGTTCAGCAGGACCGAGACCTAGCCGAGTACCTGCAGCAGCTGAGCATGGAGTTATACCTGCATCTATGTAGCCATCAAGCTGCTGGTCAGGCGGCCCAGCTGGACCATACATCGAGGACAGTGAAGATTATGAACTTGTCTTTAGCAATCCTTGATCTTCCTAAGCTTGAAGGGAAGGTTGCCGGGAATGACAGCATGGGTAGGCAACATAATGGGGATACATCCCAGATGCAAGATGGGTCTCAGAAGGAAGAAGAGGGATTTCCGGGAGGAGGGGCCTCTCAGAATGGAGGTGTGTCCCCGCAGCAAGGAGATATGGTCCAGGCTGTGGATGGGGCGAGGTCATTAGCCAAGCATGGATCGACCTCAGTGGAAGGGCAACTTGGAGGGAAGTGCAGATCAAGAGAAGCAGAAATATGTGGTGTTACCCCTTCTTTGGGAAGAGCAGAGACAGAGCCCTCTAGAGGATCGTCATTCCAAAGCCATAAGCCAGAATACACGGATATCCAAACAGAAACAAATGAATCTATGGTGATCTATAGGCGAAGGAAGGAAACGACCCCGAGAGCCTGGACGTACGGTTTCCAGCAGGCATCCCTCGGCAGTGAAGAGACACCTCAAGGCTGTTACACCTATCCCCTGATGACTCCAGGCAGGGTTGTGGATCCTAAGAAGCAGTGGCAGATATATAAGCATAAATGTGTAGGTCTTCCTGTGGATCCAGCTTTCTTCTCCTCCCCGGTTCCTTGTAGAGGTACCCAGGACCCGGACGATGCATCTTCCTCAGTTCATAGAAAGGACCTTGTGAATTTATCAGTACCGTATGTTACCCAAACTGTTGAAAGCAGAGAAAGCACTGGGGAAGGGAAACAGATAACCAACAAGAATAGTTTGGTGGACCAGGATGCTACAACGAAGCCATCCGAAACATGTGAAGATGTTAACAGATTATTCCTCCACCCCCACGACATTCCCAATCAGCCAATGAGAAGCGAGGAAGACAGGAAGAAAAGACAGTTGAATGAGAATACTGATATTCCAGAGTTACAGCCCCTTGTTGACCTTTCAAGGACAACATTGACCGATTCTTTTGTAGAAATGGATCTTGGCGAGAGCATCTCAACGGATGATCCGGCAGAGTACCTAAGCAACTGGCGTCCACCCCTGCCACAGCCGGAATCTCCCGCAGATAAGCTCCGAAGTAAGTAGAGTTAATTTTGTATTTTGTTTTTAAATAAACAGTGAAAAATCTAATGTAACCCCAAGCGTTTAGATTCATTTAAAGTGGAAATTGTGCTTTTGAGAGACCGTACATGCATTAGACTATGCTAACGGAAAATAGTACCTGTGCATTACATAAAGTTCAGTTTAGATATACATTCACTCTGTAGTGAAGGAGTGAGTTTTAACTTGGTCCAGATTTTAGCAATATTCCAGCAGTATCGGGGGCCAAACCAAGAGACATTACTGAAGTCAACGTCTAGCTCCTATGATTGTAACGTATCGATGTCCCAAGGTTTGATGTCATTTCTTCAGAAAGATGTCCCCTCGTGTCAATTTAGCACTACTGTTCTCTAGTGGCGTGGTACACCCAAAATGGGTTTCAAACATTGCACCTATGTTTGTATTCACTCTGGAGGAGTCGTAACATTTTATACATATTCGCACAAAATGCATCTCAATTTCTTAAAGTGAAAATTTGCAATGTTTAGTTGAATTGTAGATTGTTTTTAGGAAAACTCGTAGCTTCATTCTGTGAAAAGAAATTATGTTATCATTGCCATATTGGAACTGCATGCTATCCTACCCTCACACTCTCATGGACACAACCTGTTCAGGGTCATTCCTGCTGACATACAACCCCGCCACTGGTGACTGGACAGCACAGAGTACTCTGGTATATATTGGGAAGACGCTTGATCTGGAAGAGGGGAAGAGAGGACACTGCCGAGATGCCTACCACGTTCAGTTCCTGCACCAAGAGGAACCCAGAGGACGGTATGACACACTTGCTCTTCCTTGATGCAAGGGGCGGACCATATACTATTATGGAAAGGGAGTTTTGTGTGGAAGAGTACATTTCAGTATGTCAACTTATTTATCGACACAATTTTCTCCTGAGAATTCAAAATGTACGATATTTTTTCATTAAAAAAGTGGGGCAAATTTATTTTATGTAATGTGTGGGGCAAAACGATTCGGTCGAGAGACTGAGTATTTCAATGTTTGCTCGGTTGTATTTTCAAAATACCATCGGGCTACGAAGAGCTAATCAAGTTATAGACTTTATCTACTAGCACCTTAACAGCTTAGTTTTACTGGTCTTGCTACTTAATCGCTCCTGCTTATTAGCTTCATGGCTGATTGTTGTTCTAACAACCTGGCCTCATCCAGTTATGTGCCACTGGTTAACTAATTACATGTTGTTAATGCTACTCCGGTGAGGTGAGGTGAGGTGAGGTGAAATTGGGTTTAACGTCGTGCTTGAGAATATTTCGCTCATATGACGACGTGCATGCGTGTGTATGTGTATGTGCGGCTGCTTGTACTAGCCCAGACTGAAGCTGGTTTTATAGTGCTAGCCCACTGAGATGCCATGCCGCAGTGAAGCATGAATACCCCACTCAAACACATTATACTGACTCCGAGCCGACCAGTCCTTGTTGTATGCCGAGCGCCAGGCAGGGACCAACAAGAACCATATTTTAACGTCTTTTGGTATGACGCGGTCGGGGATCGAACCCGCGACCTTCCGCTCTCCGGGCGGACGCTTTAACCACTACACCACGGAGGCGGTAATAATGCTACTCCGATGTTTATCAGAACATACAATATGTATTTATACTTCTCATCATTTGGTTGTAGTCACTTTTAGCTTAAAACGATGTAAGAACCTACACCGAAACGTCGCTCTGTGCAATAAACAAGAAGTCGTTACCCATAAAGTCGTATGCTTCATTATTCAATGCACAAATTTCACACAACTTAGTTTGGTTTCAGATACGTGGGCAAGAGGTACAGGTCTCCACAGAACCACTCTGTAACACGCTACATGCAGGATGTGGTGTGTCAGATGATGGCTGGACACTATGTCCTCAAGTTCAACGAGATCCTGCAGAACTACCAGCGAGACATCCAGGTCCAGTTCCTTCCTGCATCCCACCTTCAGTTGCTGACACCGGACGGACGCCTGGAGGACTGCATCAACGTGGAACCCTACCTCCACGGCGACTTCATAAAACTCACCAACAACTTGGCCTTCTCCAACAAGAAGGAACATCGCGGGGAGGAACTGGCCACGGCCTTGACCCACTTCTCCTTCTGCGAGTCCAAGGGCACGCTGATGATCGTGGACATCCAAGGCTGGCTGGAAGTGAGGACAGTGGCGTCATCTACCTCACCGACCCACAGTTCCATACAAGCGGCATGGAGAAGTTTAGTCCGTATGATCATCAAGAGAAAGGCATGAATAGGTTCTGGTCAGAGGTCCACCCTGTATGCAATGACATGTGCAAGGCTGCTGGGCTAAGTCGACCTGACCAGTCATCAACCGTCTACATCAGAGTGAGTGAGTGACTTGTGGCGAACTCTGCTTTTAACAGTACTCCAGTCATATCACGGCTTGTCAGATTACTGTGTCTAGGCCAAATAAAAAAAATGTTGTGGTTCCGATTACACATCTTTAAAATTTAGGGTAGGTAGGTAGGATTTTTATTTTATTTTTTACATTTTTTTCAATGTGTAATTGTTTATTCAATCAAGCTTGAGGCCACCATGTCGACTTTCTCTATCAGAATGACCAATGTCCGTCGGTGCCGGGAAATAACAATGGTATCTGAAAGCTTATTTTATTCATACCGCTAAAAGAAATAGGGTCGGCACCAGAATTCAAGGGTCGGTCGGGTAATCGGAACCCTATGTCTATATTAGATGTCAAGCAAATTGTAAATGCATATTGTATACAAAAGGCAATGTTCTTGTTCATATATTTATAAAATGACCATTGCGTATTTAATTGGAAGAGTTAATGAGAAGTAGCCTATAAATTAGTGGCTATTAATTGTAATTTCTACATTTTTGCGAGGGTTACTTCATTGTCAGGGGACAATTACAAACTCATCCATATTGTTGACCAACATCAGAACAAGTACATTTGTCATAAATATTTAAGAAAGACTTCTCTAGAATCTGTAACACTGTCATTGTTTCCAATAACACTGATGTATACTGGCCTACTAGAATGCTCTGTTGTACTACTCTTCAAATACATATGTGTAGATTTAGATTCACAGTTGTCACTTGTAAATTATTACTAATTTGGTCATGTGTGTGTTCGGGTTGAGTTTGTATTTTGCGCTAGCACACCCTCAGCAGTCTGGGTTAAAACTGCCATCTACGTCTCCAACTCTGTTGTACCACGCAAAGAGAGAATCTCGGATCCCTTCCTAAATTTTTGGGATAGGTGTAGAAGGTAGGACTGAGGCGACTACGAAGGGAAACAACTCTTCATAAACGAACAGAAGGCAAAAATGACAGACGTGTGTATCTCGCTCTCTGAGTCAGTGTTCCTGTGTAGATTGTTCTCGCTGAGATTTATAGTGGTTAGTTGGGGTTTGTTTTGTTTCATACCATAAGCATAGTTGGTGAAACTTGCTTTGGTAATTAATTTAGTAATTATATTTTGTAATTGCCTTTCGTTTGTGTTCGTGAAATTTCCTTGCACGTTCTCTGTTTCGGTTGGCTGAGCACGCTCGGCTTTGTACGTGCGCTTGGCACGTATTGTCCGTGCAGAACTTGCTTCGCGGATTACGCTTGTCGACAACACTGATAGCGTTTGCTTCGCAGATAGGGTTATGAATCCAGATTCTGACGGGGAATATACAGCCGACTGGTCGGCTCATGATGATTTTGAGGAAACTTCTACTCATGCCGAATTTGCTGAGAAATATAATGCTATGTTGGCTAAACGTCCAAAACGGAAACATGATGACGATGTTCAGACAAATTTTACGGAAAAAATCTGAAGCCCATTGTTATTTTTCCTCGGTAGACACTAGTGTCAGTTTGAAATCCGTAACTCCCGTTGCACTAGCTAAGGATATTCAAAACATATTGGTGATATACATAGCCTAAAGAGGCTGGATAAAGGTGACATTGTGTTACACTGCAGATCGGCTGAGCAGGCCAAAACGGCTCTGTCATTGACGCGAATTTGTGGGAAACAAATCAAAGCTTATGTCCCCAAAAGTTTGCGAGAATCAAAAGGTGTTATTTACAATATAGATCTGGATATTTCTGAAGATGAAATAGTTGAGCAGTTGAAATCCTTCAAAGTGACTGATGCTAAACGTTTAACCAGAGGTAAGGAAAAACAGCAGACATTATCAGTTTTGTTAACTTTTGCAAGTACCACACTCCCAGAGCATGTATACATGTACTATCAGTCTTTCAAGGTAAGAACGTATGTACCACCAGCCCTTAGGTGTTATAAATGCCAGCGTTTCGGTCATACATCAAACAATTGTAAAAGTACAGTTCAAGTTTGTGCCCGCTGCAGTGGGGATCATGCTTATGATGCCTGCCCTTCTAAAGATACCTTGAAATGTTCCAATTGCGGAGGAAATCACAGCGCAGCCTATAGAGGTTGTAATAAATACAAGGAAGCGGTAGAAATCGAACGTGTAAAAGTTGAAAACAAAGTTTCTTATAAAGAAGCCGTACAAATGGTCAAAGTAAACAATCCTATGTCTATTTCCTTTGCAAATGCTGTCAAACTCCGTCCTAAACAGCCAGTTGTTCCTTCTCCGCAAGTTGCAATAAGTCGACCTTCAGTCAAGGTCACTCATGGTTCAAATAATTGTTCAACTCAATGTTCATGTCAGTGTTCTATTCATGGTGATAGATCACTGGATCAATCTCAGTCTACTCGTCCATCAAGCGAAAGCAGCCCATCCCGAGTTGATAATTCCACTGAAAATCTTGTTGCATTCTTACTAGAGGTTATCACAGTCTGTTTTGGTGCTCCAAACCGAGATGACCAAATTTGTCGTATTATGTCCGCTGCAAAGTCTCATCTCCACATTGATATATCTCAAGATATCTTCCGTTCTTTTTCCACTGATGAATCATAATGGATAGCGCCTTCTTGCTGCTAACTATTCTGCAGTGGAATGCACAGAGTTTAGTTGCACACGGTCCTCATCTTAAGGCGTTTCTTGGAAAACTAGAATTCAAACCGGATGTAATATGCATTCAAGAAACATTCCTCTGGCCTGAGTGTCAGTTTAAAATTAATGGTTATGTTAGCATGCGAAAAGATCGCATTGAATATGACCCTACGACCAGAAATCCTAAACGTGGCGGTTGTGCTATTTTTGTCAAATCAGATTTAACCTATAATAGTCATACCTTGCCGAAACTTAATTTTGAGGCAAATGCGGTGGAAATTGTCTCAGACGAGAAACAATTCCTAACCATTGTTAATATATACAGCAATGGTTCGCCATCTCTAGATGATTATAAAATGCTGACAAATTCTGTAGATACACCAGTTTTGATATGTGGTGATTTCAATAGTCATAATGCACTGTGGGGGAGCAGGCATACAAATCATGCTGGTCAAGTTGTAGAAACTCTTTTGGATGACACAGGTTTAATATTGCTAAACTCTGGCCAAATGACCCGTATAAATCCTGGTAACTTTACTTTCTCAGCATTGGATCTTACCCTTGTTTCGCCGATTTTATCACACAAATGCCAATGGGGTGTTTATCAACACGACAGTCTGGGGAGTGATCACTTTCCAGTTTTCACTGAAATATCGTTTACACCTCTTCGAACACCTGCACATGGACTTTCTAGATGGAGATTTAAATCTGCAAATTGGCATAAATTTGTTGAACTTTGTTCAAATGAAATAACCTGTGATCTGCTTAAAGATGACATTGAACGTTCAACTTGTAATCTAACTTTATCTCTGACTAAAATCTCAGAAAAAGCTATTGGTAAAACTTCCGGAAAGCCAACTACTCGAAATTCTCAGTATTGGTGGAATAAGGATTGTGACAAAGCCGATAAAGCTCGGCAAAAGGCTTATAACCGACTTCGCAGGACATCCTTACCGGTTGATTTAGACGACTTTCGGAAAAAACGGGCTGAATTCCAACGTCTTGTACGATCATTAAAACGCAGTAGTTGGCGTTCTTACATATCTACAATAAACAGGCATACTTCCTTATCTTCAATTTGGGTCAAGGTAAAAAGGATTAGTGGGAACCGTAATAGATCCCCTATTCCTGTTTTGGATCAAAGCGCTATTTCCCGTGAAGAGAAAGCAAATCTTTTAGCAGATCAGTTTGAGGCTGTTAGCAGCTATGAAAACTTTTCAACAAAATTTAAAAACGAAATCACAAATTTGGAGAATGAGATTATTCCAACAATTTCAGATTCTTTATTACAACCTTTTCCTGAATATGATTTATCCTTCCACCTGGGAGAATTAAAATCGGCAATATCAAAGGGCAAGAATACATCTCCTGGTGCCGATGAATTGTGTTACGAACACTTTAAACATATGCCAGATTCAGCTCTAGAAGTCATACTTAATATCATAAATCAAAGCTGGATATCTGGGAAGTTACCCAAAAGCTGTAGACACGCTGTTGTTATCCCTGTTCCCAAACCTGGTAAAGATCCATCTCGCCCTGTTTCATACAGACCAATAGCCTTAACGTCTAACCTGTGTAAAATCATGGAAAGGTTGGTCACAAATCGTTTGAGTTTCTACTTAGAATCAAATGAATTATTAACGAGGCTCCAGTGTGGGTTTAGGAAAACTCGTTCTTGCATAGATCACCTAGTTCGACTACAAAATGAAGCACAAAAAGCACTAGGAAACCAAGAGTATATGCTGTGTGTATTTTTAGACATTGAAAAGGCATATGATATGCTATGGAGAAATGGACTTTTATTTAAACTGCAAAGCTTGGGGGTAAAGGGACGTATGCTACAGTGGATAAAGTCCTTCCTAACTGATCGAACCATACAAGTTCGTATTGGGCAACACGTGTCTGACATGCGAATTCTCGTAAATGGCACTCCACAGGGCAGTGTTATAAGCCCTTTGCTCTTTAATATAATGATCAATGATTTCTTTTCTGAACTTCCTTTAAACATTGATGCATCACAATTTGCAGATGACGGTGCTTGTTGGAGGCGTTTTGGAAACATTGAGTTTGTTCATAAATCTATCCAATTAGCTCTAAATTCTATAGATGTTTGGTGTTCAAAGTGGGGGTTCAAGGTTTCAACTTCTAAATCAGTTGCTATGTTCTTCACAAGACGTAAAGTTCCTCCAAATCTGAAGCTACACATTGGTGGTCAGGACATAAAATTTGTTTCTGAATTTAAATTTTTGGGTGTAATCTTTGATCAAAAACTCACTTGGTCAAACCACATCAACTACATTTCATCAAATTGTACTAAAGCTCTCAATTTACTGAAAAGCGTGTCTGCCACAAAGTGGGGTGCTGATAAATCATCCTTGCTTCTGTTGTACAAAGCACTAATTTTGTCTAGATTAGAATATGGCTGTCAAGTTTTTATGAATGCTGCAAAATGTCATTTGGCTAAACTTGATCGTGTTCAAGCCAAAGCTCTTCGGATATGCACTGGTGCTTTTCCCACTACTCCAGTTTCTGCCCTGCAGGTGGAATGCTCAGAACCTCCTTTGCAATTTCATCGTCTTAAAATTGCCCTTAAGTACTATTTATCCTTAAAAGCTTCCTCTAGGTATCAACCAGCAACTGATATATTGTGTGATTGCGTGGAATATGTCATGTGTGATTGGAATCATGGAAAACCACCGTTTGGATTACTTGTACAACAATTTGCATTACAGTACAAGTTAAACAATCTTCAGTTGAATGCTGCTCGATCTCTCCCGAAAACGGTTCCATGGACTTTAACACAACCTTCGATTTCACAGGATTTATCGGAGCTTGTAAACAAACAAATGTCACCAAGTGTTATTAAAATCCTCACCCAAGATTACATTCACACCAAATATAGCAATTTTACTCATATTTACACTGATGCTTCAAAGGATCCCAGAACCGGTCATGTTGGTGGAGCTTTCTATATTCCCGATATTGGTTTATCCAAAAGATTTAGATTGACTGATCATCTGTCTGTATTTGCAGCAGAACTGACATCCATACTTCAAGCTTTAAAATGGGTAAAAGATAATGAACACGAAGCAATAATTTTTACTGATTCGTTGTCAGCTGTACAAGCAATTCAATCAGGTGTACAAGGTCCACGCAGTGACATACTATACGACATCTTGTATCTTGATACTGTTTTAAACTCCATGTACATCAGCTGTGATATTGTTTGGATTCCTGCACATGTTGGTGTAGCTGGAAACGAAGTAGTTGACACAATTGCTAAGATGGCTTGCAACAGACCACAGCCAGATATTCATTCAATTAAGCCCATTCCAAGAGATTACTGGTTTGTCATTTCATCTTCAATAAATGCATCTTGGCAAAATAAATGGGATAATGAAACTACAGGTAGACACATGTACTCTACTTGTCCTGTAGTAAACAAACATTTTAAAATTCGTCGGCGTTGTCGCAGAGATGAAGTTGTTTTAACTCGTCTCAGGCTGGGACATTGTGGATTAAAGGCATATAGAAGTATTTTAGATAAAGACTTATCTCCTCTGTGTGAAAGCTGTAACTTACAGTGCCCAGAAACAGTTCAGCACTACCTCATTGAATGTCCAGCTCATGAAAACCCACGTAAGGCTCTTAAAGAAACTGTGCTTAACAAAACCCAAAATACTTTTTCAATGAACGCAATACTTGGCGATAATTTAATGTATGGTTGCATACAAAGAGCTGTTTTAGACTTCCTCGTTAAAACGGGTAAGTACGATGTTATTTAACTGAACAAAAATATAACAGTTTGTTAAGTGTTGGGCGCATATAGGCCTTTTAAGGCCCAAGGTCACCCTAAAACCTTATATACATACATACATACATACAGAAGGCAATCACTGAACAACACTGCTGTAAGCTCGCTCCAGTCCCAGGATTATCCGTTATGAAAGTATGTTCTTTACTCAGCGATTTTTCTTCTGTTTATTTTTAATTCTGAAGCCAGCATAAACGTGTGACAACTTTATGCTGCGAGATTTTACAGTACACAGATTACAGCAAACATGTGACTACTCCCCGTATTGCTTGAGGTAAGGGACCGTTCATAATTTATGGCTCGGGGGCAATGATGATTGTAAGGGAGGGTCACCCATTTTGTTCTGGGGAGGTAGGGGAGTCATCAGTTTTGCACACATGCACAAGAGAGGTTCAGCACTTTTGTAAATTTCATAATATTTAAAAAAATATGCGTAAAATTATGGGAGGAATGGGGTCATTGATTTTGTACATGACGTGCAGTTTGGGGTCACTTTGTACATACATTTTTCACATTGTACAGAAAAGTTGTTTAACAATCTATCATTAAAATATTGACACAGTTCACTATTTGTTACGAGGGAGGAGTGCAGAGAAAGGGACAGCCAGGTGTTCGAGAACGGATGGAGACGACACAGAACACGTTAATGAATAAATAACTTTGTCTGTGAACGTGCTTCTCGAACACCTGGCTGTCCCTTTCTCTGCACTCCTCCCTCGTAACAAACAGTGAACTGTGTCAATATTTTAATGATAGTTTGTTAAACAACTTTATTATTTTTAGGACAAAATTCTGCAAAAACCTCACAGAGTGGGTATGATGTTTTGATTATGATCAGCGTTTCATTGAGTATGTTATGTTTATTAGTTTTCGAGTTAGATTGCAATTCATCGGTCCGCTTTTGAGCCAAACGGGCTGTAAATGCAGATAGAGTGAGTGTAATGAAGGTATTGGTTCTTTGTGTTTTAAATAGCTTCTATGGTTGTTTCTCATGATACTTGTGTAATCGAAACCTGTTAAAATTGCTAATAAAGGAGTTGTCAAAACAATTATATTTTTATACTAGTTACTGGTCAGGAGATATGGAAAATCTGTTGCCATCGTGGTAAGAGTTCCAACACTCTCTTGTACCACAAAACTGTTTTGATATAATCGTATGTCTTTCTCCGATGAAAGTTCTTTTTCATGATAAATGAAACAAATAGTTCTATGAGGGCAGTCTCTAGTATGAATGAGCCAGGATCCTCTTCATTTCCGACAGCTGACCGTAATTACACAGGGACATAGGCTGTTTCACACATAACGTTGATCAGTGTTAGCTTAACAGGTATGTCTACATTTGAACTGTTGCCATAGGTAAGCCGCAAAATATTATACGATTTCCTAATTGACATTGGCCTTCATATTTTCCGTCCTTTCCTGGACAATATTTTCGAAATCGAGGTCGTCTCTCCTCCCAAATTTTAAGGCACAGTTTCTGTCAACACAGACGCCTAAGATTTCAGTCACAGTTACGTCCCTTCAAAGAGCCAGGATCCGTTGGTTCGAATCTCGGTTTAGGAGTACCCTACTTGTGCTCCTGAGTGACGCAGCCTGACCAACTCAAGTTAACGTCCAAGCTCTTTGTTATTTTACCTCTCCTTGAGATTATAAACACAAAATATTCATTCACTGAGGACTGTCACCTCTCCGAGTGGCGTGATACGATGGAATATGTGGCACTACACCCGCTTAAATCCGACCTGCTGATTTAAATACACCTTTCTCAAAAAAGATTCGGGGATGAACTTGTCTTCACCAATCCATGCTTGTTGTGAGAGGCGACTAACGGGATCAGGTGGTCAGGCTCGGTGATGCATGTCATCATATCCCAGTCGATGCTCAAAGTGAATCACTGGATTGTCCGGTTCAGTCAAACCACAAGCAAAATAACAAACAAAGATAGATGTACTATTCATGTGATTCGTTGCAAGTACAGGAAACTAACTATCACAGAATACAGAGGGAGATTATGGTCTCATGATATCTAATACTCTAAGTTGAAATGTATCTACTGGATAGCAAGGGTTGACAATCTGTAGTCTGTGGTAAAAACATCATTCTCTCGCAGGAGAATGTCTTATTCAGTTACTTCCGTCCAACACTGTGATTCCAAAAATCGTTTCGTTGTTTCAAACAATTTTGCCAGTAACACTTCCGTTGTCAACGTGCTAACACCGTAGATAAAGCGATTTTAGGTTCAGGTGTGAGGTATCCAGTTCAACTTTGATAGTGTCAAGTACAATTTTACTGGCACGTTAGCTGTGGTCGGAGACAGCGCTACTTTCTCTACTCGACCTGAGTGTCATAATCAACTGTTAACTCCCCTCCAGGTAGCCATGGCTGACGAGTCCCGGCCTCGCTTCACGCTGTACTATACTCCAACATCGTACTATTCCCATAAGGTACTGTAACTTAACACAACAAGAGAAGGTAGTTACATGTACTTGATGTTGCTTTAATCAATCGCCCACCTGACTTTTTAATACACCGGTTTTCAAACTACACCAGGTCACTCGGTGGCGTGGTGCGATAAGTGACTTTCTATATGACTGGATCACGGTGACACAACTCTAGGATATTTCCGGGGACACAAGATAGTTGTGTGAATATTGTATACCTTAACACTGCCATCTGTGACAGGTAGATGGTGTGATCAATAAATAGAGTCAGGTGGATGGAGGTTGGTGGAAGTGCAGATAGATGGATGTAGAAGGGCAGGTTGACACTGTTGTACAGTCAGGTGGATGGAGGTAGAAGGACAGGTAGACAGTGTTGTACAGTCAGGTGGATGGAGGTAGAAGGGCAGGTAGACAGTGTGGTACAGTCAGGTGGATGGAGGTAGAAGGACAGGTAGACAGTGTGGTACAGTCAGGTAGATGAAGGTAGAAGGGTAGGTAGACGGTGTGGTACAGTCAGGTGGATGGAGGTAGAAGGGCAGGTAGACAGTCAGGTGGATGGAGGTAGAAGGACAGGTAGATAGTGTGGTACAGTCAGGTGGATGGAGGTAGAAGGACAGGTAGACAGTATAGTACAGTCAGGTAGATGAGATAGACGTACAGGTAGGCAGTGTTGAACAGTCAGGTGGATGAAGGTAGAAGGACAGGTAGACAGTGTGGTATAGTCAGGTGGATGAAGGTAGAAGGGCAGGTAGACAGTTTGGTATTGTCAGGTGGATGAAGGTAGAAGTGCAGGTAGACAGTGTGGTAAAGTCAGGTGGATGACGGTAGAAGGGCAGGTAGACAGTTTGGTATTGTCAGGTGGATGAAGGTAGAAGGGCAGGTAGACAGTTTGGTATTGTCAGGTGGATGAAGGTAGAAGTGCAGGTAGACAGTGTGGTATTGTCAGGTGGATGAAGGTAGAAGGGCAGGTAGACAGTTTGGTATTGTCAGGTGGATGAAGGTAGAAGTGCAGGTAGACAGTGTGGTATTGTCAGGTGGATGAAGGTAGAAGTGCAGGTAGACAGTTTGGTATTGTCAGGTGGATGAAGGTAGAAGTGCAGGTAGACAGTTTGGTATTGTCAGGTGGATGAAGGTAGAAGTGCAGGTAGACAGTTTGGTATTGTCAGGTGGATGAAGGTAGAAGGGCAGGTAGACAGTTTGGTATTGTCAGGTGGATGAAGGTGGAAGTGCAGGTAGACAGTGTGGTATTGTCAGGTAGATGAAGGTAGAACTGCAGGTAGACGGTTTGGTATAGTCAGGTGGATGAAGGTAGAAGGGCAGGTAAACAGTTTGGTATTGTCACGTGGATGAAGGTGGAAGTGCAGGTAGACAGTTTGGTATTGTCAGGTGAATGTAGGTAGAAGTGCAGGTAGACAGTGTGGTATTGTCAGGTGGATGAAGGTAGAAGTGCAGGTAGACAGTGTGGTATTGTCAGGTGGATGAAGGTAGAAGTGTCAGAAGTGAAGGTAGACAGTGTGGTATAGTCAGGTGGATGAAGGTAGAAGGGCAGGTAGACAGTGTGGTATTGTCAGGTGGATGAAGGTAGAAGGGCAGGTAGACAGTTTGGTATTGTCAGGTGGATGAAGGTAGAAGTGCAGGTAGACAGTGTGGTATAGTCAGGTAGATGAAGGTAGAAGTGTAGGTAGACAGTGTGGTATAGTCAGGTAGATGAAGGTAGAAGTGTAGGTAGACAGTGTGGTATTGTCAGGTGGATGAAGGTAGAAGTGCAGGTAGACAGTTTGGTATAGTCAGGTGGATGAAGGTGGAAGTGCAGGTAGACAGTTTGGTATAGTCAGGTGGATGAAGGTGGAAGTGCAGGTAGACGGTGTTGTACAGTCAACTGGATGGAGGTAGAACTGACTGACTGACTAAGTTTGGTTTACGCCGCTTTTAGCAATATTCCAGCAACATCACGGCGGGGGACACCAGAAATGGGCTTCACACATTGTGCCCATGTGGGGATTCGAACCCGGGTCATCGGCGTGACGAGCCAACGCTTTAACCATTAGGCTACCCCACCGCCCCAGATGGAGGTAGAAGTGCAGGTAGACGGTGTGGTATTCAGGTGGATGGAGCTTGATGGAAGGGCAGGTAGACAGCGTGATGGAACATGAGATAGATAAATGAACCAAAATTAGTTGAAATAAACGTACAAAAAAACGTTAAAATAATGGAAGAAGGTAGGTCTTCTGGATGAACGCACAAGTACCAGAGAAAAATAAATGCCATTTGTCAACCAGATATATGGTCGTGCATGATGTAATGACATATGCAATATCCTGCTCGACAATCATGAACATGTGATGTTGAATATGTTGCCATGACAACAGTTAATATAGGACATTAACTCTTACACAATACTCAGTTAGTGGTTCTGTAACATCTGTCATTTCTGTGAATTCTGACACCTCGTGATCTTTCCCCAAGGCCTAAACCTCCTTTGTGTGTGATTATATGTGATATATGGCGAATTATTACTTCTAGTTGGCTTGGAAGATGTTTTGTACTTATGATGAATGTTTAGGCATCGGTTTTCATGTAAATGTATGGTTGGAACAAGAATAAACGATGGCGGGGTGTGGGTGTGGGGTGCGAGTTGGGTCATCGTACAATAAAACACTGCCTGGAGAATCTATGGCGACGGGTGTAGCCCGGTGATGTTTGTAGTGTTTTAGTGTGCGATAAACAACGATGAGATATTATTGGTATTTCCAGAATATCTCGCAGTTCTCATGGCTACTATTTGTAGCTTTTCTCCCAATACCGATTGCCATATCTAGCCCACTTTTGGAAGCGGAAGTTGCGCTTATCTGCGTTACCGCTACGTCTAGCCTGGCAAAAAATAACGTACAACGCCTTTACGATGCGTTCCAGCCTCAGGAAATGAAGTCATGGTAGAGCAATGTTTTATTTTGAAATAGATTACTCCTCGTTCTTCATTGTTCTTTGTGATTTATCGCATGGGAAGATATACGATTTCTCTTTTGTATAACTCAAAGATAAGATATCAAATATTTGTCATTCGTTTGGTTTTCTCATTATACATGTTTCTTTTCGACTGTTCCATTATTGGAATCAATGGTATGTACTGAGAAAATGTTAAAACTATTGACATAACGTGACGCTGTTGTTGCCAGTGATTCAGAATTCACTTGTCATTCTGGACGTACATTAACCAGTAAAAACTGTCGCAGCTGAACGTCATTGCATGATATTTCTGGGACTTATGTATCGTCCATAACATGGTTCAACTGGAGGAAATCATGAGAATCCGTAGATTCCCGGAATAAAAGCAGAAAACACCCCACATGTTTTTTCATGTAACTGAAAAATATGATTACATATATTGTCAGGTGCTGATGACTGACATGTGATGACATATGTTGACAGCTGCATATGACAGGTGCTGATGGTTGACATGCGATGACATATGTTGACATATGTTGACATGAGATGCTGATGTTGACAGATGCATGGCTGACATGACATATGTTGACAGGTGCTGATGGCTGATCATGAACATGACATATGTTGACATATGATAAAAGCTGACATGTTTTTCATGTGACATATGATGACAGATGCTGATGGCTGACATGCGATGACATATGTTGACAGATGCTGATGAATGACATGCGATGACATATGTTGACAGTTGCTGATGATGACATGTGATGACATATGTTGACAGATGCTGATGACATGCGATGACATATGTTGACAGATGCTGATGGCTGACATGCATGGTTCATGACATATGTTGACAGATGCTGATGGCTGACATGAGATGACATATGTTGACAGATGCTGATGGCTGACAGATGCTGATGGCTGACATGAGATGACATATGTTGACAGATGCTGATGGCTGACATGAGATGACATATGTTGACAGATGCTGATGGCTGACATGCGATGACATATGTTGACAGCTGCTGATGGCTGACATGTGATGACATATGTTGACAGATGCTGATGGCTGACATGCGATGACATATGTTGACAGATGCTGATGGCTGACATGTGATGACATATGTTGACAGATGCTGATGGCTGATGTTGACGGAGATGACATATGTTGACAGATGCTGATGGCTGACATGCGATGACATATGTTGACAGTTGCTGATGGCTGACATGAGATGACATATGTTGACAGATGCTGATGGCTGACATGATGATGACATATGTTGACAGATGCTGATGGCTGATATGTTGACGATGATGTGATATGTTGACAGATGCTGATGGCTGACATGTATGTTGACAGATGCTGATGGCTATGTGATGACATATTGCAATGGCTGATCGTCCAGGAAATCATGAGACATATGTTGACAGATGCTGATGGCTGACATGAGATGACATATGTTGACAGATGCTGATGGCTGACATGCGATGACATATATTGACAGATGCTGATGGCTGACATGATGACATATGTTGACAGATGCTGATGGCTGACATGTGATGACATATGTTGACAGATGCTGATGACTGACATGTGATGACATATATTGACAGGTGCTGATGATTGACATGACATATGACATATGGCTTGACAGATGACTCATGCATGTAATGACATATATTGACAGATGCTGATGGCTGACATGTGATGACATATATGGACAGGTGCTGATGATTGACATGCGATGACATATATTGACAGATGCTGATGACTGACATGCGATGACATATATTTGACAGATGCTGATGGCTGACATGTGATGACATATATATGTTGACAGATGCTGATGGCTGACATGAGATGACATATGTTGACAGATGCTGATGGCTGACATGATGACATGTTGACAGGTGCTGATGGCTGACATGCGATGCATATGGACAGACATGACTGACATGCGATGACATATGTTGACAGATGCTGATGGCTGACATGAGATGACATATGTTGACAGATGCTGATGGCTGACATGAGATGACATATGTTGACAGATGCTGATGGCTGACATGAGATGACATATGTTGACAGATGCTGATGGCTGACATGAGATGACATATGTTGACAGATGCTGATGGCTGACATGCGATGACATATGTTGACAGCTGCTGATGGCTGACATGTGATGACATATGTTGACAGATGCTGATGGCTGACATGAGATGACATATATGGACAGATGCTGATGGCTGACATGAGATGACATATGTTGACAGATGCTGATGGCTGATCGTCCATAACATGGTTCAACTGGAGGAAATCATGAAAATCCGTAGATTCCCGGAATAAAAGCAGAAAACACCCCACATGTTTTTTCATGTAACTGAAAAATATGATTACTTATATTGTCAGGTGCTGATGACTGACATGTGATGACATATGTTGACAGCTCCAGATGACTCACATTCGATGACATATATTGACAGGTGCTGATGGCTTACATGCGATGACATATGTTGACATTTGCTGATGACTGACATGTGATGACATATATGGACAGGTGCTGATGACTGACTTGCGATGACATATGTTGACAGTTGCTGATGGCTGACATGCGATGTCATATGTTGACAGTTGCTGATGAATGACAGGCGATGACATATATTGACAGATGCTGATGGCTGACATGCGATGACATATGTTGACAGATGCTGATGGCTGACATGTGATGACATATATTGACAGTTGCTGATGACTCACATGTGATGACATATATCGACAGGTGCTGATGATTTACATGCGATGACATATATTGACATGTGCAGATAACTCACGTGTAATGACATATATTGACAGGTGCTGATGGCTCTGTATGAGAAAGGAGAACTGTTTACGGAGAGAGTGGTGCACCTGGGAAAGGGCGAGGGGTAGCCAGGTGGTACATGGAGGTCAACCCCGCGGGACAGGTGCCCGTACTGGGAGATAGAGGCAAGCTGATACCCGAGTCCGAAGACATCATCGAATACATCGACAGGGAGATTGCAAATGGTTTGTGTCACCATGATTACAGTTCTAGTCTTTTTTTCCTCATCAAGAACTTTGGTATTTCCATGAGTGACGCAGCCATAGGTGAATATGTAGGCTTATATGTCAAGATATATGTCAGCTTTGAGATAAACATGGTATTTGACCCGAAAAGGCAAATATTCCAATGACTATATAATTTCTGAATGACTGTCAAGACTTCGCTCTGAAAGTCATTAGTGTCCATGAGTGAGGATATGATAAATAAACAAATACAGCATATCATCATCAGACTCTTACAGAAATTATGAAATAGTTTATATTGTAGTTATAATATATCTATCAATATTGCTAAATACTGTTTCATGTTTGGATATATATTTTAGATACAAGAAAAAATATCAATCAAATCACAGATTCCTTATTATTTGTGGGTGTTAAACTCTGAGCTTTTTGTCATTGAATTTATATTGGTTGGAAAATCACCACGGCACCATAATTTGTCTTAACTAAAAATATCAGAACCCCCCTATAATGTATTGATTCAACTAATACACGATCATTACACGTATATAATGTGATGCCCAGTTATCGAGGGATTACAGATGAGATGAAGTTGTATATGGTGTAATGTATCATTTAAAGTACTCCACATTTGAATATAAATCTTTGAAAACACCGAACGAAGAACCAGAGAAAGACATATCTTTTTATATCATGGTAACGTTTTCATTTTCAGAACCCAAACTAGTTCCATCGCTAGACACAGACCTTGGAAAACATGTTGAGAAATTCCGAAAACTGTTAAAACAGACCCCAGTAGAGGTCCTCACGCATGGACTGATGCACAACCCCGAGATGGCCCCTGGGGGCACCTGCTCCCCTACCCATAAGGCAGGTGAGGTAGCGGAGGAAAGAGTCTCAACAGGGATAGGTCTTTAGCCATCGCACAAATGTACCGTTTCTACAGTATACGACAACTCGAGTGCATCGGGGTCGTTATGTAAGCATTATCTACGACCAGGGAGACTATATAACGTTTTGTAGATTATCCCTGCTATGACGTATGGAGGTCAGTTTCGAATTAAATCAGCCAGGGCCTAGATTTTCGAAGCTCTCTTTGCGCTGAGATAGTCGTAAGTTAATGTTAATGCTAATGTATGGCACTTACGAGGATCTTAGCGCTAGGCTCAGGCATGTTTGATGGTGGGGGCTTATGAAACGACCAGGTATTATTTCCCGATCGGGATGTAGTTAGTTCTGGTATCGAAGTTGTGGTTTGGAACTGAAGTTTGAAGTGTTTTCGGCGACTGTTTTCAACCTTGTGACGTATTACAAAATTTATAATTACTGCGTCAGCACATTGATTTACTGTTACAGATCCTAAACCACCATAATAATGTACGAACCATGACATCACCTTTAAAGGTTAACAGTACGATAGTAATGTCCTTCGCTATTTACACAAGCACATTACACCAAATTCCTAAAGGTTATTTATTGGTAGAACCATTTTATGACGTCATTCTCTGGATTGTTCTGGACGTGGTATGAAGTCCTAAATGTCATCAGTGCCTTGTGCTGTAGATGTCCTAATATAGATACTGAGTACTGAGGATTAGTAATCAAGTTTTAGATCGTATTTTGATTTAAACTAACAATTGGTTGTAGGATAAATCGTGGTGCTAGTAAAATACGATGTAGTGAGATTATGGTTTTACGCCGCTTTTAGCAATATTCCAGCAATATCAAGGCGGGGACACCACACATGGGCTTCACACATTGTATCCATGTGTCGAATCGAATCCGGATCTTCGAGTGAACGCTTTAATCACTAGGCTACGCCACCGCCCCGAAATACGATGTAACGTCACGTTCAAGATTACTCAACGTATATTAGTCCATGAGGTACACAACGTTTGATGCCCACATGGGGTGGCCAAGCTTTGAGGTGTTTAAAATGAAGATACATGTCTAATATCTATGTTAAAGCATGATGGTAATCACATATTAGCAGCTATTATTGTTTATGGCGGTTATAAAAAGTTGCCTGACGCTGCTTCCCTAAAACATAGATATGTGGCTGACAGACTTATGGAGGTTCTATTGCCCACTGAGACACCGAAACACCGCGGTTTAACCTGACCCACCCTTCGCATATATTGAGGCACAGTCCTTTTGTCACCTCAGGCACAGCAACAACAAGTACCATCTATTAACGTCGTCATTTGGTGTGATACGGCTAGGGATTCGAACTAGCGACGCTCTATCCACTTGACAACAGTGGCGCTAAATTGACAAATGGGGAGACAACTTTCTGAAGAAATGATATCAAGTTGTGGGGCATCGATACGTCACAAACATAGGAGTGAGTGAGTGAGTTTAGTTTTACGCAGCACTCAGCAATATTCCAGCTATATGGCGGCGGTCTGTAAATAATCGAGTCTGGACCAGACAATCCAGTGGTCGCAATTGGGAACAGATGACATGTGTCAACCAAGCCAGCGAGCCTGACCACCCGATCCCGTTAGTCGCCTCTTACGACAAGCATGGGTTACTGAAGATCCCTATTCTAACCCGGACCTTCACGGGTACACAAACATAGGAGCTGGAGGTAGACTTCAGTATTGTCTATTGTTTTGGCTTTTCATTTATATGTGGAGAGAGTAACCGACGCGAAACTCGAAAGTAACGTTACGAACGCTTTGTGGACCCTGGTAAATTAAATCGAAAGAACTGTAACGTTAACATATTCCGAAAACAAATATTATTTTACAAATTACTGAAAGATGCACTTTGCGTCGTAACTAAAAACGTCTTTACTTGCGTCTACAAATTGCGTTATACGACAAAATATACTCACGTAAGCAAATTTACACATATGCAAAAAATACACACATGTGCAAGTGTCGTCGTATAAACAGGGCTTTTAACATGGAAACACCTCTCCGCGTGTTACTGTACAGGGTTTTAAATACACGTGGATAAAGATCTACCACAAAGCAGCCACCAAAGAATATATTTTGTTCTGAGAAACGTATTGAAAATACGCTCAGCTGTATACGAACTTCTATCAGAGACCGGGGCGGTGGGGTAGCCGAGTGGTTAAAGTGTTCGCTCTTCACGCGGAAAACCTGGGTTAGATCCCTCACATGGGTACAATGTGTAACGCCCATTTCTGGTGTCCCCCGCCGTGATATTGCTGGAATATTACTAAATGCGGCTTAAAACTAAACTCACTCACTATCAGAGACCACATAATATATTCTTTTATATGGCCTCTGTTTCTATGGAGTTTTTTCACCAAGTGAATATCTCTCGTAAATGCCCGGAAATTTATAATTTACTCGAGACCGACATTTTTTGCTCCGTTCCTTTTTCTATAAAATGTACATTTTCATGTCCAGAAAGGGATGAGTATTTCATACAACAAGAAGCAAAGCTGACCCGAATGGCGGAAGAAGAGGCCGATTTGAAAGATGCCTACCTGAAAAAAGCAGCTGGTGTCAAGGCCAGGTCAGAGGTCGTGAGAGACCAGTCACGTGTCCAGGCCGCCATTGACGCAGTGCATCCGGTACTGGACGAAGTTGAAGATCAGCTGACAAGGACGAAGCAAGGTGAGAATTTGAAGAGTATTTGGCCGTTATCTTACTGTGACAATGAAGAATACACAATAATTTAATTAATTGTTAATCTGATAAAGGTGAGTTACGATGGAATTTTATCATTAAAATACAACGTAAGCATATAAAAGCATTAGCAGGCCTGTCATGACCCTATTCATTTGTTAAAATCTTCAGGTTCAGGTTCTATTATAGTGTCGGAATTCGTTCTGCAGAGTAGGGTCCCTTTGACATAACAGAATCCTGTGACTGCAGATTCACCTTAATTATGTTTTTTTGGGGTTTTTTTGCGTGCTGTTTTGTTTTTGCCCCGACATATCTGAACTACTGTTCAAGACGTCGTTGAACCCCATTCCCTGACTTTTTACGTAGACAAAAAAGTAGGTCCTTTACAGTCATCTCCAAAAGCGGACAATAGTACAATATAGTAACCCGTGAAGATCCGGGTGAATTGATCTTCAGTAATCCATGCTTGTCGTAAGAGGCGACTAACGGGATCAGATGGTCAGGCAGTTGATGACTTGGTTGACACATGTCATCGCATTGCGTAGGTCAATGCTCATGCTGTTGATCACTGGATTGTCTGGTCCAGACTCGATTATTTACAGACAGCCGCCATATAGCTGGAAAACTGAGTACGGTGTAAAACTAAATTCACACACTCACTCACAATATATAGTATAATCTGACACTGAGCTACTGCGCAGGTGTGGAAGGCGAGAGCTGGCTCTGTGGGCGTGGCTTCACGGCGGCTGACATTAACCTGGTGGTTCTGTTGAAGAGACTGACGAAGTTGGGACTCTTCTCTATCTATTGCTCCATCAACAACCGGAAGTCGCTGTGGGACTACTGGGAGAGGGCACAGAAGAGGCTGCCCTTTATTAAGATCATAGAAGTCGAGAGAAACTATTTGAAATGCTTGCAGAAATGATGAAAGTTGAACACACCAGGAGGTGCAGGAAAGAGGCAGCGTAACGGATGTTATTCAATGTCCCTATATTCATTTAGATTTTACGTACAGGTAATTATCTTTATCGAATCGTCCTCAGAACACAGAGTGTAGTTTAGTGTACAAGACATGTATCCCTCTTGCACGACAACGGTATTAGAATGTATACCGAAACGCCACAAAGTAATATAATAGGGAACCTATCACATAAAGAACCTGTCACCTACTCATCAACTTCTAAATGCCAATCGAATAGATCACGATATTTATCAACATAAGCAGCAACTTACAGCTGAATCTAATCGGCACGAATACAGAGCTATATTGGTTGTTGTTTTTGGTTTTTGTTTAACGCTGCATTCGGCAATATTCCAGCAAGCAACTCGTCCTTGTTCCAGAAAGCTACACGGATTTTTTCACTCGTTACGGTTTTTTTCTACTGCTAATAGGAAAAATCAAAATGAAGGAGAGGATGTTATGTTATGCCACAGGTGCAATAATGGCATGTGGCGGTGAAACCATGACATGTGGTAGGTGAAACCATGACATGAGATGGGTGAAACCAGGACATGTGGCGGTGAAACCATGGCATGTGGCGGTGAAACCATGGCATGAATAATCATATGTTTGTTTGTTTAACGCCGCACTCAGCAATATTTCTGATAAAGAATCGCGTCTGGACCAGACAATCCAGTGATCAACAGCATAAGCATCAATATACGCAACTGGGATATGATGACATGTGTCATCAGTGAGCCTGACCATCAGATCCCGATCGTCGCCTCTTACGACAAGCATGGGTTGCTGAAGATGAATTCTAACACGGACCTCCACGGATTGAGGAATCATGTCATGTAAGGGTGAAATCATGTCATGTAAGGGTGAAATCATGTCATGTAAGGGTGAAATCATGGCATGTCGGTAGCGGCATATCATGTGGTTTGTGGAATCATATGTGTTAAATCATACTTTAACTCACGAGGTGAGGTGAAATGGGGGTTAACGTCGCACTAAAGAATATGTGTGGCTGCTTGTACTAGCCCAGACTTAAGCTGGTTTTATAGTGCTAGCCCACTGAGATACCATGCCGCAGTGAAGCATGAATACCCCACTCAGACACATTATACTGACTCCGAGCCGACCAGTCCTTGTTGTACCCATTAATGCCGGGCGCCAAGCAGGGACCAACAAGTACCATCTTTTATCGTCTTTCGGTATGACGAGGCCGGGGATCGAACCCGCGACCTTTCGCTCTCCTGGCTTAAGTCATGTGAAAGGGCTGCAAAATTCATTTTCTTTCTGAAAGTATAAAGCTGATGTATCATTTCTTTAATGGACAAATTTGTATCTCTGAAGTCATTTCACTTCATGATAGAATGATGGCAGTGCCACATTGTGTCTTTGTTATCGTGGTCCATAGGGGCACATAGAGAAAGTGTCGTTGTTGGGTCCGTTCATAATGTATGGCGGGAGGGGGGGTGGGGGTAGGGGTTGATGATGATGTTTATGGAGAAGCATGTACAATGTGAATGACCCCCCCCTAAAATGTATGTACAAAGTAAGTGACACCCTCCAGCCCGCATGTCATGTACAAAATCAATGACCCCCCTCCCCATTCCAATATTTTTAAGCATAATTTTTAATATTGTTATGTACAAAATTGCTGAGCCCCCCAGAAACATGTGTACAAAATTGATGACCCCTCCCCAGAACAAAAAGGGTGACAAACCCCACCAGCACCACCCCGTCCCCTTATAATAAATTATGAACGGTCCCTAAGTTCCCTTTTACGGGGATTGCTGTTGTCTGTATTTTATCAGGTGAAGCATTGTGGACTGCAATAAACTTGCCTGTGATTTATACAGTGTCTTATCTTGGAAATACAACGAGAATATATGACAGGAGAATGACCTAAACCGGTGAGTTTGAACACAGGGAAGTTTGTGTTCTGGAAGCAGGCAATATAACCTTGAATAGTGAAGTGGAATTGGGTTCCAGTGTGCGTGTGTGCGTGTGTGCGTCCGTGCGTGTGTTTTGTATGCGTGTGGGTAACACCAGTCAGGGTGTTAGCCCCACAGTTTATAATAATCGTTTTCAGCAAAACCTGAGGCAGATATCTCCAGTGTGTGTGTGTGTGTGCGTGCGTGTAGGTGTAGGAACAGGTTAGGTCGCAGAGCGCGTGAATGGCTGTGGTTATACATTTGTTTTACATAGCTTGTGACTGTAACACGAGAATATATCATTCGGAGGGTGATTTACCACGCAACTTAACATTATCTCAGGCCGTTAAGTACACGCGTGACACTTAAAGTCATACAATATACCCTGAACTTGAGTGAAGTATTGCGAGCCGGCGTGTGCAGGTCAATGTAACCTTGACCTCAGAATGATAATAGGCAGGGGCCATCAGGTGATACGCTAGCGGGTGACTTGATACATATTTGATATATCTTGATATACCCTCGAGTATGGTATCAGTGTCGAAACGGGTCACAAGCAGTGCAGCCTTGTTTGCGACACGACAATATATATTCTCTTCGCCGTTTACCGGACTTTCCAAGATGGCGGCCCCAACCCCTCGCTTCACACTCTACATGTCGGGCACATCCTACTTCGCCCAGAAGGTGAGTCTCAGATACTGGTGAGGTCGTCTTGAAGGCGTTAAGTACACAAGGTGAGTCACTGGATAGTCGTCTCCGTCATCATCAGCGTCACGACGACTATTGCATTGTCTGATCGTTGAAGCACACGTCTTGATAGTTGTCGTGGCGACGGGGTAGTTTTGTGGTTAAACCTTTAGCTCGTCACGCCGAAGGTCCGGGTTCGATTCCCCACATGGGTACAATGTGTGAAGCCCAATTTTTGGTGTCCCCCGCCGTGATATTGCTGGAGCATTGCTAAAAGCGGCGCAAACCCATACTCACTCACTAATAGTCGTCAATGTCATGGAGGTATGATGAAGCATTCAGACAGCTAGGTAGGAAATGATAGTTTTTATTACCATTTGAGAGTGAGTTCAGTTTTACGCCGCACTCAGCAATATTTAACATTTGAAAGCAGGAGTTAGGGGCAGAGGAGTTGTACTCGAAAGACCCACCAGGTTAGCGTAGTGTAAAACCAGTCAAATAACTTTTCATGAGGATAAAACAGTGAGACTACAACAAAGGTGGGGGCACACGTGATCCTGTTGCGTCGTCGCAATTCACTGTGCGTGTTAGGTCCCACGGGCGTGCCAGAAACCTAGGATCCTGGGTTCGAAACCCAGTTCACCCTGATCATGTATCTTGGTTTGTCATCACCAATCCAGTTTCATCAAAGCTGACACTTTTCCAAGCAATCTAACAAAAATGCTTTACTCTGATACAGTTACATTAATTCACTCAATACAAAGCATGACGGCAAACTGATAAAAGACTTAGCTCCAGTGGAGATGTGTGGTAAAGCTGTGCATTGGCGGATCCCCCTTTTGAAAATGACTTAAGACCACATTGAAGTATTTTTTTTTGGCGTTGGCGAAGCTAATGGAGGGTTTGCACGCACGCACACACACACGCACACACACGCACACACATACACACAAACACACACACATTCAAAATTCCTGGATCCGCCCATGCTGTAGCATTAAAGTAAAAGTTGAAACAATATTGTTCAGACACTTGACATATGGAGACTAAGTTCAGTGTACGCATTTACCACAAAGGTGTCGTAAAACATCTATACATTGTCATCAGAGTTGTAAATAATGGTTGGAAAGGTCAGTATTCCGATAAAGGTGCGATTAGATTAGTCGTTCGGAATGTAAAACTACACTTCAAATGGGTTTTCATAAACAGAATCAGGTAACCATAAGTAATGAGTTTGTTATGCGTTTTACCAAGACTTCAAAGAGCATCATAAAGCTCTTCTTCAGAAATTGTTTGATCAAAGTTTTAACATTCTAGGAGAGGTGCGGTAACCTAGTGTTAAAAGCGTTCGCTCGTCACGCCGAAGACCCAGGTTCGATTCCCCACATGGGCACAATGTGTGAAGCCCATTTCTGGTGTCCCACGCCGTGAAATTGCTGAAATATTGCTCACTTCCTCACTTCCTCACTACAACACTCACTACAACATTCTGGGTCTCAGTAAAAGAGATGTGGAAAGCGTTTTGTCGCTTGATTAATCATATAGATTCATCCACCTGCGATACTAACTCTGATACGACACCCGCCATTTTTTGCATCAGGTTATGATGGCGTTCTTCGAGAAAAACGAACCATTTGTAGAAAAGTTGGTGAACCAACGTGCAGATGACAACTACGAGAGCTGGTACATGAAGCTAAACCCGCTAGGGAAGGTTCCAATTTTAGAAGACCGGGGGAAGATCATTCCCGAATCTGACGACATCATCGACTACCTTGACAAGGAATTGCCCAAAGGTTGGTAATTTAATATTTCAAGCTATAGTTTCAACCTGGGTCAAGGACGCCCTTTAACAGCATCTGACGTCATTGTTTGACGCTGAGTTAAGGACGTCCCATAAGGGCATGTAACGTTATAGCTTTGCTCTTCACCAAGGACGCTCTTTAACCTCATCTAACACTGTAACTATTCATTAATCAAAAATGTTCTTTAACGGAATCCTATACTATAGTTTGCCCTTGGTGAAGGGCGTCCTTTACAAGAATCTACCTGTATTGCTTGTTCCCATATCAAGAAAAGAAACTCAATTCATTACTCTACCTTAATAAACATAAGGTTTCCTAACACCAAACACACTCCTTCACTGATAACTGTCTTCACGTTTTGTCTGTTTTCTTCTTTCTCTTCTCCTTGTGGCAGTGGGGTAGCCTGGCGGATAAAGCGTTCGCTCGTCACGCCGAAGACCCGGGTTCGATTATCCACATGGGTACAATGTGTGAAGCCCATTTCTAGTGTCCCCCGCCATGATATCGCTGGAATATTGCCAAAAGCGGCGTAAAACTAAACTCACTCATTCTCTCCTTCTTACTTTATGTAACGCCACACTCAGCATTATTTCATATATACGGCGGCGGTCCGCAAATAATGGGGTCTGGACCAGACAATTCAGTGATCGACATTATGAGGTTCGATATATGATGTGCATCAAGTAAGTGAGGAACTTGATAGAAGTGAAAATATAGTACTCGTATAAGGCATTTTTCTGAGCTGGATCTGGTACGATTCCAGACAAAGGTACAACCAATGAAGATCCGGGAGAGAATTGATCTTCAGCAACCCATGCTTGTCGTCAGAGGCGACTAAAGGAATCGGGTAATCAGGTTAGCTGACTTGGTTAACACTTGTCATCGTATCCCATTTCCGTAGATCGATGCTCATGATGTTGATCACTGGATTGTCTGATCCAGATTTGATAATTTACAGACCACTGCCATATAGCTGGAATATCGCTGAGTGAGGCGTCCAACAACAAACGAAAAAGACAAAGGTACGATGTCTGAAGCCATCTTGTTATGGAACGCGTTCTGTTGTGCCGACGTATACATGTCTTCTAATTCCACATCCAGCACCACGCCTTGTGCCTGATCCGTCGACAGACCTAGGCCGGGAGGTGGCGCACTTCAGGAAGCTGCTGAACTTCAGCGTGGGCATCATACTCTACGGCCTCGCCTACAACCCCCACCTCTCTCCCGACTACACCGCGGCAAAGACACGGGAAGGTAAGCCCACCCTACACCGTGAAGATCAGCGATACCAGATGTGTCTTATATATATCAAACCAAGACAAAATATGAACTCATATTGCGTCATTGACCGTTTTGACTTAACGTGCGAATGTTTTCAATTGTGTTTACGTTTTTCAAGTACTACTAGATTATTCTCTTTGTTATTATGTGTTTTATATTTCTTCTCTCTATTTGTCTGCTTAGTTTGTTTCTCTCTCGTACATGAAATCAAACCCTGATCAACGTTTAGTGCTTCGGTATTTACATGAGACCTACCGCCTCCGTGGTGTCGTGGTTAGAAGGTCCGCCCGGAGAGCGGAAGGTCGCGGGTTCGATCCCCGACCGCGTCATACCAAAAGACGTTAAAATATGGTGCTTGTTGGTCCCTGCTTGGCGCTCGGCATTAATGGGTAGAACAAGGACTGGTCGGCTCGGAGTCAGTATAATGTGTCTGAGTGGGCCATTCATGCTTCACTGCGGTATGGTATCTCAGTGGGCTAGCACTATAAAACCAGCTTAAGTCTGGGTTAGTACAAGCAGCCGCACATACACCTACACACGCATGCACGTCGTCATATGAGCGAAATATTCTCAAGCACGACGTTAAACCCAATTTCACCTCACCTCACCTCACCTCACCTCACATGAGAACTACTGAATACACGTATGAATACAATGCTTTTTGTACAGCCAAATAAGTTTTGTTTGAATTATTCTTATTTTAACTTTTGATCAGAGGCCTGCGTTTGCATCCCAGGCTGCATAACGTGTATTAGCTATTCGGTATTTGAAACAGACAGTAACATCACTGGTTCACTTGGTTTTACGTGACAATGTCGCGTGGTATTAACTAGGGCTGCGCAATATAACCGGTTTACCGGTATTTACCGGTTCAGACATGAAAACGATACGGATTGCGATACACTGATCGAAAACCGGTATTTTGACACGCATTCGGAAAACTTCGAAACACTCGGAAATGTTCGGATATTTCCGTTTTTAAATTGTTCCTTTCCTTGTTTCATTTGTGCCAAACATTATTTACAATTTTATTTTGTCATGATTAAAAGTTTTTATTAAAGCCTAATCAAGCATTGTGATTTTGTTGTGTTTTTGCTTTATAAATCAAGCATTAACACGACTATAAGTAGTTTTTTGTTAAAAAATAACTTCTTGCAATATATTGCAATACATATCGCAATATATCGCAAAATGAAAATTCCCTGCAATACCCACCCCTAGTAATACCATGGTCTTTCTCAGTCCGATCGTCTGCCTATACTATGCAAAGTTGTCGAACGAGCTGAGCGGTGCTGTGGTGCATTTCGCGTGGCCATTCATGTTCTGTTGCCGTGCATTTATTTCTTTATGTTACTGTTTGTGTTCACAATTATTTATTAATGTATACATATACGATGAACATCTTGCAAGAATGCAGTGCACGTTTGATGCCTAACAAATCTGATTATCAAATGTCCATCTTCTCATTGTAGTTTAATGTTCAATCAATGTCAATTACATTGTTAAACACCTTTCAGTGATTCTGTCCCAGCTCAATTACATTCACCTGTCAGATATTATTATTAAACCTTGATGTTTCTTCTTCCGACCCAGAGCTAGATGAAATGATTGCTGGCCAAATTGCAAAGCTGGAGAAACTTGCCACTGAAAACCCCGATCTGAGAGACGCCTACCTCGCCAAGATTCCGCCATTGCAGCAGAGGAAGGAAATGTGTATGCTAGGTTCACTGTCGTGTGATCCGTTCCGAACGCCACGAGTGGCCATTCGTAGCTGATCTAGGAACTTCTCTGAAAATTCAGGTTTAAACACGAGGTGATGCGAGTCGAAACGTTCAGATACGACTTGTTGCGCTTGGATGCGATATTGTCACGATTGGTCAATTTAAGCTGGCACGATCTGATCGATCTGATCTCCCGTTCAGATACGATCATATACGTTGTGATAGGATTGTCCCGATCGAGTCCACGATTGGGTCGTGATCTGACACGATCATCACGATTTGGACGATCAGGTACGTGCAGGTACGTTCATCAAGAACCGATGCGCTCTGTTGCGATATGATACTATTATGTTCCCGATGTCTTTCACGATCACGATCGATTGGATCCCGACGAGTATATATACAGTCCGACTGACTATGGACTTGATTGTTTCTTGAACTTCTACAGAGTGGACACTACAACCCTTTGATGATGGCAGGAGTTGAGGAGGATGACAACGTGACATTTGCAGTATTACTGTATGCTTATATTATCGCCAGAGAGAAAGAAGACGAGCAGCAGCTACAACTCCAACCACAAAGGGCCAGGGGAGCTGCAGTCAGGCACTTCTTGGTGCGACCATGCATATGGCTCTCAGAGGAGATGAGACAACCGTTTGGTGAGTTCTACAGCCTCCTAGACACCCATTTGAGGCTGGAGGATCCAGTAGCGTTCCAAAACTACACAAGGTTAACACCAGAGCGCTTCGATGAAGTCTTACAGAGGGTGACCCCGGTAATCCATAGGGAAGTCACCAGGTTCAGGCAACCCCTCTCACCTGAAACTGGCAGTGACACTGAGGCACCTTGCCACTGGAGACAACTATCGGTCCCTTGCATTTGCCTTCAGGTGTGGAATGTCCATTACCTCAGAGATGGTTCCAGAATGGTGCCAGGCAATTGCACAAGCGTACAAAGATGAGGTGTTTAGCCTACCTGTGACCCCTAAAGCCTGGACAGCCGTAGCCAACCAGTTTGAGCAGAGATGGAATATCCCCACGCCACTGGGTCCCTGGATGGCAAACAAATTGTTATCAAGAAGCCACCCCAAACTGGCAGCCTGTACTTCAGTTACAAGGGCTTCTTTTCGATACCACCCCTAGCTGTGGTAGATGCATATTACAAGTTTTATGTGGATCGAGCCTGGTGGATCAAAGGACACATGTCAGATGCTCAGATATTTGGCCTCTCGGTCTCGGAGATGTTCAACGGTTCAACGGCCTGGAAGAGGAAGCCCTAGGACTCCCCACCCTGCCTTCTGACTGCAACCCTGATGTCCACCAAGATGCCCTTCTTCATCCTCAAGGGGAGGAGCCTTCGCAATCAAAAACTACCTTATGGAGCCATACAGCAGAAGAAGGATGTCAGGAAGGAGAGGATTTTCAACTACGGACTGTTAAGAGCAGAAGCCCAAAACTGTGATCCTGGAATAGATTCAGATGTGGAGGCGGCAGTAACTCGCAGAAGCCCAAAGATACATAGCGTCCATAAAATAGGCTCAATAACTCATATGTAGATCGTGAACGTCCGTGAAAAAGCGCAAATTACTCCGTATCTATTCGCATTTACTCGTATCAACTAGTATCTGCTCGTGAGTCATTCGTGCCACAGATCGTCACAGATCGTGGGAGATCGCAACACATCTCAACAGAGCGTGGTGTTTGTCTTGTCCACAATTGATTCCGATCACCACGATTTGGAAGCACGATTAGATACGATATGTTGCGCTTTGTTACGATGCAATACGATCTGATGCGATGATCACGATTGACAATTAATCGTGTTGATCGTAGAAAAGTTTTGAACCGTCCAAAATCTTTCTACGATCAACACGATTGACCTCATGATCTGATAAGATCTGATAGGATCACCGCGATTAGACCACTATTTCAATCGTTGCGTGAATCGTGATAGTTTGAACATAGCATAAGGATGAAGTTCGATCACAACCACTTGACGTCATTATATGTTGCGTTCAGATATATTAGGTCGTGAACGTGATCCAAAGTCTTTGAGCAGTTTTCTTACTTAATGTCAGGTACCCCCGGTGAGACGTGGTTGCTGTCTAGCGACTTGACGGCGGCGGATATTTCCCTGGCTGTGCTTCTCCGACGTGTGTCACTGAGTGGCCTGGCCTCCCTCTACTTCTCCCCCACCCAGAGGCCGGCACTACACAAGTACTGGCTGCGGCTGCAGACTCTCCCCGCCTACTGCAAGCTGGGCGACATCGCCGTCAAGTACGGCGTCAAGGCATAGTCACGTGTACAACCAACATGATGGCACAACCAACATCATGGCACAAACAACATCATGGCACAAACATGCCATGTGCTAAGGCTGTCGAAATGTCTCTTAAGACATTGAATAAACCACAGGTGTTTTAAAAATAAAAATCTGGAATTTTGCAATCGTATATTGTTTATATATGTTATAATTAACCTTTATTTCAAATTTGAACGAGATCGGTGAAGAAATTTATTTTTTAGAAAATTCTACCGCTACACTCATTACATAAATATACTCTAAGCCATTAAAACGCAATTTGACATTCATACTTTCTTTACTCACACCAATTTCAACATATATAAACCTAACTGGCAGATATGTTTTAAGTGAACATCTGTGAATAATTTCATCTGAAAATGTCCAGTCAACAACAACATCAGTGACGCAACAACGACAGCAAACAAAGGAGGGGTCACTTGCAGTCAATATCGTGTGTGTCCACCGTGCGCTGCAAGAAATGCTCGCAGTCTTTTGGGCATTGAAAGACACACATTTCTCAGGAACAGCTGTTGGATGGTCTGCAGCCTCTGATGGTCTGTGGTCTGATCATGACACCACCCCCTCCAAAACGATCATGTTCAAGGGCACAGTTTGGCGCAAGACTTTCTCCTTTACGTCGATAAATCTGTGGACGTCCATCTGCAAAGGATAAGTTAAACCTGGATTCATCTGACAAGATGACATCTGGCCATGTCCTGTTGCCAAGATTGGCCCCATTTGCTGCCCATGGCTGTCTGGCAAGTCTGTGGCGGTGCAATAAGGTTGGACCACGGTACGGGTGACGACACCGGATGTTGAAGGCAGCAAGGCGTCCTTGCACCTTTTGGGCGCTGAAATGACGTTGACTTGTCCCAATTGTCCTCCTTGCCTCATCATCAGCTGTTTGGAACCGATTTCACAAGTGTGAAACTCGGATATTGCGGTTTTGTCGTGCTGTTATCACAGGTGGTGCACCAGGTCGCGGACGATCAGCAACACTTCCGGTAGCCCGAAAACGTTGTCTGAGTCGACTTACAGTGGATGGATGCACATTAAAGTGCCTGGCAATCATCACATCTGAAGCACCTTGGCTGACCATACCGATAACCTGATTCCTTTCGTCTTGTGTCAAGTGTGGCATTTTCTCAAAGTGATTGAGTTCCACAATTCCTTGTGCTTTTACAGGGCCTGGGTGCAGGTAATGCATGTGCACAACGTGTTTCATGAATGTGGTTGTGTTTACGAGAAATGTCAAAGGTTCAGTTTTAAGTATCAAAGTTCATGTGAGAGGAATGCTCCGGGACTCGAACTCGAAATGGGCCAGAATAACAGCCTTTTATCCCTACATCCTCTGTATCGCAGGCAAAAATCTTCAATATGAACTTTTGTGAGTTTCAGGACAACAAATACCAATTGCGTTTTTAATGGCTTACAGTATAATATTAAATACACTGTATTGTATGTAATGAGTGTAGCGGTAGATCTTTCTTTAAAATTAATTTCTTCACCGATCTCGTTCAAATTTGAAATATAGGTTATAATCATAACATATAAAAACAATATACCACTGTAAAAGTCTAGATGTCTATTTTTTTAAAATTATTGTCCAAACAGTGATTCGAACACTGTGGAATAGACAGATACCAATTGCGTCGTCAAGAAGGTACCTTTCCCAGCAACATCATCCGGATTTACACATCATGACTACGAACATTAACTTTATGGAATTAAGATTTCTAGTTGTACTGTGATATCTGTAAGGTGTCTGTCCTGTCAACTTCACTTCCGTGAGCCCCTGATCTTATCCAACCATTCGTGCCAAGACTGTCCCCACAATGAGCATTTTGATTAAGAGATCCCGTGTTTTAAAGATTAATGTTTTCCTACTGTAGTGTAGATACCTCTCATTTATTATTTGGAACCGAGCATTTTGCCAATGTTGCAGTTGACAAACGACGTGCTTCAGATAAGTTCCGTGAAACCAGATGACAAATAAGATCTTTGAGATGGTTCACCCGCAAAATGTACCCGTAGAGTTACTGGGAATGAGCCTGCCTGTACATCGTTGCCAAATGTATGTTTTGCTTAACTGTGTGTGTTCTGAAATGGATCTGTTGTGATCAGATTTCTGTGGTGTGGCTCTGGAGTGATGCCGGGACATTTGTTTGTGATTATTCTTTGGAAGGAAGCATTCTTCAATGTCTCTTTTAGTATATATGAAGCATATGAAGAGCACAGAGCAATTCAGAACCAGAGCAATCTAGACTTGTCCAATCATTTTATAGACTTCAGTTGGATTCCATTTTGCAATTCTATTCTCTAATGTCTTGGAGTCAGCGCTTCAAAAATAAGTCTAAATTTACAAGTATTTTTTAATTCTTTTCTCTAATATCTGGGACAGATTTTGTCACGGGGACAAAATATTAAGAATGAGTAGATTTACTTTATCTAAACTCGCAATTAGAAAACTCTGATACTTCAACAGCAAATACATTTCAAGTTTATGTCATCTTGATAAAGTAGTTTAATTCTACATGGTTTCTTTTGAAAGTCAAAGTTCTTTTGAGCTGGCCTGATTGAATATCAAAACCTGTATTTAGCAACTTCTTTACTCACTGTGGTATTTAGAAGTTGGTATGCTGAAGAGGAACAAGTAATATGGATTCACAACTTCTTTATTACAAGTCATATCTAGCAAGTCAATCCTCACACAACAATCTATTTCCCATGAGGTTTGTCTTGAATGAATCGTGTCCATGAAGACTGTAAATCATGAAATTAAAGAGCCAGCAAAATGATGCGAGTGTCGAGCCCAAATGAGCATTGCAACTTTAATCATGATACGCTGAGGTATAAATAAAGAGTGTGAGTGAGTGAGTTATAATTTAAAGTCACATCAGCAGTATTTCGGCCATATCGTGACTATCAAAGCTTTATATTTAAGAAAAACGATATAAAAAATAGAAAGTATGCCGAGTTCGGTTTTGTTGTTGTTGTTTGTTGTTGCACTCAGAAATTTTCCATTTATATGACGACGGCCTAAAATAATCGAGTTAAATTTAACCAGGGATTGATATTATGAACATCGATGTACAAGATGACATGTGTCACCTAAGTCAGAGATTCTGATCAGTTTATCCCGTTAGTCGCCTCTAACGACAGGCATGGGTTTTTAATGTTGTAATGCTCATTTAACCATCACTGATTCCTTCCACAGTTTGTAAAAGTAATCTGTATACTAATCAAATTTAGTTTTACAATAATTTCAATGAAGAGTCAATGAAGAATGAACCTGCAACTACAAGACGTCTACCAAGTTTGAAATGTTCCAAATTTGCGCCTCATAACCCATATTTATTGATTTGCCGATAAGCAGTTGTGTAGTGTGCAACATATTAATAAATTTTAAAAGTTTTCATTAAATGGTGGGTTTTTTTAAAAACGCTTACGAACGCTTTGTGGATGGGGTCCTAGCTGTCCATGAGGGACTTGCCTGAGCTCGACACTGGAATGTGGTCCTGTTGAATTACGAAAACCCGCCTGCTCAACTTTAACCAAAGTTCTTGCCTGTTCCATTTAATACTAGGTTCACTTAGTGTACGCGTACGGATACAGGCATGTGCGTGCGTGCGTGCGTGCGCGTGTATCTATCATGCCGGTTTAGCAGGATTAAATCACTTCCCCTTAATTTCACTAGGATAGAATCACTTCAGAGTGACTCGATCCTAGAAGTGATACGCTCGTGAGTGAAATTATCTTAGGATTATCCATTCCCAGCTCAGGATCAAAACACTTCCTCCGGGGAAATAACATTCCCAAGGGAAAATGCAAAAATACAATATTATATTTGGAAATAATTTATCCCAATTCAAAAGGAGGAACAATACCATAAGGGTGTTACCACTGGATTGTGAAGGTCACCGTGCATAATTGTCCCAAACGAGCAACTTTTTCCCCAGTCAACTTGGAATCATTAATGTGAGTTAGTGAGTATGGGTTTACGCCGCTTTAGCAATATTCCAGCAATATCACGGCAGGGGACACCAGAAATGGGCTTTACACATTGTACCCATGTGGGGAATCGGTTATCTCCCAAAACGTAGACAGCCATAACTTAGACACTAATGAAGGGGATTAATTAAGACAACACCCATGGCTGAAATGGAACAGTCCTAATTAGTGTTCCCTGCTGAGTAGACCTAGCTTGTAAATAAATACAACTATTGAAACTGTCAAGTATGTGTAAATGTATGAAAGACATTTAGAAGTGGAATGCATTAGAAAAGCAAGATTTATGGATGTCAATTTCATTATTGTGAATAACACGACGTTTCGGAGTGTATGCTTACTCCTTCATCACCTGTTCTCTCGCCTGATGATTTTGTGTACAAATCATTTATTCTCAAGCAAATTTTCAAAATGTAATGACTATAACTGCTGTAGTGAGCATTACATTGTGAACATTATATGTACAACAGGAATCAGTTCTTTTCCAAACTTTTAGATCTTTTTTCATGTGAATGTATCTGTACAAATAGAATTACTGCCAGAAGATGAAATGCTGTCTCTCTTTTCTGGAGGTGAAATACCGGTTACTGAACACATAGATGAAATGTCGTGGAGATGTATGATTGTCCTATTTTGTAAATATCTGTATTCGATGGTATCCTCACTCTAGTGTGTATTTTAGATCCTTCCTTGCCTTTGCTCTGTACATGTGTGTACCCGCCTTGTGAATATGTTGTTGTGAATATATGATGTATGCATGTATTGATCTTCGGATTAAAATAAGTAGTGAGACTGTTTTATAGTCAATATATGACCAAATGCTGTTTGTCTGAGTAGGGTTAGTGTATATTATATTTTAGATTTATTTATTTATTTGTTCAATTATTTATTTACCTTAGTAACTAAACCTACTAAGCAACTTACCAACCAACCAACCAACGGGTTAGAATACCCGTTACCTTGACAACCGTTGCTATGGAACTGTACTCATCGACTCTTCAAACATATAACTGAAGTGAAAGTTATATGTATTCTTTCAATACAAAGTAATATAATTCTGACAGCATGAATGATTTTAACAATAATGTCAACTGAAAAATAGTATTTTCGTACATTTTCACATGCGATTCTTGGTCAATTTCGTAGAACTTTAATTAACGGCTAATTAATGAAAAATATTGAGAACAGAAACATTTCTGAGTGACATGACATTTTACAAGGCCAAATAAAGAGAATGACAAAATTTCAAGTGAATATGAAATTTTGGACTTATCCACCTCTGCATGATTCTTAGGTGGAATGCTCCTTAATATGCCAAGAATGGACATGATCAACATACCATATTTATTATTTACTATTTATTTTTTTATCTCTGTTGAACTTATTATAAATATGCTGAATGAACATAACGTCTTGTCTAATTGATTCTACTGGACTGATCCAGTATAAGAAATAGGTATCAGCTTGAGGATTAGTTGTGCACTGAACCAGATATGTTGTTGTTTTAAGCTGTCTAAGATATGGCTGTCTAAGTTTTGGGAGGTTACCGGGGATTCTAAGATGCCTAGCGGTTAGAACAATCGAAAAAAATACATTATCAGCCAATAAAGGTATAGTTTTTGATGACGTAACAATTGAATGACGTTTTCCCGTCACTGCGCCATTCTAGTGTGCCCCTCGTAATCGAACCATTTTACATTACGTCACAATGTAAGCGACGTCACGATGCATGTCAGTTGTCATCGCCTCGTACGGCCTCCTACAGTAAACTACACCGTTGCATCCAGTTTCTTGGTTTGCTGTTGCTTCACGCAGCTAACATCACTGGTGGAAACATTACGTTTATGTTTTACGACGGTTAAAATGTGTCATTTCGACACACAAGTTTTCAGCGACACGGTAACGTTCACAATGCAATTGTGGAATGTCGCTTGACTACTCAACTTCCTCTGGATGTACTGATCTAAACTTACGCTGGTAGTAGAAATGCAACGTTCATATTGCCCCATATGGTTTACGTTAATGACAGATGTAATTAAAATAATTCAGAGAAGATATTTAATCCGAACGTAAACCGTCATCAAACTGTTATCATTTGTTTTTCTGGTAACGTTCGTCTTAACGTAGGGGGGCAGACACATCAATAGAACAGCGCGCCAGTTAGCCCTGTGCGAGGATTCTTAATTTAGGTCACCGACACCGTCGTTTGTTTTCTGCCTTAAATTAATCGTAATTATCCTTAGAAAGTATTAAATTTGGCATCTTAGAAAAGAAATACAGTTCGATCTACCACCATGTTTATATGACGACGGCCTACCGATAAGCAGTTGGTGGTAGTGTGCAACATATTAATAAATTTTAAAGAGTTTTTCATTAAATGTTTTATTTTAAAAGAAAACGCTTACGAACGCTTTGTGGATTGGGTCCTAGCTGTCCATGAGCGACTTGCATGAGCTCCACAGTGGACTGTGGTCCTGTTGAATTACGAAAACCAGCCTGCTCAATTTTGACCAAAGTTTGCCTGCTCCATTTATATAATACTAGGTCCACTTAGTGTACGCGTACGGATACAGGTATGTGCGTGCGTGCGTGCGCGTGTATCTATCATGTGGGTTTAGCAGGATTAAATCACTTCCCCTAAATTTCACTAGGATTGAATCACTTCAGAGTGACTCGATCCTAGAAGTGATACGCTCGTGAGTGAAATTATCCTAGGATTATCCATTCCCAGCTCAGGATCAAAACACTTCCTCCGGGGAATAAGCATTCCCAAGGAAAAATGCAAATATATACAATATTAATATTTGAAATAAAGCCATAACTTAGACAATAATGAAGGGGATTAATTAAGACAACACCCATGGCTGAAATGGAACAGTCCTAATTAGTGTTCCCTGCTGAGTAGACCTAGCTTATAAATAAATAAAACAATTGAAACTGTAAAGTATGTGTAAACTCAAATCCTTGAAAGACATTTAGAAGTGGAATGCATAAGAAAAGCAAGATTTATGGATGTCAACTTCATTATTGTGAATAACACGACGTTTCGGAGTGTATGCTTACTCCTTCATCACCTGGACTCTCACCTGATGATTTTGTGTACAAATCATTTATTCTCAAGCAAAATTTTCAAAATGTAATGACTATAACTGCTATATAATTCTACATTGTGAACATTATATGTACAACAGGAATCAGTTCTTTTCCAAACTTTTAGATCTTTTTCATGTCAATGTATCTGTACAAATAGAATTACTGCCAGAAGATGAAATGCTGTCTCTCTTTTCTGGAGGTGAAATACCGGTTACTGAACACATAGATGAAATGTCATGGAGATGTATGATTGTCCTATTTTGTAAATATCTGTATTCCATGGTATCCTCACTCTAGTGTGTATTTTAGATCCTTCCTTGCCTTTGCTCTGTACATGTGTGTACCCGCCTTGTGAATATGTTGTTGTGAATATATGATGTATGCATGTATGTGATCTTCGGATTAAAATAAGTAGTGAGAATGTTTTATAGTCAATATATGGCCGAATGCTGTTTGTCTGAGTAGGGTTAGTGTATATTATATTTTTAGATTTATATATTTATTTATTTGTTCAATTATTTATTTAACTTAGTAACTAAACTTACTAAGCAACTTACCAAACAACCAACCAACCAACTAACGGGTTAGAATACCCGTTACCTTGACAACCGTTGCTATGGAGCTGTACTCATCAACTCTTCAAAAATATAACTGAAGTGAAAGTTATATGTATTCTTTCAATACAAAGTAAAATAATTCTGACAGCATGAATGGTTTTAACAATATTGTCAACTGAAAAATAGTATTTTCGTACATTTTCACATGCGATTCTGGGTCAATTTCGTAGAACTTTAATTAACGGCTAATTAATGAAAAATATTGAGAACAGAAACATTTCTGAGTGACATGACATTTTACAAGGCCAAATAAAGAGAATGACAAAATTTCAAGTGAATATGAAATTTTGGACTTATCCACCTCTGCATGATTCTTAGGTGGAATGCTACTTAATATGCCAAGAATGGACATGATCAACATACCATATTTATTATTTACTATTTATTTTTTTATCTCTGTTGAACTTATTATAAATATGCTGAATGAACATAACGTCTTGTCTAATTGATTCTACTGGACTGATCCAGTATAAGAAATAGGTATCAGCTTGAGGATTAGTTGTGCACTGAACCAGATATGTTGTTGTTTTAAGCTGTCTAAGATATGGCTGTCTAAGTTTTGGGAGGTTACCAGGGAATCGAACCCGGGTCTTCGGCGTGACGGGTGAACGCTTTAACCACTAGGCTACCCCAGCGCCGCTCATTAATTTCGCCAAAACCCAACATTTATCAGATTCATCATATCATATTCAAATATATAGTTCATCTTACTTCAAATATTCACATTATAAACCATTATGCGTTGTTAGTAATGGGACATTATCTTGAAAATTTAAATTTAATCTTATACTTGAGACACTCAAAACAATATGCCCTGGAGCCTGCTGAATCATTGTGTGTCGGCGTGGGTAATATGGCCTTGACCTTGGGATGATAACATTCCGCTAGACGCCAGCGGATTCAGAGATATACTGTGTATGGTATCAGTGTCGAAACGGGTCGCAAGTAGTGCAGCCTTGTTCGTGACACGGCATTACTTACGCTTCCCTTTTAACTGGACTTTCCAAGATGGCGGCCCCAACCCCTCGCTTCACACTCTACATGTCGGGCACATCCTACTTCGCCCAGAAGGTGAGTCTCAGATACTGGTGAGGTCGTCTTGAAGGCGTTAAGTACACAAGGTGAGTCACTGGATAGTCGTCTTCGTCACCAACATCGTCACGACGACTATTGCATTGTCTGATCGTTGAAGCACACGTCTTGATAGTTGTCAATGTCGTCGAGGTACGATCATGCATGGAGACAGCTAATTAGGACATGATAGTCTTCTGTACAACCGTCGTTAGCTGTTTTAAACAACCAATGGTCACGGAGGAGATATGTTTGGAAAGACAGCCTGACCGGTATAAAACCGATCAAATTAGTCTTTCATGACGTAGAGTGCAACCCGGGTGACCCTGAAGTCTCAATTCACTGTGCGTTGGTAGTTCACACGGGCGTCCAGGAGACCCGATATCATGGGTTCGAATTCCATATGCACCCTGACTATGTTTCTTGGTTTGCCATCACCATTTCCATGCTGGAGCGTTCCATCCGTCCACATGTTTACACCTGCATCACGTCGGACTTTACTATGACATGAGTGAGTGAGTGAGTGAGTTGGGTTTTACGCCGCTTTTAGCAATATTCCAGCAATATCATGGCGGGGGACACCAGAAATGTGATTCACACATTGTACCCATATGCGGAATCGAACCCGGGTCTTCGGCGTGACGAGCGAACGCTTTAACCACTAGGCTACCAAACCGCCCCTACTTTGACATGAAGCTGACACGCTGTGATAATGTTTAATGCATACTCATTAAATCAGATCGTCGTGGATACTTTAACTGTAGGTCGCATCAGATGAACTGGCCTGTCAATTCTACACAAAGGAAGCCATGGTTCTTGATCCAATCAGAAGTCAGCTTCTTGGGACGATTCGGGTTCATTGAACTTTAGAAAAGAAAGTTGTAGCATTAATTAAAAAGGCTAGAGGTGTCCTCATACCAAAGCGAGTTATCAGGGATGAAGAATTTGAACTTTCGGTCACAGAGTAATAACAGGCTTTCCAATATAGATTCACCTAACTACGATGCTCATTCTGAGCCAGAATCTTACCCAATATATGTATCTCTCGAATCAGGCACTGATGGCACTTTTCGTGAAGAATGAACCATTTGCAGAAAAGTTGGTGGACCAAAACGTAAATGACAACTACGAGAGTTGGTACATGAAGCTGAACCCGCTAGGGAAGGTTCCAGTTTTGGAGGACCGGGGGAAGATCATTCCCGAATCTGACGACATCATCGACTACCTTGACAAGGAATTGCCTCAAGGTTGGTTATTTTACATCTCACGTTATACTTTGTCCATGGAGCAAGGGCGTCCTTTAATGTCATTGAACACTGTAGTATGTTATATATACGAGGACACGCAATCAACAACGCAAGTCAGGAGCCTGGCCGAATCAGGTCGCCTCTTTCATATTGTAACCTACACAATTTCATATACAATTACACACTCTTCAAAGAGAAGAATATGGTCTTATAATGATATCTTTAATAACTGAATTCTACACTCAACTTTCCTGAACGTAAGGTTTCTGGATTATCGCTCTTCCGACGCACAATCATAGCTTACTTGTTTTGTTACGCTCAGCAATATTCCGGCCTTATGACGGCAGTCTGTTAATTATCGAGTCTGGATCAGACAATCCAGTGATTGACATTCCGAAATGTGATCTTCTCAATTACAATACTACGATGTGCATACACTGAGTAAAAGCGAGTCTGAACATCCACTCCAGTTAGTCGCCTCTTTATAATATATTACTCAAGACCAATTCTAACAGGGTTCACCGGAACATCGGGATTTCAATTGGCCTACAGCAACCCATGCTTATCGTAAGAGGCGGCAAACGGGATTGGCTTGCCAGGCTCGCTGACTTGGTTGACACAGAGTGATCGATGCTCATGATGTTGATCACCGGATTGTCTGGTCCAGACTCGATTATTTACAGAACACAGCCATATAGCTGGAACATGCTGAGTGCGGCGCTAACCAACCAACCAACCAACAAAACGTAGGGACCTTGAATGACTGCTGACAAAGGCACGACATGTTAAGCCATCTTGTTATGGCCAGCGTTCAATGGTGCCGACGAAAAATCCCTCTCTCTCTTCCACATCCGGGGGCGGTAGGGTAGCCTAGTGGTTAAAGCGTTGGCTCGTCACGCCAAAGGCCCGGGCTCGATTCCCCACATGGGTACAATGTGTGAAGCCCATTTCTGGTGTCCCCAGCCGTGATACTGCTGGAATATTGCTGTCTGCTTCGTGAAACCATACTCACTCACTGATATATATCTGGAAAACTGTTTAGAGCGGTGTAAAAACCAACTCACTCACTATGACATCTGTGTCCACTTGCAAAGAGCGCTACGGCCAACTTAAGTCTATGTCTCTGTTGCGATCACAGGGGTTTGAATCACTGTTCTCACTCACTCACTCACTCACTCAGGACTACGCCTTGTGCCTGAACCGTCGACCGACCTCGGCCGGGAGGTGGCGCACTTCAGGAAGCTCCTGAATGTCAACGTGGTAATCATCATCTTCGGCCTCGCCTACAACCCCCACCTCTCCCCCGACTACACTGCCGCAAAGACACGGAAAGGTGAGCCCAACCCAAAATGTCAAGGTTAACAATATCAGATACTTTGAATAGAACTGAAACAGAACGAACTGATATTAAGTGATCCGCTTAACTAACTAGCGATTTTTCGCTTTTGTATTATACTGTTTTTAAAGCCAGTAGATGGATCTCTTTACATCCATACATTTGTAGGCTGGTGTTTAATGTTAACGCTTATGTTTTTCCGTTTTTCAATTTTGTTCTCGATTTTACATGAAATCAAAATCCTGACTCAAATGATCTTGGTTCGGTAGTATTTCACAGTATCGAAGCACTACCAAGTGATGATGATGATTTTAAGGGGGGTCACCCATTTTGTTCTTGGGAGCTAGGGGGGTCAGCAATTTTGTACACACGTACTGGGGTGGGGGGCAGCAACTTTGTACATAAAAATATGTTTAAAATTATGCTTAGAAATTATGGGAAGGGAAGGGGGGTCATTGGTTTTGTACATGACATGCAGGGGGGGGAATTCACATTGTGCATGCTTTTCCATAAAAATCATCAACCCCCCCACCCCCTAGCCATAAATTATTAACCGTCCCTAAATATCACACACATGGTCAGATCTAAGGGGGCTGTGGGGTAGCCTAGTGGTTAAAGCGTTCGCTCGTCACACCGAAGATGCGGGTTCGATATCTGTATAATACATACCAACATGATGAAACAGACCTTAACACGATGCATGTTAAGTCTCTTTATCAAATGTATTATCCACTCATTGTCATTTACTGTTCGATTGCAATCTTGATAACATTATCAAACACCTTTTAGTGATTCTGTCTTGGCACAATTAAATTCACATATCGGATAACGATTCGCACCTCTGTACCGCTTGTTTACCTTTAACCTTGAAATTTCGTTTTTGGATCCAGAGCTAGATGAGATTATCGATGGTAAAATCGCCAAGCTTGAGAGATATGCCAGTGAAAACCCGAATCTAAGAGACGCCTACCTCGCCAAGATTCCACCATTGCAGCAGAGGAAGGAATTGTGTAGTAACCCGGAAGTTGTTCAAAGGGCACTTGATGACCTTCAGACGACCTTAGATGAAGTCGAGGCTAAAGTGATAAAAGGTAGAGTGACATCTTATGAAGCGAGTTTTGTGAGAGAAGGTGTGGAAGGTCAGTAGTGGCACAGTCGCCCTAATGACGCCATTTGTCTCGGCGCTTATCTTAGAAACATATGGATTGCACCGAAGCGGTAAACGTCACCACGGGCGTTCCTCCCGTACCAAATTGACACGCCGTGGAATAACTGAAATATCATACGCTCCGATAACAAGACTCACTCACTCACATTCATTGTTTCATTGAATGTCGAGCTTGTAATGCTTATCAAAATACAGGAAAAAACTTAATCAGCTTCGGAAAGCATTGTTCGGCTTGGTGATACCCTTCTTTCTCATTAACCTGAACCCTCTTGTGTGGACAGGTAAACAATATACCAGCTAATACCATTCAAAACAAATGGTAAAATCAAAATGAAGGCCAGAACAAGGCTTTACTTCCAGACATACCAAGTCATTCTAGGCTTGATCGGTTTATTTGACTAATTTACGCTGAAGGGGTCGTTGTCGGCACGGGTACTACAGATATGTATACAGAAACGTACCTTGGCCATAATGAGAATACAGAAACGTACCCTAGGATTCCATTCCCATTGTGTCGTATTCTTGACCGGAACTGTCATACTGTTGTATTAGGTACATTTGATTGCGTTATGTAAGTAATGAGAATACACAGTAATGGATATTTCGCGATGCACTTGAATACCATTCGCAATCAGCTGAACGGGAACAACTACATACGGTTTCGGTTTTGGATTGCGGAATATGGACTCGTCCGCCTTTTAGGGTACCGGGTACGTTTCTGTATTTTGACTTTGTTTAGGGTACATATCTGTATACAGAAACGTACCTGGGGTACGTGTCTGTAGTACCTGTGCCGACAACGACCCCTTCAGCCTAATTTACCCTGTATTTGGGGTAGGACTACGTGTATATACCATTCGCATTGTTGACGCAACCCTTAGCTCAGGATAACATGGCTCAGGATGTCAGATAGTGGGAGTGATAACTCATGAACATATCTAAATATATCTCATGGTAAACCATATCTAATAACAGCTCTCCCAGCCCATTAGACTAACGCTTAGTCTCTGAATATATATAACGTTGATAGTAACAAACAAACCCATTAAAATTGAAAAGGAGCCCTAGGGAGACCAGAGATTCAGAACCTGAGGAAATCTAGACTTGCTTCATTTAAGTCTTCAGCATTGCAGGGAGGGCTAGGCAGTAGGGAAAATAATGTGGTTCAGGGACTGTGAGACAGACTACCAGTCCATCTGCATACATAGCTACATCTCTTCCCATGTCCCCTCTCTGCCCACAATCCCCCACAGTGGTGCTGCACAGCCACTGACCCGTGTATACCAACATTCCTGTGTGGCATGGCTCTGCTGCAATCAACCATCACAGAATCACGGACAGACCGGCGAACTCCGTAGGGTTCACACCAAGGCCGACATATGTGCCCATGTAATCTGGGCTTCTGTAACCTTATGCTTAGACTGATATTTTGTCCCTGAAATGAAATTAACTCATTTCAAAATATTATAACAAAAATATTCCAAATGGGACCCAGAACATTCCTATATTTTATACAGCTGAGGCAATCTAGACATTCCAAACTATTCAAGACTTGAGTAGGACTCCTATTTAATTCACGATCTATGCGCAGCTTCACTCGCTGACTAGACTAACGACTAGTCTCTGAAATGAACATATTTTACTGAAAACAGTTCATAGTAAAAGAAAATATAATTTAATGAAAAGGAGCCCTGAGACTTTCTTCATTTTCAGAAGCTGAGGAAATCTAGACTTGCCACATTTTCTAGACTTGCGTGGGCTTTCTTGGATATATTTCCTTCAGGGTCTGTACGACAGACTACTCGCTGACTTACTAGCTCTCTTATACGGAGCCTGAAACAAAAGAATCAGAAAAATACCCATGCAAGTCTTTAAAACTTTGGAAAGTCTACATTTCTCCAGGAATCTTTTTTCTAGGCTCCTTCCTATATTTTAATCAACGTCTAAATATTTTGATTACAGATCCTAACATTTAGTCGTGAACCAAATTGTATGAATTAACAGTGTTCCTCATTTGATGTCCAGGTTCCCCCGGTGAGACGTGGTTGCTGTCTAGCGACTTGACGGCGGCGGATATTTCTCTGGCTGTGCTTCTCCGACGTGTGTCACTGAGTGGCCTGGCCTCCCTCTACTTCTCCCCCACCCAGAGGCCGGCACTACACAAGTACTGGCTGCGTCTGCAGACCCTCCCCGCCTACTGCAGGCTGAGCGACATCGCCGTCAAGTACGGCGTCAAGGCATAGTCACTTGTACAACCAACATCATGGTATATACTACATAATACTACGTCATTGACAATACATTGCCTCGGCAGAGATACCCTTACGTAGTCACGATTACTTTGTGGAATTAGAGTTTCTGTTTGTACAGTAATCTCGAAATAAAGACATGATCATGGTAAAAGAGAAAATAAAGGGAGGAAAGTTAAAGAAAGGTGATTCCCCGGATGAAGGAGTAGGAATGTAGATCTACTCCAAAACGAAGTGCAGCAGCTGACGTCCATGAATTTCCCCCTGCCTGTGTATCACTTCTAAATGCCACTCGAAGATTTGGAATAAAACTGTTCTATAAAGAAACCCCAATCAATAAATATGGGTCATTTTAGAGAGATTGTCAAGTATCCTGAAGGAATGTACAGAAGCCGATCTTGGAGTACCAACCAAGCCAGCTGAGAGGAATACGGGTTCGAACTGGCAACAGCTAACAATGCAGGGTCCTGGGCCCCGTTCCTCAAGGCAATCGTAGCCGTAAGATGATCGTAACTCCCATACTTTAACATAGACTTACGACTGTCGTAGCGCTACGATCGCTTTGAGGAACGGGCCCCTGATCCACAAAGCATACCACGGTTTACGAATGTCTAGCGCTTTACGAATGTCTAGCGCTACCAACGCTTTGTGGATCGGGCCCCGATTTCTCGAAACAAACTTAAGTCTGAGTTTTGACTTAAGTTAGAGTTTTTACTCAAATTTGAGAAAACGCATTTCCCAGAATGAAATAAAACCGATATTAAACTCAAACATAGTAGACAATTTGTGTTTGGTGAATAGAATAATTAAGTTGTTTGGGCTTTTATATTTAAAAAATGCAGCTGAGATAAAAATCCAGCTGTTTCAAATTGTCAAACTCAGTTTGAAATTTGAGTAAAACTTAAGTATGTTTCGAGAAATCGGGGCCGGGACCCTGGACGAAGGACACAACTTAACGGCCAGGGTTCACAATACAATCAGCTATCAAAAACATATACACCACATGTAGATTCGTTACACATACTACATTAATCACGCTACAAATTCAAAAGTATACAACATAATGCAATTGTTCAATACTCTACACATCACCCCAGTGGGCGTTCATACAATCTACATTCGATAATAAGTCACAAAACATCGTAGTGTTAATCAGTATTAAATAAACAATCCTAAACAGTAATACAGAATGTAGGAGACATAATAAAGGATGCCTCGTTCAACATCAACCTGAAGGAAGTGCCTAGGTGGTAACATATAGTTTAGGTATTTACAATAGATTAACGTTAACACAGAGTAGCAATGGTAACGATTTGTCAAAGTAGAAGAAAGTAAAGTTTCTTACCTGAGAAAATAAACGAGGAGTTTATTACACACCAGTCACAGGATGATTTGTGACTGTGTCGTCCCTATTTTATAGATATTCCAGTTATCATAGATAAACGCATTTACTGATAAAACTGGCGATAAAGTTGTTGTTGTGAACTTCAGTTGCTTTATCTAAATCATACTGCCAAATTTGACTGACAACACGGTGCCTAATACGCACTGAAGTTACTCTATCTTGACGGGACCGCCTCCGTAGTGTAGTGGTTAAAGCATCCGCCCGGAGAGCGTAAGGTCGCGGGTTCGATCCCCGGCCGCGTCATACCAAAAGACGTTAAAATATGGTACTTGTTGGTCCCTGCCTGGCGCTCGGCATTAATGGGTACAACAAGGACTGGTCGGAGTCAGTATAATGTGTCTGAGTGGGGTATTCATGCTTCACTGCGGCATGGTATCTCAGTGGGCTAGCACTATAAAACCAGCTTAAGTCTGAAAGTCTATGAGCGAAATATTCTCAAGCACGACGTTAAACCCAATTTCACCTCACCTCACCTATCTTGACGGGATTATAGGATAATTTTGATAAACGTATTGAAGACATCGGTGTTGATGGGTGAAGTTCACAGTGAATTAGATTAATTTAGCTTGTTGCTATCTGCCGACACAAGACAAGATTCAGTGTTCGCGGTTGGAAAAAAGCTTTACCTTCCTAAAACGCATTGCCCTTGAAATCTTGCGTGTGCATGAAAGGGGGTCCGGGAATAGCCCACAGTAAAGTTTTGAAATTTCCTTGCATTTCAGAGCATTTTATCATCATTCGCAAGTCAAATAAGCTGAGAGAAACAGTTGTTTCCTTGGGGAAAATACGTTTTTCGGTTACCTGTTGTGTTTCACGAACCAGGTTCACATGTCCACAAGTCACTGTTATTATTTTGAAGAAGGATCAACTAAACTTTCACCCATTCTACGTGTTTTACAGTTTCACAAAGAATTTGGGGAGGTGTGGCATACAACACGTGACTAGAAAATCTCCGAACTGCAAATAACACAAACACAAACACACACAAACATATCTATCAAAACAGCATACCAAAACAGGAACGCTGCCATAGAGACACTGAAACAAATATACCCAATGAAGTTCATATAGTGCAGTGGCTAAGGGTGAAAATAGATACTTGGCGGACTAAAGCATGAAACTTTGCAAAGTGCTGGGGGAATGTCATGATAAAACATATTTTTAGGGGTGCACGATTTTTGGGGACCATTTTCCGAAAAATCCAAGATGGCCGCCAAAAATCAAGGATTTCCAAATTTAACGCTATATGACTTTACCACGCTAAATTATAGAAGTGCCAGGAACATCATGATAAACATATTTTTGGGGTGTGCCCGATTTTGGGGGCCCATTTCCGAAAAATCCAAGATGGCCACCGGAAATCAAGTCTAGAATATTCGGCAAGTCTAGATCACTGAAAGTGAAGAAAGTCTCTGCGCTCCCTTTTACTGTAGTTTATCAGCATGATTTATAAATCTTTTTTCCCTATAAAATATGTTTATTTCAGGAACGCATATGCCTGTCTAAGTTCGTCGTTTGAAATGTGAGATAAATGATTACGACTGCCAAGTCGGTCTCGTCAAGTTTATCTCCCCGTTACTGTTTATGTTTGCCTTGAAGTCGAAGATGCGGAACTAGGTGCAGAGTGACTGGTCGTTCTGATCGCGCTGACATAGACATTTCAACGATCAGGCCATGAACAGTTTACACTAACCTCGTCATTTAAGCTCTTAATGTAATGCAGAGGCAATGTCTGGGCAGAGGTTAGTTCGGGTCAGCAAGGAACAAGGAACATACACCATATGTCAACGTCTGTGTTCAGGGTCAGCTACAGGCTGTTTACAGGCCCTTAAATAAAGCCAGTATTCTGTTTCTCGTGCAAACTATTTCACTGGCAGGGTTGAAAGGAAGGGATGGTATTATTAGACTTTCACAAGTCTCTAAAGTAAAATTTAATAGTTTAAATGATAATTTCTAAACAATAATAAATAACAGACTGTACTGTCCTCTTATCTAGACTTCGAAGGATAAAGTTACTATAGATCCATGGACTCAGTACAGTATTTAGACAAACAACTAGTCTCTGAAATGAACATATTTTTAATGAAAAACGTTCATAGTTAAAAAAAATATATATATATGATGAAAAGGAGCCCTGAGACTTTCTTAATTTTCAGAGACCCTGAAGCTGAGGAAATCTAGACTTGCCACATTTTCTAGACTTGCATGGGCTTTCTTGGATATATTTGCTCCAGGGTCTGTACGACAGACTATACAGCATTCAGTACAGCCTTTGAGCAAGGCTAGGTATGGATGGTCATCCTACAGTATCCAGCACCTCTTTCACAATGTTAAGCTTCCGTGGCCCACTGACCATGGCTCGGTGCTCATGATTATAAGCTGCTGTTATTTCATTTATATTGACAGAATAAATAAGAATTGGATATACTACTTTAACTCAACTCGGGAAATATACAAGCATGCCCATACCCCATGCTAAAACTTATATCCCGCATACGATGCTTGCGCGAAATTAACAGACTCCTTTGACGTTTAATGGAAGAAACAGGGAACGTTTGATGTTAAGTGTTTTTTACACCCTAAGCGGTAACCTGACGGGTTCCATGATGAGATTCAACACATACAAATAGAAATGAGAACGTATATAAAACTCCTGGGGACGAACAGCTAATTTTGCTCTTTGAAAACATAATAATACAAGAATTAATTAGAAATCTAATATAGCTGCTAATTAAAGAAAACTCTGACATGCATCTAAGATGAAATAAATATTCAACAAACGATGTTGTTTTATATTGCCCATATCTTAAACTCATTTCTTTGCAAAATATATAAAAATAATTGTTTATTAGAAACTTTACTCAGAAATAAATACCAGTATGGCCGCAAACAATCAACTTATATAAAATTGTTAGAGAAAAAACTGTCAATATATAATGTAAATTCTGCTATGTCTTTACATGAGAATTCCCAAACAAACGAATCATGAAAAAGCTATGCGAGAAAGCTTATGAAAACTTTGGTCCCCAAAACAAAGGATTCGATATGGGGTCAGTAAGCGACATATCTCAACTTGTGGTATGGTACATAGAGAAAAGTGTGCGAAAATATGAGTGAGTGAGTGAGTATGAATTCACGCAGCTTTCAGCAACTGAGCAATATTCCAGCAATATCACGTTGGGGGACACCCGAAATGGGCATCACACATTGTACCCATGTGAGGAATCGAACCAGAGTCTTCAGCGTGACGAGCGGACGCGTTAATCGTTAGGCTACCCACGCCGCCCCGCGATAATATGAAGCCTTGGTTCATTGACATCTATATACATGTACGTCGTTGGAATTGTGGTTTCGGGGGAAATTGCTGCTAAAATTATATTAAATCAATTAATTTTGAATTATCTTCCCATAGTCATTGTGGCTATAGTCTTTTGATTGTAGTGGTATCTGGTTATCAACAGTCTACACATAATATGAATTATATCTGAACTGAAACAGGTTTCTGGTTATTGAGTTGTCTTTGGTACATAAATCGGCAGCTTTATGCTAATACGATTACAGTAGGGCTTCCAGCCTTTCGGCTTGGAGTCCTAATTAAAACAGTAGAGACAACAAAAACAAAACATTTTTCATGACAAGACGTTGTTTACATTCCTTTTCGTGATCGATACCCACCGCCATTTCGGTCAACCACCAACATTATGATTAGGTAGAAGGGGATTTGAAAGTCCATAAAAACCCTGCTCGCTTTAAAAGGCCATGAAAACTCACAAACAAATGTCCCGACATCGCTGCAGTCCAAGCACAGACAGTTGGGCACGACGCTCATCAAACATGATGAAATCCATGTCAGAACACGCACAATTAAGCAAAACATACATAAAACACCGTGTCAAGGCCACAACGGTCAATTTGTCCTCACAAGCTG